TGTCATTGCTGTTCATCCAAAAACTAGAGAGATTCATGATGGAAGTGTGTTAATTGTTGACCATAGTAGATATCGGATTCAGTTTGACAGCCCTGAACTATGACTGGAATTTGTCATGGTAAATTTTTATTTTATAGAGTTGCTTCATGTATGAGAGCAACACGTTCCTTTCATTCAACTGAAGATGTTGAATATTGCCATTAAGGCCTCAGTCTAATGGATTAATGACAGGCTAAGGCCTTCGGAGGTTCCTTTCTTAAATTACTTCTGTCTAAGTATGCAAGTAGATGTATGCTTGTGTATTTGTGCTTAAATCTAATTCTCTACTGTTTACTAAATATATTTAGCTTGATCCTTTTTTTCTTTGGTTATTTTTTCCTATTAAGTTTCATGAATGGTACATTTTTTATTGTAGGATATTGATTTTATGCCTTTATAACCACTGGAAAATTTGCCTGCTTCCCTTTTGAGACAAAATGCTGCCATCTGTAAATTTGCCGAGAACTACAGTGAGCTCAAAATGAATGGCCAGCCAAAAGAAAGCAAGATGGAAGAGAACATGAAATTTATTCAATGTGATAACCTGGAGAACACTGATAGTCCTCGTACTTCCCCATCAACTTTCAATGTTGGCAATTTATCACAGTCAGCTAAGGTAAGTTATGACTGCAAAATAGTTTTCATTTCATGTATATCGGACAAAATCAATTCAAGGGTAAATTGCTTTTCAGTTCGAGTATTACAACTAAAAGTTTTGATATAGGAAACAATGCAGAATCAGAGTAACTGTTATCTTATATAAGGATAAATTGCTTTGGCCAGGTTGATTCATCAAGTCCTAATTTGGAAATTAAAGTTGGACCTATAGAAACTGTTTATACTCAAAAGGCGGTGAATTCTCAGCCTTCTGCTCATGCACTGGTTCAGAAAAGGGAAGCTGATGTTGAAGCTCTTTCTCAGTTTACTCGTGCTCTAGACAAAAACGTTGTACACCATATTAGCTGTTATTAATCAAACTTAATCTACTGGCGAATTTTTCTCTCTCCGTTCTCTCTTTTTTAACTTCAAGTTCTTATAGAAACTTATCTTTGTTTTCAGTGCTATATATGGTGCCCGTTGAATGTTGACTACTTTTAATGCTTGAGCATTCTTTGCTCCCTATCATTGTTCCTATCTTTTAGTAATAATGGTATTTTTAACCTATGTTATCTCCATAATTGGTCATTTTTGCTTTGTTGGGGCATCAATATTCTGATTCTCTTTTGTAGCATATTGCATAGTTTGTGTTGCATGTTTATTGTGTTTATCTGAGGCTGACATAAAATTCCTTTCAAATAATTTTGTTCGCATTGTGTCTGAGAAGTGAACTTAAGGGTTGTGTTAGCATTTGCAGGAGACCGTGGTGTCTGAACTGCGACGTATGAATGATGAGCTGTTGGAAAACCAGACAGGTGGAGACAACTTTCTAAAGGTTTCAGATTATTTCAAGAAGCAATATGCTGCTGTTCTCTTGCAGTTAAATGAAGTCAATGAGCAGGCATGAGATGCTGATGATGCAGTTTTCACTTTAAATCTCTTCACCGATGTCATATGCCCTTTTATCCTAACTTTGCCTAACCTTTCTTTTGCAGGTTTCTTTTGCTCTGTTTTGCTTGAGGCAACGTAATTCATATCAAGCAAACTCCTCAGTTAAGTTGCTGAAGCCCTTGGCTAAAATTGGTGCGCGCGGCTGTCAGTTGAGCTCTTTTGATCGTTCTATGCATCATGTCCAAGAATGTGTGTCCTATGTGACTGAAATTGTTGAAAGTTCAAGAATGAAAGCTTGGTCAATGGTTAATGCTGCTATGCAGGAAAAAAAGGGACATTGAACTGCTTTATCTTGATGGCTCGTTATAGGTGGATCAACTTTGTTTTAGTCTAAACCTTTTCCCCTTGTTACGTTTCTTTTCAAGCATTTTGAAAATTTCCCATACCATTGGAACTTTATGCATTGTCGCTTACATATACATCAAAGTGTCAGTCGTAAACCAATAAGCCATAGGCTAAAAAGGCGAAGTAAATAAATGGCCACAGCGATCCCCGAGCTAAACCATACGAGATGACACTACTTGACAAAGTAAATTACAATGTAAATTATAAAAATTTTATCATAGTTTTGGTGGTAGAGCTTACCTCTATTTTGGTAGAATATTTTCATCCCATCTGTAGGATGACATGTTCATCTCATCATTGTGAAAACTTTAATGAAAATATTGACATTCTAGTCTCACAAGAAGCATATTTGCTTGGAACTCACTGTAGAGCTTAATTTGGCAATTCGAGGCAGAATCCAGAGATGTAGCAGATTTTGCCTGGAAGATGGTTATGATTTACCATTTGAAGCAATGGATCCTTGCCTTCATTTTTTCATAAATCGCGTCATGCTGTGGTAGTCACTTTTGATTGTTTAAGTTGAATACTGTACTTTAGTTCTGATTAAACTTGATTACCATCTCAGGCCATGTCATCCTTGAGAAAAGGGGGGAAAAGCATTGAGAGGATTGAGGACGCAATAGATTTTGCAAATAACCAGCTTTCAGTGGATGATTTTAGTCTGCCTGCTCTGAGGTCGTCTACCCCATTAGACTGTGCAAATTCTAACCTATAGCTATGGAAAGATAAATTGTGCAAATTCTAATCCAGAATAAACCAGAACAGAGAATCGATACAAAAAGATAAAACTCTATTCGATGCCAATAACTAGCAGACAAAAATACTGTAGCAGTCACTGTAACAGAAGATAAAATGTTACTGTAGCAATCACTGTAACAGATAAAAACAGAGATCTACTACGGAAGATATTGTAACGGTACTATAGATAAAAATTTTACTGTACATTATAGCGGATAACTGTATAAAATTACTGTTTATATGTTAGAATTTTTCTATTTAAAGCCTCATTGTATCTAAACTCAAAAAGGCCAATTCTTCAGACTCTTTCTCTCATTGTATCTATTAAACCATTTACAATTCTATTTATGCTAATATTATTAGATTCATACTTAGGATCTATATATAAGTTATGATTATAAGACTTATCTTGATAAATATAAGAATTTTCTTATAAGTTTTCATGTTTTTTATGCTTAAAATCGATGTGCTGTTCTGAAACGCTAGCAACAAAAGGTAACTCAGGCCACAAAAGCCAGCTATCTACTCAGATATGAATGTATGAGCTTTGAAACAAATAGTTTATGTAAAAGATGCAAGTAAGAGTAAAAAAAATCTTACAAGATGAATAACAAGTAGATCTTTATTGTAGAATCAGCAATACAAAGCTTTAGCAAACTTTTATACAAGCCTAGAGCTCTGATACCATTTATGAGGGGGTGCAAAAAAAATCTATATATATAAGATTACAAAAACTATATTTATATATCTATATATATATTTGGAGGACAGAAAGAGAGAAAAAGTATATGAGAGGGAGAGCCTGAAAAATTGGACCCTTGAATTTAGATACAATTAAGCTTTAAATAGAAAAATTCTAACTTATAAACAGTAACTCTTATCCTTCCATAGTAACTTCTCACGATCTTCCGACTGCCTGTGTGTCATATCCGTCGGCAACTAGTAACATACCCGATATAAAGTTGCAAAATTTTTCTGACCAAGATCATCTTGGAATCCCTTCAGACATTATCGTGCATTGCGTAGCCACCTTGCTCATGATACAGGTAATCATCTGAATGTCTCCTAAGTTCTTGTCAGCAGTTCTCAGCACAACTCCTTTTTTTTTTTTTCCGTATTTGATAATCTGATTGCCTGTTGATTGTAAAATCTGATTCTGACTCCTTTCACCCCCAAAAAAATATTGCAGAAATTTACAGAAAGACAGTTTCCACCTGGAGATATTGCCCAGGTACTAGATTCTGCTCTTTCGAGTTTGAAGCCATATTGTTCACAGAATCTTCAGATTTACACAGAGATATGGGAATTATTAGGAATCAGATATTGGCGCTAGTACCCACATAGACAGGTATTCATTCCTCAATTGTTCTAAAAATTTGCAATCCTTTTCTCTCAAACTCCTATGCATTTTACTTACGTTTTTTTTTTTAACCTTTAATAGGAAGAAATACATGTATCAATTATTATCAAAGTAACCCAGTAAATTCAGTTTGTACACTGCTTGTCAGCATTGTGAAACCAATTAATTTTTATTTTTTGTTCGTCAGTATCACTTAGGCTGTGTTTGGTACAACTGAAAAGGATGAAAAAGGGTGGATAAAAAAATGGAAGGAAGATTGATTTTTGGTGTGCTTAATAGGAAAGAAAATAAGAAAGATTATCATTTTTTACATTGATTAACGAAAACAAATCACTCTAAATTGAAAAGAAAAGAGAAGAAACGACGAAAGAGATGTGAATATGTATTATATATTTATAAAATAGTTTATCATATTTAGATTTTTTTTATCTTAATTTACTAAAGATTATAACGATAAAATCATGTAATTTTTACATTTTTTCTTTCTTTTTTTTTTAACTCTATCAAGCAATAAATAAAAAGAAAATTGCATTTTCTTTTATTTTTCTATCTTTCTAATCAAACACACTAATAAAAGAAAATTTTTATTTTTTATTTATTTTTCTCACTTTTTCTCTCTTCTAATTTTTCATCTTTTCATTTTTAATTTACCCTACCAAACTAAGCCTTAATTTTCTTAACTAAATAATTTCTAGAGTCTTGAGATTAGATTAGGAAAGATAAAGAGTCTTGAGATTAAATTAATAAAGATTAGGTAGGTAATGACGGTGTATAAAATAATTATCTTTTTCTCGTATCGGGATTGATTGAATTGACACAAATTGAATATTTCTTTCATAAAATTTAATTTTGATTTTTGTTATTCGATTCATAGTATAAATTCAATATAAACTTTCAATGAAATTTATAATATATTTGATCCTAAAATAGAATATTCTTTTCTCTGTCTAAACTTTCATTAACCAAAAAAAGTAAAAGGGATTTCAATGTTCAAATTCATTGTTGTAACTACAAAATGAACTCCAACTTGTTTTTAAGTTCAATTGCAAAGCAAACAAAGAGAGAGAAGCATTGTTGAGGTAAAAATTCACTAATGGCATGACAGGGTAAAGCTAAAAACAAGTTTCATATCACAAAATGAACTGAAACATAGTAATGATACAAGGAAAATCTGAATCTTGATGTGCCAATCCAGCCTAAAAATGTTGTAGCCAATAATACTCACTTTCTCAATTTTTCTTCATATAGCTCCAACAATTCTGGTGCTTCAGCTACATGTCGGTTAACAAACATCTTGAGGAACAACTCCTTCGAACTGTCAAATAACACAGACAATTTGAAGTCTTTGATTAAACCTTTGGACAGCAAATGTTGAGCAATCAAACCCCTCGGAACAATCCTCTTCTCCAAGCTCTTTCTCAAAAAACTTGGTTCATTGGCAAGACGAGAGGAATCCAAGCCCATCTTGTTCACCACAAAATCCATTTTGGCCAAGATTTTTCCCTCAGAAATTGCAAAACAGAATGGATACTTCCGAAAACATTCCCAAATCTCTTTTTCCGACCAACCCCATTTCTTGTAAACATCAACCTTCCTCTCTCGAGTGGATTTGCTCATTCCAGCCAATATAGATACAGCATGAACAAACTTCAATATCAGAGGACTCAACCCAGTTTCCTTAACTTTTTCCACAATCTCCTTCAAGCTACCAGGATTTATCAGCAAAGTTCTAGGAAATTGATAAAGTAATTTGATAATATGTGACTCTGGCATTCCATGATCTCGTAGAAGATTGATATTAGACAACAAATGGCCATTGATAATGTTCATATCATATGAGATGAGATATGGATACCTTTTTATAGCTTTGACAGTCTTTTCATCAGAATGAATCAGATTGCTATAAGTACTGAAAAAAGGGATGATTTGTCTGTCTAAGCTTCTTAGCAGAATTGTTGGGGAATATGATAACAATTTGGCAAGGTCAGGGCTTGAAAACCCTTTGGAGAGAAGAAATTTCAACTTGGGCAAAAGGGTTTTCTCAGAATCAGATGCAAGCAATTTTGGGGCCTTACTGACAATGGTTTTGATCTGGGATTTTGAAAACCCATGTTCTTCTAAAAATGAAATGACAGAGTCAGGATTATTAGGGGTCTTCAAATGGACATAATTGGAACCTGCTTGAGCAGATTTTGGGGAGAACCCAAGTTTTTTTATGAGGTATGAGACTGTGAATGATTGCTGGTTTGAAGTGGTTGGCATGCATCTAAGAGCATTTTGTTGTCTGAAAATTGATGGGTCATTTTGAATCATGTAAAAAAGTTGTAACTTTGAGAGGTTGTAGTAGTTTGCCTCCCATGGAGAACTCTAGTTCTACAGAGAAAATGCAACATGAGAACTGAAAACTGACAACTTCACTTTGCTTACCTGCAATTCTGAAGAATATCAGAACCCTTGATTGAAAGGATCAAATTTTGAGTTCCAGCTGAAAATGAATGGGCCGCTTAAACCTCCAAAGCTAAACGGGACTTTCTTTTGTCCTGCTGAATTCTCTTCTTCTATTGGCGGGGCTTTGTTAGGGTTGTGTTACTTTATCTAGTGTTAACGTCCACTATCCAGGTCCAACTAATACCTGTATATTCATATGAATTAGTTGTCCAGGCCCAATCATCGGACCTTTTTTTTTCCTTTATTTTTTAGGTGTCAAAATTTGAAATCTAATTACAAATATTAATTACAGAAAGTGGTATATCAACAGAATGCACCATAGTATCTCCCGGACTCGTTAATCTTATATTAACTTTATGAACAAATCACACGATCATTATTTATCAGACTCGTTGAACTTGCATTAATGAATGTGTCCTAAAATTTGCTTTTGAATTTTGATAAGAATTATATCAAACTCGATTACTAATCAAAATATTAATTTCAATTCATGTTTTACAATATTCGAATGAAAAAATATGCAGTTAACGATGGGAACGTCGATGTTCGACTGATAATGACATCATAATCTCCATCTTTCATAGTTCATTGAAGTTATGGTGCTCACAACAGTTAGTCTCTACTCTGCGTCTGTGGTCTGGGAAACTCTATTTTGCTGCATTGTTCAACCGAAGTTTTGTCTAATGGCCATTGAGCCTACATGTTCCGCACTGGAAAATCAAGAACCACATGGTCCAAGCACACCTTCGCCTTGGGACAAAGATTCCCAAGCAAATGGCAATTAGGCCAAGGCAAATTGACGTTCATAACTCTAAACAAATGATGAAGAGGATCTAACAGTTATATGACATGAACATCATCACTTGGAGACTGATATACACAGCAAATGAGACCCCGTTAACAACTTTTGTGCAAGCAAAGTGGAGATGAAGTTAAGCACGTGAAAGGACTTTGTCAAGCTTTATTTTGTTTACAAGAAATATATTATAGCCATAAACTTTTTCTCAGATGCTTTCAACTACAAGGGACAGCTTGGAAAAGCTCGGCAACTCTGTTCATTAGTTCAACCACACTTCCTATAAACATTAAACGTCCTATCCGATGTGGATTTGCTGATTGTCCCCAATCCTGACACCAGTAAAAACAGCGTAAACCTTTAAGGATTGAACCTCATTTTCTCTACTTACCATCCACGATCACCCTTTACTTGGTGGCTACCAGCAGAATTATTATAATAATTAAAACTACAGCCACAAAGCTGCACCAAAACAACAGGCAATTCAACCTTCGTAACTTCAAACAAGCAGAAAAGTTGCATGAAAAAGAACACCATTTGGAGCCAAAATCCTTATCACACAATATAATAAACCTAAAGATCGTAAGCTCTATAAATGAGACTCATTTCACAGTTGCATTTCAAGCAAGATGACTATTAAACCACATAAAACAGCCAGAGCACATAGTTGAGTTCAAGTTTCACAGATGACAAGAGTGAATACTGCTAAAAATAAAGTACTAGTTGCACTCATTTATTCAAACTGGAGCAAGTTTGAGATCAAGGAATTCAATCCGATAAAAAAGTCAGCTCAATCAAATATGCTAGATTCTATGCTACCCCTGATCTATATTTGACTCCTATTGCAAGATCCTGTTTTTCTTTGTACAGCATTAACAGCTCTGCTGCTTTGCATTCATATTTGTTAACAAACATCTGAACAAACACCTTTTCTGAAGTGTCAAACAATGCAGACAATCCCAAGTTCTTAATTAAACCTTTCGATAGCAAATCTTGAGCAAACAAACCCCTTGGAACAATCAGCTTCTCGAAGCTCCGTCTAAAAACACTTGGTTGATTGGCAATGAGAAAAGACTGAAAGCCCATTTTGTTCACAAGAAAATCCATTATTGCCACAATCTTCTCCTCTGATATTTCCATAACATTCAGATACCTTCGAAAAGCTTCCCAAATCTCCAGTTCAGACCAACCCCACTTCTTATAAACGTCAAACTTCCTCTCCATTGCAGGTTTGCTCACTTTTCTAAACGTAATGACAGCAAGAATAAATTTAAGTAACAAAGGATCGAACCCCATGTCCTTCACTTTCTTCACAATCTCCTTAAACTGATCAGGGTTTACGAAAAAAGATCTAGGGTGGTAAGTAAACATTGATATGATATTTGATTCAGGCACTCCATTATCCCTCAGAATACTGATATTAGATAACAGATAAGAGTCAAGTTTACATGAGAAAAGAAATGGATAGCGTTTTATAGCTGTCATAGCCTTGGAATCAGATTGGAGCACATTGCTAAGTTGATTGAAACAAGGGACAATGTTTTTCTCTAAGCTACAAGTTAAAATTTTGGGGTGGGCAAAAACGATTTTGGTGAGTTCGGGGCTTGAAACACCTTTAGATTGGAAAAATTCTAGCTTGGGTAAAAGCGTTTTCTCAGCATTAGAATACAGGAGACCTGGTCGAATTGCGATGATCTTTTTGATTTGGGTTTTCGAGAACCCATGTTTCTCCAGAAATGCAATGACAGAATCAGGCTTATCTGGGGTTTTGAAAAAGAGATACATGCGAGCCGCCATGGCAGATTCTGGTGAGAACCCAAGTTTTTCTTTGAGGTAAGAGACTGCAAAAGACTGAGATGGGTCTGAAGAGGCTTTTGAGATGCATCTAACTCTGAGGAAGAAGGATGGGTTTGAGGAGGAATTGTTCACAACAATATATGAAAGCCTATGCAAAATACTAATGTCTTTGCTATGACGACTAAACATTTTGGAAATTGAAATGAATAAAGCTGCTCAGACAGAGAAAACTCACCCTGAAAACCTTTCAACTTTGAACCTTCAAGGCAGAGAGGAGAGGAAGACTGCTCTTGAAAGTCGAACCTTTTCTCTTAATTTTTTATTGTTCAATTCGACTCAAGGCTTCTAACTTTCCGATTTCCGGGCATAATTTCAGTGCGATGTTTGTATTCGTATTGTTTGTTTCAAGTAAAAAATATAGTATAAAATATGAAATTTATTACGTGATAATGATTTAGATTATATTAGACTCGATTTTATTTTTTTAGGTAATACAGAATTATAAATTTTTAAAATTTTATTTAAATTTGAATCGATATATTTTTTAAATTGGTTTAATCCAAATCGAATTATTTTAGTTTGATTTGATTAATTGATTTTTAATTTTTGTTTTTTATTTTTATATATTATTTTAATAAAATTTTAATATTTTTAAATAAATTTATTATAAAATAATAATTTTATTTTATAAAAATTTAAAAAAATATATAAAAATTAATAAAAATATATAATTTCTTTCAATTTTTTTGATTTTTTATATTTTAATTCAAAATTCAGTCCAAATTTAATATATACATTTAATATTTAAATTTGATTCGAACCAAATAAAAAAAAATTCATATTGAACTTAACATTACAATTTTAAATTATTTTTTTATTTCTCATTTTTTTATTTTTAATTAAATATAATTTTTACTAAAATTTTAATTTTATCATTTTTATTACAATTTTTATTAAAATTTTAAATCATGTTAATTTTTATAATTTTTATTATACTATTATCTCTGTTTAAAATTATCTATATACATTAACCTGACAACTTATTCTAGTTTTTTTTTTTTTTGAAAGATTTTTTATCTTTTTTTTAGGTTAATGTACATGGGGAGGGAACCTTTCTTCTACATATTAATAATTAAAAATGGGGAAAAAAAAGTGTGACATTTGTTATGATTAATTTAAAAAATGGAGATAATCACTTAAAAGTCTTAAGTTTTGCTAACATTTTATTTTTGAATAATGAATTATTGTAAACATAAAAAGGAGAAAGAATCATTTTAAATTAATATGAATAGAAACTAGTATTATGATTGATCCTATTAAAAAAGCCCAAAGACCTTGGGAATATTAAAAGCTTCAAACTTTTCCCTTGCCAACTAAAAAACACATCATAAATCATGAATTATGTAGATGAAATTGTTGTACTGAAAATAATAGCAGTTACATACATACACACATACATATACATATATACATACATATATATACACATACATACGTCTGTATATATATGCGCACTTACATATATATACTACATGAACTCGCAAAAAAACAGAAAGATAAGATAAAGTGGAACAGCAAAGAGTCAGCCATAGTTAGGCTCAAGGCTCCACTACTAGAACAAAGAATACAGCTCCATTGAATTTTGTAGTTTGCCATTGTAGTTTGCCCTGCCAAGGTTCAGACCTTATAAAGGAAGTGTTTCACATGACGAAAAAAAAGTTGACACAAAAGTATCCGCCATTAATTCAACACTATAATCTCCTAACTTCTAGTTTGTTCCCTGCCCAGCTTATAGGAAACTCAAAAAAAAAAAAAAAAAAAAAAACCAGAAGAAAAAAAATAGAAGCAAAGAACAGTTTTGATGTATCATTCCTCAAACATCAACCATTCCTAAACAAATAATGAACAAGAAGTTACAGTTGCATAAAAAAGAAGAAAACATCAACTAAGAAGCTCATTTTGCAATTGCACTTTATGACAGCAAGATGAGATATACCGGCACAGTTAAGTGTCAGAGCATACATGGTCGAGTTCAAACTTCACTAACAGAAGAAAAGGCTACAGACAACAATTTTGTATTAGAAATATTCAAGACCCAAAGCAGAAGCTAGTTTCACATCAACGAATTCAATTATATAAAATTAACATGAGGAGGAAATTTTGAATCTTATTGTCGACATTCTATAATCTCTGCAGCTTGGATGTACCAGCTTTTCGGTTTATTTGAAAGATCAAACTTTTCTTGATATAATTTTAACAGCTCAAGAGCATCTACTTATAGCGATTCACAAACTTCTCAATGAACAACTTTTCTGAATCCTCAAACAATGCATCCAAGTTAAATTCCTTCTTAACCAAACCTTTTGACAACAAATCTAGAGCGAACAAACCCCTCGGAACAATCCTCTTTTCCAAGCTTTGCGTTATTACACGAGGGCGCTTAGCAATAAGTGAAGACTGCAATCCCATTTCGTTCACAAGAATATCCATTATTTTCACAATTTTCTCCTCAGACACAGTCATAAACAAGGGATACTTCCGAAAAGCATCTATAATCTCTTTCTCAGACCAACCATAATTCTTATAAACATAAAATTTCCTATCCCACATGGATTTGGTCCTAAAATTCAAGACATTGACAGACATTGACAGCGACTACAAATTACATCCTCATTGGATTGAAACCCATTTCCTTCACTTTAATATTTTTTTACCATATATATATATATATATATATATATATATAGATCTAGTTACACTAATATAATTTTTATATTTTTTGAAAATTTTTATCAAAATTAAATTTATGACTTATTTAAATTTAATAATTTTAATTCAAGAGTTAAAAAAAATAAGAATTACATTAGTGTAAGTGAACTTCTATTTTATATATATGTTTACTATATATATATATATATATATATATATGTTGTCTAAGCTTTTTGTTTACTATGGTAACGTTTAGTATATAATAATCACTTCAAAAATTATGATAGTTAGATTATTGTATTTGGTGAACACCAAGTGATTATATGTAGTAATGATATTGAATTACAAAAACTGATCAGATTATTATTTTGAATGATAATTTAATTTTCGTCGAAAATGATGAGAAATTTTTATCATTAAAGTAAATACATAAAATTAACAATAATTAATATTATGCATGCTTTCTTTTAAAATTATAATTATTTTATATTATAATTTTTTATAAAACTGATATTCATAAGTTTAAAAATGATTTGTGTTTTTTATATTTTTATATATAATATTATTTTTTATTTTCCTTTTATTATGAATTTAATAAATTAATTTTATTTGTCAATTCAAATATTTTTTACATAATTTATATTATAAAAATTAGTTTGCTTATCAATAAATATATTTAATTATTTAATTATTTAATTATATTTTATTATAAAATAAATAAAATACTACTATATTTTGTAAATTATTATCTTTAAATAACATTAAAATCATTAATTTAAATAACTATTATAATATGCATAGTTATTTTCATATATTTAAACAAAATAATATTTGATCTTTAATTATTAATCATTAATGATTGTTAATAAAATAAATGATTTTAAATAAAAAATGATAAAATCACATTTATAACAAAATCATTTCAATAATTACATTACTATGTGATTTTGCAAAAGATATTGCAAAAAATACCCAATCCTTTATCTAAGCTTGATGTATCTTTTTCATCTATTTTTAATGTTTGGCCTCAAATTGAAAAATTTGAATTCCATGCAAGAAAACTTTCTATATTAATTTTTGAGGTTTGCTTAGATATTCAAATTCACAACATGTTACTCTTATAAGCTGGATTAAAAAGATTACATCAATACTATCCTATATAAAAGGATCTTTTTAAGATCTTGATAATAACAGTTGACTTTGTTTTCTTAGGCTTTGAATCAAGAATTCACAGGCCATGTGCCTTAAAAATTAAAATGCTGCACAACAAGAACAAACCTCTTGTTATTTCACCATTTCTACTAAGATAAATAATAAATTATCATTTGCACATCAATAGAGATTCAAGATGTGTCCAAAAGAAACACATCAGTTATGTGTAAGAATAACAAGTTGATTTGTCAAAAAAAGAAAAAACCTCTAATTTTTAAGGGTCTGGAGGTCAAATTGCCTTTAAAGAAACCAACCCCCTCAACCCCCTCCCCCCCCCCCCCAACATCCTTCCATGAATAGCAGTCATGTATCTGGTTCTCTTCTTCTGACTCCTCAGTGATCCTTTCTTCTGCTTCTTTGGCTGCTGATTCTCAGTTTTTTTTAAAGTCAATAATTTTATTTTTTTTTTTGCAAAAGCACCTATCATAAGCATTAATCCTGATCATAGTTTAACCTTCTTTTTAGGCCTTTTCAATTTACATTCATGATCCTCCACCACCTGCAACAGCAGAGGCTTCCCATTTGATCAGTTGAGTGTAAAACATGGCAAAAATATATGGTTGACAAAAATAAATAATAAAAACAAAAAAAAAAAGCAACCTTCTTTTTTTTGTTCTTGTTCTTGTTCTTCTCCTTTTTATTCTTGTTTTTCTTCTTCTTCTTACCTTTTTTCGGTTCAGGATTTTCCAAGTTAGCTTCCTCCAAAGAATCCTGCCAAATTGATAAACCAATGACAAATGAGAAGCAACAGCACCTCAAGAGTTTTGCATGTATCAATTACAAAATGGCAGAATCAAAGCACCTCAGAGTCACCAAAGGAATCTACATGTCGAACCATGCTTCCCAAATTTGAAGCCCCACCTGCGCATAAACAGAACAAAGAAATCAGAATAAATTGCAAACTAAAGATGCACATTCTAAAGCAATCTAATAACCAAATCCTAACAACTTGAACAACCTAAAGAAACTTAGATCACGTTTGGTGCATAAGATGATAATCATTCTATGTCATATTTGGTTCGTATCTAAAGAAGGGGATAGAATTACAAGGAGGATTAATCATCCTCTTAGCATAGGATTATTTCGATCCTCCCAAAATGGAGAGGGTTGTTTTGAATCTAAAGAATTGAACTTATATGGCCTATTATACCCTTACAAATTATATTAATAACTTAAATTGTATAAACTTTAAGGAAGGATAATTTTGACCAATAAAGAAAATTATCTTATCATAATCTTTGCACAAATCAAACACAATATAAGATGACATTATTTAATCTACTCCGATTCATAATATCATTTTATCCTATCCCATCATAATTTTTTGTACCAAACACATCCTTATAAGCCAACTTGCTAAATTCCCACTTCATTCACATATCTAATACACAGCAACTGGATTTCCCTATAAGAGTGAAGAAAGGGTGATAATAAGAAAATCATTGATCAATCATGAAATAAGATCTCAAGCATTCCCTATTTGTCAATCCAACCAAACCAACAGTTTCTTCTTTCCACACAAATAGCTGCAGAAGCATAAGTAAATCAAACTAAAACAATTTAGAGTTCATTCAACACTTAAACTAAGAAAAACTTAGTTCAATTTTTACATATAAATCAGTTTCAATGAATTGGGTCAAAGTTTTTTTCTTGCAAACTTGAGCAAAAATTCAACAAAACCAAAAATTTGCCATTCCAATTCACCAATATATAAAAATAAAAACAACCCAAGTTAAGATTAAAAGTATAACAGAGAAACAAAGTACTTTGAAAGACGGTAGCTTTAGCATTATTGACAGCCAATTCAAGAAGGTCAGGATTGATCGAAGACAAGCCATTGGGATCTTGGAGTTTCCTTTCGAGGAATTTAGCCAAAGCAGCAGCTTTGTTAGTCGTTAAAGGTCCTCCTGGATGAGCCAATCTGGAAACATACCACAAATCAGACTATAAAAAAATTGAATTTTGAAGCAAAGAGAGGGGACACTGTAAAAAAAACCCTAACCCTAGAGGAAAGAGGGGGAAAAGAAAAAAGGGAAAGGGATACCTGGGTTGAGAACGAGAAGGAGTAGGAAGGCAAGGGAGCGGAGCAAATTTGCTTCCCCTAAGTGCCCTCCTTTCTTCTTCGCTTAGTTCTTCAATTTCTCTGGCTACCATTTTCTCGCTGTTTCTTTTCCTTCAATTTCAATCACCAAACAGACCCTTAGCATAAATAATATATATATATATATATATATATATATATTATTTAGTCGATGTATACACGTGATTTTCAAGTTCAACTATTCAAATCCCCGATCTCCAAACAGAAAACGCGTAAATAATTTTTTTTTTAAACTTTATTATTTTATTTAGCAAGTTTCACTATATTTATTTTTTTTAAATAAATTTTTAATTTTTAATTTATATCCAAAAAACTTATAGCCTTTAATCTAATTATATAAACTCATAACATAGATTAATTTTTGATTAAAAATAAAGCTTAAATGTATAGAAATTAAAATTTATTAGTTTATTTGAGAAAAATAAAAATATAAAAATTTATTTAAAAAATTAAAATAGTTTAAGGATTTTTTTTAATATTTTAACCATTAGAAAACATGACACTTAGATGGTACTGATTCGCAAAATCTTAGATTTTGAAAAAAAATATGATCTTCAAAAAAGTGTGATACTTGAATTTTTTTTATTTTTAAAATATCTTGTGTTTAGATTCATGTATTTGATTAAAAATTTTTATGTATATTAATTCTTATATAATTATCATAATTTTCTTGACGACAATTTTTTTATTTTATTTTATTAATAATAAATACATAAATGATAAATGATACTTTTAATAACAAAATAATTGTTGTTTTTATTTATAAAATATCATCAATTTAGGCATTTGTTACTTTTTTTAGCAATAGAGATTAATAAAAAAATTATTAAAAAAATATCAATTAATAAGTTTGCCATTTTTTTTATATCATGAAAAAAAATTTTAAAAATTATTTTAATTTATTTATAAATAAATTATTTAAGACGTTTTTTTATAAAAATTTCCTTAACTATTTTTTTATAAAAAAATAAATGGATTATTTAAGAACCTTTTTCATATCAAACACCTCAATTGTAATATAAAAATATATTTTTTTGTACAAAAACTTATAATTAAGTTTCAATCACTTTCAAATATGCTTTTCAAAAGAGTAATGATTTTTTTATTCAAATTCAATTTGAAAATAAGATAACTTTTTAATTAAAATCCTAAAATATCACATGAAGAAGTAGATTTCTTATTCTAGAACTTTAAGTATTATTGAAAATTTGATTTTTTTTTCGTAATTAGATTACTTTGAACCAAGCGTATGAATCAAATATCCACTATTAAGATTATGGAAGAAAATTTGTGAATTCCCCTTAATCAAAACACACTTTTAGAGTTAAACCTCATACTTTTAAATTATGATATAAAAAAACATAACTAATACAATTTAAAATTTTCAAAATATTATGTATGAATTTAACAAACTCAAAAAATATATATCTTACATTCGCCGTATAAACACAATTCTAAACTTGCTCATGGTTTAGCCATCCATCCAAACCAAAAAAAATTATCCAAAATTTTGAAATGTTTATACATGAATATTAAGTCCATTAAATGAAATTAAACAAATAAATGAGACTTAATCAAAATAATAAAATTAGACTTGAATTTTATCATTTAAGGTCCGACCCAATTCAACTCGAAAATTAAACAAATATTTTTATCATAATAAAACAAAACCTATTTGTTTTATTTTTTATAAAGAACATGCCATTTGTTTTATTACTTATAATAAAATAAAATCTATTTATTTTTTGTACAAAATAATGATTTAATTTTAAATTATATTCAACAAAATTAAATTAAATCAAAATCCAAATAACTCGTAAATTAAATTAAAATTAATTAAATTAATAATTTACTAACAAAAAAAAAAAACCTCTTTTCCCTCGTTTAAGTACTAATACTTTAAACAAGTTTAAATTTTATTATTACACGTAAAAATAAATTTTGACAAAAAATAAAATCCAAAAAATCAGATCAAACCAAACCTGAACTTGTTTAAAATACTAAAATATCATACTAAGCTTGACCTAAATCCAACATGTGCACGCCAACATAATTCTCAAATTTACCTTTCAAAATTTTCTATTTTCAGTTATAGTATTGAAGTTTGGATACAGAAACAGAACCCAATATTACAATTCTCTGCCAGATCTTTACAGTTTCAATACAGGTTTTCATACATTTTATGTCAAAAGGATCCAAGTAAAATGTATTGGCTTTTGCCTAAACAGAGGCCAAGAGCATTATCAAGAACCGGACAATCAGACACTGAGGCCGAAAACAGCTAAATAAAGGAAGCATGGTAAAGAATAATCATTCAGTGATAACCCACCCCATCTCTTATAACTTTGAAGCAACAATAAGCTATTACAGGTCATATGCTCCCCACAGATAATGGCATCTACATTGGTGATACAATTGGGTTGGTTTAATAATGAGAATGACACGTGCAAGGGGGAGACTAACAAATTTGGTAGAGAATGAAATGCTCCTAAATTACATGCCTCTTTGGCCTAAAATCCTAAAAAGCAGGCTACAAAGCAAGAGGGTAATAGAATGGTTGAACGAGATTCGTGAAGTAATGCAGTTCCTTTGAACAATGGGGCAGGGAATGGTGCCCACAAGACATGGGAGTCCGAAAGCCACTGCAAAAACCCCTTCTAGATAGGTTATCTGCATTACTTGGAATTAACCAAGTAAGAACCTGAAAATGTCAGTAAGTGAGACAATGCCTTCTACACGGTTACTACCAGCTTCCACAATAACCAGCCGTCTAACACCTGAAATCAGGTTGGAAAATAATGTCATACGACAACATTTTTCACAATTATACAGGTTGGAAAATAATGATTTATCGGGAAATTTTCAGTGGAATGCCACTCAATAGATTGCAATGCTACATTGCTGATCTAAAGGCCAACAAAAGACCCGTCCCTGAAATCATTATACTTGTTAAAAAAAATACAAATTTAATGTAGTTTAAAATAAAATAAAATAAGAAAGAGAGAGTCACCAGGGTTTGCCAATTGTTCCATCACTTTAAGCAATGTATCAGTGCGCAAACACATCTGACATCTTTGACTTCTTGTCTCATAAGGAGTGTTAGAATCTTGTCCCAACTGCAATGCCTAATGAGTAAATAAAGAAAAAAGATTAACAAGTTTTCTGCAATACAAGACATTGGTTCAACTGATAGGATCAGAAGAATGTAAATTAGTTGGAACATGAAAATGATTCAGTTTCCATTTCAGAAGAAGGTGAAGTGTATTCATTAATAGAGAAGCACTTAAAGTCAGCTCAGCTACGCGTTATGTTCATGGTTTGAACCTGATATTCTTCAATGAGATTTTACCAATCATGCAACCTTTGGACTTTGAAAACATATGGGTTTGCAGCCAACATCATAACATGTTGGTTTGCAGAGTGCTAGCCATCATGAGCAATTACACTTTCGAATCTTGTTTGAGACTACCAACACATATTAGGGGAAAATAATCTCAAAATATCCACCTCTCCAAGAATTATCAGCTCCAAAACTTGTTCAACATATCCAACCTTGTTTGAGTAGTCAATTGCATAAACCAGAGAAAAGGAAAAAGAAAAGTTAATGCAGTTACCTGATAAACAGTCATTTCATCAAGATTATGTGTATAAGCTCTGCCTTTTGCCAAAGCTGTTATATCACTGAAAAAGAACAGACAACAAAGTTTTGAACAACTATCACCCTCAACCCAAGCTGACAGTAAGTTGTGTAAGCTAGAAAGATAATCATACAAGAATGACACCTTACCTCCGACAATATATGTCCAGTAGCGAGTCATTATCATCAACTATAGGTATTGAACTTACTTGAGCTGCAAAGACAAAGGCCAAAACCTTATCATACCAATATACAACACATAAATACATAAATATCTCTAATCAATTTAAGGTGGCCTCTTGAGTTATTAAACTTAACCTTGTTCTTCTGACTTCAAGAAAATCATAAATAATCTTCTTTTCTCCTCCTTATTATACTCTCTTATACCTCCCATAAAGTGTTGACAAAACAGGAAGCATACCTTGAACTAGCATTTTTAATGCATAACTAAGGGAAGCAGTATGTCTCAGCATCACAAATGGTCTACTGCTGGATTCACCAATTCTTGGAACCCATGTACCCAAAGGGATTGAATAAATTGGTAACTGTAGTATGGGCAAAGAACCAGAACAATGTTTAAAATACCTGCATATGCCTAGAAATCACACTCCATAGATTAGGGAGAAAGAAGCCATGTACTTCCTAACAAATAAAAACACAAATATTGTTAATTGACAAAACTATTAAAAGGCTCACATTTTAGTATTCCAGAAAGAGAAGCAAGATGTAACAATTGGGGAAAAGAACCATCTTCTGAGGATGAATGGATAATAGGAACTAGAGCTACTCCATTTTGCAAAATTTTCAAAGCTACATCCTTCAAATTACAATGTGGCCCAACCTGCATAATCAACAAGGGTCAATAACACCACTCATATACACAACTATAAAAAAGTTGCTGCCTTTCTCAAATGGCATAGCAAAAGAGAAATAAGAGATGAAGCAGAAAGGCATGAATAAAAAAATATAACAGAAAGGAACCTGAAGATGCAGCCTTCTCAAAACATCAAAGCAAAAAGAGGCATAGTTCGTAGTAAATTGGTAATGGCAACCGGGAAAAAAGAAAGAAAATGACAGGGTTTCTTTTTTTTTTTCCTAATGAAAACTATTTTACTTGAACAAAGCTGCCCCCAAAGGAGCATGGTTGTTATTCATTGCCATCATAACATAGAATAATCTTTCATAGCACAGCTGCATTGCGTTGCTCTAATCCTCGCCCTCACTTTTCAGCAGTTCCATTTTATACTTCTGGCTGAAATTTTCTTTTTTTGGCATGACTGCTAGATAAAGTTTTAAAGAACTCTTGTTAGTTCTTTTTTTTGCCGGTCATATTAGTTCATAATCACATTTTCTTTCCCAGAAACTAGAATCTTGCACCCATATGGTATCCAATCCCTGAATGTGGTGTGAACTTTTTTCTCAGTGAATATGATTCTTAAATGCACTGCAGCCATATTGGAAGTTGAGGCAAAATAAGATTCTGGCAAGACACCATAGCAAAACAAACATCTAATTATGCTGGTCACCATCCAGACCTTCACTCACACTACACCTAGATGATGTACAAACAGCATCATTTGTACAAACACACACATACACACACACACACACATGCACGTGCATAGAAATAACATCTTTATTAAGTTGTCATCAAAGGGAAACCACTATATTAGGCACAAACATGGATGAGACGTCTTGGTCTCCCATGCCCATCAATTTGTCCATTCATGTACGCCTTTCCCTCTTTCCAGGCAGAAACAGTGTGCGTTTCAAGCTCTTCCTCTGTCAAATTTGATCCATGATTTCCAAGCTGCATACGAAAAAGAGTGCTATAAGAGAAAAACAGAAATCGAGATCCATCATCATAAAATTATCTTGTGTTAAGATCTAGAAACTTTCTAGTTAGGTGGAATTAGAATAAAAGGAAAAATCTCGGTTGAATTTGCAAGGCTTGCTAGTAAACTTGATTCTGCATTACAAACATACCTCTCTCAGAATCAATATAAAATCCAAAGCACTAAGAACTCCAACAAACTTCCCCTTGCAGAAGTCCCAAAGAGGAGCCATAGGGATACCCTGAAAATGGCTTAACTCAGAAAAGATATGTATCCAATCTCTTTATCAGCAGAAAGCAAATATGCATGAATCTTACCAAGAACTTAAGTAATATCCATGGAGAAATCTAGATACACGTACAGCTAGGAAAGGCTCTAAGAAGCAATTATTAATAAAAGAAAAGTATGGAGGTTTCCTCTTTCTCTCTTTCTTTGTCTTTCTATGGTGGCAAATTATGTGGCTATGCAGAACATGTTTCTTAACCAACAAAAAATCAGGAACCATTAAATGAAAATAACTATATTCAATCCACATTCCACAGACATCCCAAAACAATAACTAAATCCTAACCTCTGAATGAACTAAACAGATACCTGCTCAGACAGTATATGAAATGCTTGTTTTACAGGCAAATCAACATCCAAGGCAACAACCTGCAAGGAAAATCCGTCTAAATTAGTAAATTAGAAGTAAGACGCACTGATCAGAGACAACCATGCAGAGAAATGCATATATCATGAGGGAGGGCCGATAGGAATGCATCCAAACCTTGCCTGACTCAGGTAGTAACTCATAAGCAGTATGTGCTGCCAAGAATACCGAGATATGATGACGGGAGGCATGTACATCCTCTTCTGAAATCCTAGGCATTGGTTGATTCAATGTAACTGCAGAAATTCGATGCTGCATTGCAAAAAGGTACCAAAATCCACTTACACAAGAAAGTAAAAGGAAATAAAAAGGTATTAATGAATAAATAAATTGGCATATGCCAAGCATGCATTAAGAGCTAAAATGCAACAAGCAACAATCATATACAGACTACAGTGTTTGCAATGCATAACTAGATCTGAGACAACTTAAATAAAAAAAAAAAAGAATACCAAATCGTTAGAGTCCATTTGGCATTGCGATTGGAACTGCATTTGACTGCAAATGCAATGCCTAACAAGGTCAATTTTCGATAAAAAAATCTTGATCACAACAAATTGTTAGCAACCACTAAAAGCAAGTTCCTACTTGTTTTTGAGACCTACTTCTGCAATTATGATGAGTTTGCTTTTGATCACAATTTTTAATCTCAATCGCAATGATAAACTAGGCCTTAAAAAGGAAAAATATTTTCAGCAAAATTGCTATGTATAAAGTTAAGGAATATAACTGACTCTTACCCTGAGACCATCGTCCACTTCCATGTTGTTCAGTATCTCTGTACGAGGTTGTACCTGGGGGGCCTCTGCAGGTATAGGTAGAGTGTCAAAAGTGTTGACTATTCCATATTCACCATTCTTGTGAGGTTGCTGATCGTCATGTCGCCATTCACCATCAACAAGAAACTTGTACTACATGTAAGAACCAACACAAATGAGTAAATAAAATACAAAGAAGAAGGTCATGGCAAAAATATTTGGATCAACACGCTCCGGTAGCACTTGACATTGACAATAAAGCCATCCTAACCTATATACTATCAACAATAGTACTTAACATGCCCAACTAATAAAAATAGCACGGCAATTAGATTAAAACATTGAAAAATTAGAAAGTACCCATATTTCCAAAAAATTTGAATTTCCAATTCCTATAGAGCAAACTAACGAACCTCATGGCAACCATGTGGTACCGCACATACAGCTTGAAACACATTGGGGCAACCTTCAACCTGTGACATTGGCACGAGCTGCCCCGACCTTCATTTTCAAACAATTAACCATTAATTCTAAATTCTAAATACAAATCATAAGCCAAACACATAATAATTGAAAGGGAAAAAAAAAAAAAAAACAGAGATAATTAAAGTGTCACCTATTGAAAGAGCCAGATAGGAAGACACTTCTCCCACCATGTGGCCATGTAAATTGAATTGGAAACAGCACCATGCCGGCGGTGGTTGCTCTGTCTGCATCCCGGGCCGGATTCATATCCGAAGCAAACACTTGGCAGCCGCCTTTTTAATAGAATTAATTCTTTAACCCAAAAAAATAACAACTTCCTAGCAATCAGCTTCTTTTTTTAACAACTTTCTCGTCTCCCTTCAATCACTGCAAAAAGAAAGTGCATAAAGCAACGAGTATAACATCAAAGACTCGCCTTTTACTTGATTGTACGGACAAACCCTAACCCTTGAAATTCAAAAAGGGAAAATTTCAGTTAAATGTGAGATGAATAAAAATCAAACCTAAAAAGGGAATTGGAAAAAAGAACAGAAAAAAAAAGGCTAAATTTTTTTCGAATTTACTGAATGTGGGCGTGAAGATCGAGAGTGGCGTTTTTGCGATAGGATCGAATCTGATTTTCTTTTTTATTTTCCTTTTTTTATAAATATTTTTTTCTTTTTTTAATTTTGGAAAACCTAATAAAAGAAAAGATGAAAGTTTTGAAAGTGACGTTGAGATCGAACGGTAATTCGTCTTTTGTCTTTGGGGTAAAATATGAAGGAGATTTCGAGGCTTAAAGTGCTTTGGTGCACCCCACCACGTTTTTGTTCTCTACATAATTTTTTTAATTATTTTTTATTTCAAATTTGAAATGTTCCGGATATAAAAATTTAGTTAATTATATAATTTTATAAATTTTTGTATCGATAAATTAAAAAAATTATGTTTAAGATTTTTAAAAAATATTTAATTAATATCATCCTGATCTAATAAAAAAATTTTATTTAATCTTTTAAAATTTTAACAAAACCCAAAATTTTCATGTCTTTAAAAATTTTAACAATATTACAAAAAATACTGTTTGCTTTAAATAATTATAAATTTGTTTACAATTTGATAAAAAAAATTATAGTTTTAATAGCAAGAGCATTTGATTACAGCATATGAGTCGTTCGATTTTTTTTTTTTGTTTTAATAATTTGAGATAAAAACTTTTAAAAACTTTCAATATAAAAATAAAAAAATTTTAAAAATTTTAGATTATCTTTAAGTAAAATTATTTAATTAATTTTTTCACTTTTAAAAGTTTTTAAATATTCAACTTACCAGACATATGTATTCGCCAAATTAGATAAGTTACTCTTGTAGCTAAACCCTAAATCTAGAAATTTAATTGAGAAAAAAAAAATCTCATATCTTGTAAAATTTTTATAATATTATAAAAATAATTTATTTTAAGTAATTATAAATTCATTTATAAATTGATAGATAAAAATTATATCTTTAATAAAAAGAGCACTTAAATACAATATGTGAGTCTTTGAATTTTTTTTTTTATTTCAAAAATTGAAAGAGGGAAATTGATTGATTTCTTAATGAGGTTTCCAAGGTTACTTAAATGATGTTATTAAAGAGAAATAAAAATTTTTAAAAATTTACGGATATATGAATCTATAAATTTTTAAAATATTTGGATATATGAATTAAAAAAAATTTTAAAAATTTATAAATTTATAAATCTAAATATTTTTAAAAGCTTTTTAAAAAAGTAATTATGTAATTCATTTAAAAAATTTTTGAAAAAATGTGAAAAAAAATGGTGCAAATAAAAGTTTTTTATTTTTAAATAAAAATTATAAAGTAATTGTGTTAATTTAATATAAAATAAATTTCTTATTATATAATAAATAAATAGATAAATTTTATTTTGATTATTATATAATAAATTAATTAATAAATTTTTATTATCCCAACGTTTGCTTGGCTTGAGACATTGAGTTTTGCTTGGTTGGACCCACTACTCATTATTGACCAACCAAAATTGATTAGATTTTTTTTTTTTTTTTGGTTTCTTTTGGATTTTTATTATAGTGAGATATTAATGAAAGAATCTTTGTGATTAAATGATTGAGTTGAGGTATTTACTTTGGTTTTTTTTTTTCCTTCTTAGTAGTATAAATAAAGGAATTTTTTTATTTTATTTTTTATAAAATTTATTTGATAATGTGGCAAAAGCTTTTTTATACAAAAATATTGTTTTAATTACAAATCTACCACAATATCAATGAATTTTTAAGTTAAAAATAATAAAATTTTGATCAATTCAACACAAAATTAATTACTATTATTAATTATCATTTTGAGAAAATAAATGGATGACTTATAAGTAATCTAATTTATTTGCTTAATGTTTTTTCTAAAATAATAAAAGAATTCTTAAATTTATCACTTTAATTAAATAAATGTATGATTATATTATGCCAAAATCTTTAATTTTTAATTTTCGTTCAAAAAGTTTTTAATTTATAATTTGTATCTACACAATTCATTAATATTTAATTTGTCTTAAATAAACTTTTAATATAAATCTATCCATAGTTTTAAATAATTATTTATTTTGATATAAATAAACAAATTTTATTTAAATACAATAAAAATATAAAAATTTATATAAAAAACCAAAATAGTTCTTTTTTTATTTTAAATGAAATAGATGAACTTTTATTATGAAAATAGTACCAAAATGAATACACAACATTAAGGGAAAGTTTTCATCGTGCTACTATGATACTCCAATCTTATATTAAAAGATTTTGAAAATTTGTTATGATATATAAGTAAAAACTTAAATTTAAATTTATAATGCGTCTTTTATGAAACAAAATTATAAAACTTTTATATTAAAATAAAAAATATTTCACAAATTAAATGTGAATTTCTATAGCTACGAAATAAAACTTTTTGTATAATCAAGTTTAGGAATGAAAACAAACACTTGCACTTGATTGAATCAACAACAATATGTGATTTTACCATGATATTATATAAAGTAAATTTAACCATATTAAAAGATGATAAATTAATAATTAAAAAATAACTTTATGATTTTTTTTTCAACATAACTCTTATCATTTATAGTCATAGGAAAAAGTGTAAAAAAAAAAAGAAGAGGAGTTATTGTCATATGTAAATTGTTCAATAAAAAAAACAAAACAAGTTGAGGTTGATTGCCTTATTGCCACCTAATAATAAATTTTTTAATAAATATAAAATTCATAACACTTATTACTTGGATTCAACTCAAAGTGATGGGAGAAGAGTGGAGTTTGGGTTCAAATTACCTTGGCATTAATTCTTTTGTTGTAACCATTAATTTCTTTACTAAAACAACTTTTTAGTATGTGTTTGATATGGGATTTTATTGATTAAATTTTAATATTTTATTTTAAAGATTTCAAATTTAAAATTTTAAGATAAAATGTGATAAGTTTTACAAAAATTTAAAAAGATTATTTGCTATTGTATGTAAACCAATATGATTTATTAAAAAAAAAAAAAAAACTCATGCTATGAGATCACATTCTCTTCATTGGGAATGCTAATTAAATCTTTAAACTATAGTGAGGAGGAAAAATTATAATAGCATGCAAATCAAAACCATGATAAAGAAGATTTATTCATTAAATGAAAATGAAGAAAATTATAATTGAAAGGAGACTGAATTGATAAGAATTTAATTTTTTATTTTTAAGATTTTAATTTTATCTTTATTTTAATAATCATTTTGATGAACAATATATAAATTTCATGTAAATTTTCATTGAGATCTACATTATATTAGGGATTAGAAAAAAATAAAAAATAAAAAATTAATTTAAAATATTAGTGTTCGATTTGATTCAAATTGATTTTTTTATTTAGTTCATATTAAATTCAGATATTAAATATATATATATATATATTAGATTCAAATCAAATTTTATATCCATAGATTAAAAATAAAAAATGAATTGAATCGAATTATATATTTTATTAGTTTTTATATATATTTTAAAATTTTATAAAATAAAAATAATAATTTTATATTAAAATAATACATAAAATTTTAAATTTAAAAACTAATAAAAATTGAATTAAATAAAATTGATAAAATTCGATTCGATTTAGATTAGATTGTATAAAAAATCGATTTGAATTCGAATCGAATTTAAAAAATTTATAATATTATATAATATTTTAAAAAATAAAATTTAATTTAATTTAATATGAACTATTATCATCTATCGTGGTTTGAAAAAATATAATATCCTTTCACCTAAATAATATATAAAAAGAGGAAACCTCTAAAAACCAAGAGTTGCCTTAAGTTAGAAGAAAAGAAAATTCTCTATTGCTTTACAAAACATGAAGGATTGGAATAGTCACGGTCATGGAATTTTTATTGCACAACCAAACGCCAACAACAAAGTACATGAAAATCAACTTCCAAGTGACACCAATTAAACGGTGCCGTTTTAGCAACAATCACAATTTGTCAATCTTTCCCACGCTCCTGCCTCCCACGCGCCATAACAGAAATGGAGTCGATAAAGTCAGTCCCCGTATAAAAAATGAAAAAGAAGGGCAAAAGGGGAAGAAAATACGAAGAAAAGAAAAAAAAAAGGAAAAAAATTCCCAAATTAATAATTAAAAGAATATATAAAAGAAACCAAAAACACAAAAACCACAGCTCTTTGTCTGCTGTTTTTTCTAGAAAGTGTGAACAATTTTCTAGAACCAAAAAAGAGTAAGGACCGAAAAACGAACTTGACACCGCGACGCGTAACGAGTCAATCCCGAGTCGGCGGCATTGGTCGATCAGCTTCTTTCTCCATCGTCTGATCATCAATATATTTGATCGTGAGTTAAAAAGAATTGGAATATTAATTGATCAATGTTATCAAAGTGATTAATTAAAAAAGGGTTATTTATTATATATATTTTAAAATTTGATAGGATCCAAGTTGGTTTTGGGAGATTCATTTGTGGGTTTTGGTGGGTTTTTTTTGAATATTTTATTGGTTTTTTGTTTTTAATTTTGGTGATGTTGGATTTTCGGGAGGGTGGGGAATTGGAGGGTTGAGGGGTTAAGGTTTTGGGGATTAGGGTTTGGAGATGGATGAAAGTTCTGAGCTCGAAGAAGGAGAAGCTTGTTATCACAAAGATGATGACGGTAATATTAACCCCGATACAGCCTTCTCTTACATTGTAAGGGTTTAATTTTTGTTTTTTTTTTTTTAATAAAAATTCAATCTTTTATACACCTGTTTTCTCTTTCTGAAACTGGGGATTATGCTTCAGTTAATGCCATTTTAGTTTTTGATACGAATTATGCTTAATTCCGAGTGTGATTAATTATTTATGGTACTTTGTAGGTAATGCAATGCTATTAAGCTTTCTTGCTAGGAATGGTTAATTTGAAATAATGCTTAATTTTGGGTTTGATTAAGCATAGAAGGCAATTACTAATTATAATGAGTTGTGGCTCTTTATATGCATTAGAGTTCTATAAGGCTTTAACTTTGAGTTTATTTGTGGTATATGACCATTGATTCACTAATACAATTTCTTGAGAAATGAAGGCAGTGGCGAAATTGACGATTGTGATTGAGATTTTTCACTTCTTTGCATACTTATTACACAAAAGTGTTATTTTGACATGTTTTCATATACAAATACTTGGCTTAGTTAGGTTAATTTTTCATCACTAGGAATGTTATAAAACAACTAGAAGAATATGTTTTAAAGGTCTTTTGCATGCCTTTGTGCAGTTTTGTAGCTATTTATGCAATGTGATAGTATCAATAATGACAAAGAAGATACAACATTGTCATCATTTCCCCCTTGTGATCTGTGGGCTAAAACTTTGAAGTCAGTTTACAGCCAAGGTATAGAAAAGAAAGTAAATAATAGGCTTCACTTCATAAAGTAATTGTCCTCTTTCTCTGCAACAATTTGATGAATAAAAAGTTCCTTGCCTGGATGATCTTTGATACTTCCTCAACATTTGGAATTTTTTATGTTGATAGTGTTTGTTTGACAATGACATGTGGTTATCTAAATCAGTTCTTAATTTATTTGATCTAATTTGTATTGAAATATTAAACTATGATTTGCTCATATTATTGAGCTTCTGAAAAGAATGGACTTCTAGATGCGTATAATAGTTGGCTTGTTTTGCCTGTTATTGATGTACTTTAATCTGGTCTACATTAACTTTCAAAGTTCTCTATGTTATTCCATTAGTAATGTGGGATTTAATTTCTTAAAGGATGAGAAGATTAAAAACGTTTTGGGCCATTTTCAAAAAGATTTTGAAGGCGGGGTTTCTGCAGAAAATTTGGGTAAGTGGTTGATCAGAGTTTTAACAAATTTCAAGTACTATTCAAGCTTAATGTTTTTCATTGAAGATGATGATCTGGACTTATATTTTTTCAGGGGCAAAATTTGGTGGGTATGGCTCATTTTTACCTACCTATGAACGTTCTCCTCCAAGATTATCATGTCCAAAGACACCACAGAGAAACTCCAGCACACCAAGGTCTCCCAACAATTTATCTATGGAGGTATATGGACAATATCCCTACTATAGTTTGGTCATTTCTTTTTGAAGCAGATGTCCATAGCTGTGGCATAGACAGCTTTATGAAATTTTAGTGCTATGGGTTGTGTTACCCTACAGGGTGTATCTCAGAATTTTAAAGCTCCTCCAAATACACTCCCAACTGGGAGAGCTGTGAATGCTTCCTTCCCAACTGGAAATATTGCAGCTAAACATGATTCACATTTGTCTTCTGCTCAAGTTGTTGAGAAGTCTGCCTTGAAGGATGGTAGTTTTAACAAAGCAGGGATTCCCAGTGACCGTAAGACATTGAAGGTTCGAATTAAGATGGGCTCTGATAATAAAGCTCAAAAAAATGCTGCAATATATAGTGGCCTTGGGCTTGATTGTTCTCCATCTTCGTCTTTGGGGAACAGTCCTGAGGAAAGTGGAGGAACAGTGAAGATATCTCAGGAAACCACTAGTGAATCATCCACTAGAATTCTTCAGGTAGAGGTTTCTCTTGGTTGTATTCAGTGTCTGCGTATGAAATAAGAAGGATGCATTGATATTTTATGCCTTTAAACAGGTTATGACTTCCTACCATGTCCCTGGTGGTGTACTTATATCTCCTCTTCATGACAGTCTGCTATGCTTATTAATAAAGGAAAAGGAAAGACCTTCTAGAGATAATAAATCTATCCTGTCGATTAAAGCTTGTCAAAAACATTCTTCTGGGTTAATAGACGAGTCCAAACAATTACATGAGAAGAAAACAAAATTCTTAGTGGGGAAAAGTGCAAAGCTGGTGGAATCAAAGCACAGAAATCGCGTGAATGTTGAGAATGACAAAGCATTGCTAATAAAAAAAAAGTCTGAAAATGAGATTGCAGGAGGGAAGGAGTTGTTGCCCACAGCTCTAACTAATTCGGTGAACATTGCTGATTCTATGGAAGCCACTGGTAGGGCATGTGATGTTTCTGCAGAAGCTAATCAGGATGCACCAAGAGGTAGATTATTTTCCTCTGACTCGGCAAAGGAGGATTCTTTGGAGTCAATATCTGGAAGGAGTAGAGCTAGTGGCAATAAAAAGAAGCAGGATGCACAGAATAGTTCAGTTGAAAAGGGTTGGGAACGGAGTGTAGTAAATTCCCATAAGAATGCTTCACTTGACCCTGGGGACAATGTTTGGAGCAAATGCTACCAAAATTCTGCCCCTTTAAAATGTAAGGAAGATTCAAAAATGAAGGTTGGTCACATAGCTACATTTCGTGTAAAAAATAAAATAAACATTCCCTCTGAGAAGGAAAAGACATTGTTTGAGGGCAAAAAGAAGTCCAAAGGTAGCAAAAATACTGGACGTATAGCAGATTCGATGAAGGAAAGTTTGAGACTTGATGTGGGTGAAACAACTAAAAATACCACTAGTTCTAGTCAGGGTTTTTCTTCAGGTAAAAGTAAGATTCAAAAGTTGAAGTTGCGGAAGGATATTAATAAGGTCCGAGATAATCATAAAGATGCACTGAACACAAATTTCGAACAGAAAAGTGACCAAATGAAGCTGACAACGAGGCCCTCTCAAAATAGGCCAAAAGATTCTGGTCCATTGGCTTTTGAGACTCAGCAGAATGGCTATTTGAATAAGTCAAAGGAAATATTTAGTGGTAGACCAGTAGATAACCAGCTGTCCGAAGTGGATTCTTTAGGTTTGGTTCCTCAGGTCACTGATAAAACACTTGCCTCTCAGAGAGCAGCACCATTAACAACTGCTTCTGTAGTCATACAAGAAAATTGGGTTCAGTGTGATCATTGTCACAAGTGGCGACTTTTGCCCTTTGATACTAGACCGGAGCAACTCCCCGAGAAGTGGTTGTGTAGCATGCTTAACTGGCTGTAAGTTCCTTAGATGAGTATCAAATAAAGTTTTTGTTGCATATGCCTGTCTCTTTGTTTGACCACATGCTATGTGTGTGTTTGTGTTTGTGTGCACATGGTCCTAGATGTGCAAATAAGTAGAAATACCTGGTGAATGATAGGTACATGCTTAGATGCATTGGCTACGTGTGTGAACACATGCATTTATATTTTGCTTTTGCTGATTTTTGTTGTTGAAATTGTTGCATAGACCCAGAATGAACCGGTGTGACATTAGTGAGGAGGAGACAACAAAAGCTCTCAATGCATTATACCAGGTTCCGGTTGCTGAAAATCAAAATGACCCTCGAAATCATGCAAATGAAACTACGTCAGTAGTTACTTCAGCTCATCTCCGGCATCTTGATCAGAACAACTCTAGTGTCTATTCTCATGTGTCATCTATTCGAGGGAAGAAGAAACATGGCCTGAAGGAAGTGCCCAAAGCAGGTAGCCGTGGCCTGAGTCAGATGTCAAACTCTAAAAATAACCTACTGCAGGAATCTTTTGAAAGTAGGAGCTTAAAGGACATGACCCAGGTCCCTGTTGAATCAAACCTCATGACGAAATCCAGCTTTCAACAGAAAGAAAAACATCCAGTTGGAGGTATTTAGTCGACTTTAGAGCCTTTATTTCACTATCAGTCAGGCTTTTATATTAAGAGTATTTATTTGTTTATCTGTGGGCGTTGTTTCATTGTAGGTGAGACCAAGCAAGCAAAGATGAAAAACAAGAGGGACTCTGGTCTATATGCATATGAAGGTTCAAAGAAAACCAAAACAGATGTTATACACACTTCTGATAAACATAAGAGTTCTAACTTGGACCCTAGAAGGGTGGGCCTTAATTCAATCACTGGCTTACCAACTCAAGCAAATGGAAGAAGTGTGCAGAATTATAAAGAGTGCTCTAGTTCTGGGGATGTAAAGCATGACATGAAAGAAAGATCAGTAGTTTCTGCGAAGAAACTTGTGGATAAAACTCAGGCCTTGTCTGATGGTGGGTCATTAGACGGGAGAATATGTGATAAAAGGGCTTCTTTGAAGAAAAGGAAATCAGAGGACTGGCTGGACAGTCAAAATGGGAATGAGTTATATATGAAGGAAGAAACTAGTGAGAGTGGCTTTGGGAATGAAAAGAAGTCACGAGTTTCAAAGATTGAGGGGAAGCAGTCCCATAGAAATGATGGTGATGGTACATCAAACAGGAAAACTATGGATCATTTGATTGGTGGCATTGAAGAAGTCAGAAGTATTGATCGGAACCAGCCACTAAGTAAGCTCAAGAAAAAGTTCTCATCTCAAAAAACTTTGGGTGGCCTTGATTCATCGAGAAGAGATTCTGGAACTGGACAAATTTTAATAGCAGCAACTTCTAGCTCTTCAAAGGTTTCTACTTCTCGTAAAACCAGATCAAACTTTGAAGAAGCAAGGGATTCTCCAGTTGAATCAGTTTCTTCATCTCCCATGAGGACCTCATTTCCAGAAAGGCTTGCATCAACAGGAGGGGATGGTTCAGGGAAGGATGCTGCTGCAAGTAGTGGCATTCCTGTAAGTGGCAATTTTAGACAATGTTGGGATGGAGAAGTTACTGTTGAGGTTGTTCAATGTGGTACAGAAACGAAGGAGAAAGTGCTGGGTGATTTTAACCCCAAATCACATAAATCTTCTAACCTGGATTATCGGGATAGAGATTCTATTAGCAAAATCAGCATTAAAACTAAGCCTTCTTCAAGATTGGAGAATAGCCATTTGCTCAATGGTGATAGTCATTTCACAGAAAATGGGCGGCTTGCTATAAAATGTTCGCATGGTGAGGATAGAGTGAACAAAGAGTGCCATGACAATTCATTATTTTCTCAGAAATCTGACAAGGGTTCCACTTTACAGACAAAAGACAGTAAAAGAAGTTTTGCTGTGGATAAGATTAAGGTTTATGAGGCAATGGATGAACCGGAAGATTTATGTTCCAGAAAGAGCATGAGGTATCAATCTGATGCCTACCCCAATGGTCATGCATGTCTTCAAGAATCAATTACTGATTGTAAAGGCAATTTGCCTAAATCTAGCAAGGATGGGAAGAACTGTGTTGGAAGGAGGGATCCTTCAGATCAATGGTCAAGTGATAGTAGAATGGAGATCAAGTCAAATATAAAGCATGATGGATTTGATGTAAAATCTGCTGCTCTGTGCAGCACAGAAGGGAACACTGCCCCCGAGAAAAACCTCCAGGATTTTAGTGGTCAAACTAAGGTAATGCAAGTAGAGATAAGAACTGGAATGCCAAAATCGTCCTTGCATTGTGAAGTTGAAAGCCAACAAGAAACAAAAGGTCATCAAACAGTACCAGAAACCCAAAAGGGAGTTATCTCTGATGGGTTTCCAGTTAACGGCTCTGGCAATGTTGATGCTTCCACGGCTTTAAACCAGCCTGGAAAAGCTGGCAGCAAGAATGGATCTGCCCACAGTTTGGGACAGCAAATGCCTGAACTGAATGTGGTCAGGGGCTTCAATTCTCGCAGTCATGTGAGAGTAAATTCTTCCAGCCAGACAGCAACTAGTACCCTGAATGATGCTAAAGAGCTTAGAAATTATGCCGATCGTCTTAAGGTTTATTTTCAGATTTTTTTCTTGCATAGATATGCCACTTTTGTTTAAGTTATAAAAAGAAGGTTTTTGCTATCCTAACTGTGACTACCATTTTATTGTCCTCTTTCAGAGTTCTGGTTTTGTTTTTGAAAGCAATGAAATTTACTTCCAAGCTGCCCTTAAGTTTCTTGGGGTTGCTGCCCTTCTAGAGACTAGCAATAGTGAGAGCAGCAGACTTGGGGACATGAACCAAATGCAAGTGTATATCACTGCCGCTAAACTTTGCGAGTAAGTGAATGTTTCAAAAGTGATTGGAAACTGTTGTTTCTTGAACTTCAATGGGTTTTTGTGTTTATAGTTACATAAGCGGTGTTGATTATCCCTATTATCTTGCTCTATGCTGAAATTCTCAAGTTCACAGAATGTGTGCCCAAGAATACGAAAGACGCCAAGAAATGGCTGCTGCTGCTTTAGCCTATAAATGCATGGAGGTGGCATACATGAGAGTTGTTTATTGCAAACATTCTACTAACAGCCGAGAGCGGAATGAGTTGCAAGCAACTCTACAGATGGTTCCTCAAGGTAAGAAGTCATCTGATGGGTATATATCCTAACTTGTTTCTCCTTCTGTGATTAATTAAACATCCCTATAGATGGCTTGAATCTTCTATTTGGTGATGTCTACCTTTAAAGTTTGAATCATATGCAATAAGTGGTGCTATCTATTGGGGGGGGGGGGGGGGGGGAGGAGGGTTGTGGTCTATTTATTTGAGGGCAGTCAACAGTGCATGTGGCCATTTTAGGTTCCATTTGAAGCTAACATGTAGGCATTTCATAGTTCGTTTTCCTTTCCTACTGAACCCTGATTGTGCTAGAGCCCCAATTGTTGTTGCATATTATGCTGTAAGGGATCTAAAATAAAATATTCATCATAAACAGGTGCTTTTTGTTTTGTTGAAGATGCAAAATTAGTTACTAAAATTGTTTCCTCCATGTTAATTAGTAGTCTCATGTTGTTGCTTGTCACATGTTAATTGTATCTTTCCAAATGGTTTCTTTCAGGTGAATCTCCATCATCTTCTGTATCAGATGTTGATAATGGCTTAAATAATCAACCAATGGTGGATAAGGCTCCGTCAGCAAAGGGTAATGTTTCTCATGTTGCTGGAACCCATGTCATTGTTGCTAGAAACCCCCCAAGTTTTGTTCGGCTACTTGACTTCGTAAGTTGATTCAGTCTGACAGTGCCAATCTCTCCCTTTCTCCTCTCTTCTCTCTCTCTCTTGCTTCTTTATGATTTTATATGTTTTATTAGGCTGTGATCTACACAGGGTATTTATTTCAGTGTATATTGGAAACTGCCTATAAAATATTCTTTGCTCCAAGAAAGTTCCAAGTTAGTTGAACGCCAATTATTATGGAGAACTTGTAAAGTTTTTATTGGGTGGTTGGGCTTTGAATATATGTGGTTTTGGTGGAAATAAGATGATAATCTGAATGAAGATGCGTTAGAAAGGGTAATGAGAATGCTTAGCCACTGGCCCTTCAGTATATATTTGCATTTTCTGACTAGGGTGCTTAGGGAAGGTAGGTTCTTTCTGAACTTGCTGGTCGAAGAACCAAATTTTGATTGCTTGAAATATCATTAGATGGCCCTGCTATATAATTAAGATAGGGAGTTAATATGATTGGTTTTCTTGACTGTCCAATAGATTGATGTCAATAGCCTGGCCAAGCTTGTTGGTAGACTTTTAATGTCAGGCTTACGCTGTTTTCCTTCTTGAATAGTGCTTGTTATTCTCTGGTTTAGAACAAGGGATATGTTGAAAGTTTGCCTGTGCTGAAGTCTGCCCAAAGATCTTTATTGTAAACTAAAGCTAGAAATCATTCAGTACTGGTCCTGGATAACCACCGGTATAATCTCATATGAACTTGATAAGAATACCCTGTCACTCAATGTCTATATTAGCTAATAAGGTGGTTCAATTAGGTAAATGTGTTAATATGTAACTGTTCTGCAGACACAGGATGTAAGTTTTGCAATGGAGGCTTCAAGAAAATCCCAAAATGCTTTTGCAGCTGCTATTTCCTCCCCGGAAGAAGCACAAAATACAGAGTGTATTACTTCTGTTAAAAAGGTGATTGATTTCAGCTTCCAGGATGTGAACGGACTTGTATGTTTGGTTCAGCAGGCTATGGAGACCATAAGTTGTTCTGGTTTTGGTGGTGCTAGAGATTAAGTCAACTCTGTACATATTATGTGTTTTATGGTTTATAACCCCCAATGTGGATTGGAGAAGAAAGGGGACAAACATGCCTACTTAAACCTGCATTTGGAAACAAGGAAAGGCGTGTGTTGCTAACAGCCTGTTGCCTCTATGTACATGTGTACAAAGTGAGATTTGGTTTGCAAATTTTGTAACGTATATTTTATATGTTCACCTTCTTGACATTGATAAGAGCACAGCATGTTCACCCTTAAATTTTCTGGGTTGGCGAAGAGGAAAAAATTCTAGCTTGTTCGGCAAGAGATTTGGAGTGCTATGTAAGATGTCAGTTCCATAGAGTACTATTTTTTTTTTTTTTGGCTCCATTGTTTTGGGGCCTGAGGAAAAGAGTATATATAGAGGTTGGAAATCATTAGGCAACCATTTTGAGGAGGTTGAATGCTAATATAGTGTTGACTACTCATCCATTTATTCATTAATATTGGTTCTCTGCTCTGTTTACAATTTGTTCAAAATTTTATTGGATTGGAAAATGATATCCCTTTGGAAAGGTTCCTGCATTTTTTTTGAGTTATCAAGCTTGAGGTGCTTGAGATAATTGTGCAAGTTTCAAACTCAGAGAAGAAATCTGCATATTCAGGTATGCAATATTTAATATCATGCCATATTCTTCAAGCATATTATGTGAAATTAACATTTGACAAGAACTTATGATGATTGTGGTGGTGCTTTCCTTCCTCTCTTCTTTTGGTTTGTTTTGATTACTCTTCTCAGAACTACGGTAGATAATGGCAGTCATTTTCTTATAAGTCGGGATGTAAATAATAACATGCACTCGTTTCAAATAGAATGATTCAAAGAGTTTATATTCCTTTAGGAGTAGAAGGGAGCACCGAGAGGAGGGTGGTTAACTAAGCATCATCTCGGCTATAGATAGACGTAGTAATTCATGTATTCTTGTCGTGTAAAATATGAATAATTTATATATTCTTGTTGTGTTTTAATCTCAATTATATATATTTTTTGGGTGATGAATTATGTCTAATCTTGTTGAAGGCTGCAATTTCTTGGGTTCACTCAGTGGCTTGTAATGCTTTGTTGAAAGTTGCCATCGCTCTTGGGTTCACTCAAGTCTATCTTTATTGTAATATTTTTAAATTTTACAAACAAAAAATTAACATATATCTTATTAAAATATATTTATAAAATTAATAATTAAATGAATACCCACGTGATAATATTTTATTCCTGTTTATAAAATTTAATATAATTTCTTCAGTATCAACAGTTCGACATCATCCATCATGGTTTCTGAGTTTTTAGCAGTTTTTTGATATATGATAGATATAACTCTTGTACGGTAGATAAGTGCCTCATTGAATTTAGTAATTTGTTTGATTGATTCGATTAATTTTGAATTTAATTATTTGATATTAAATTAATTAAATTAAATTATTTTATTTTTATTAATCAAATTAAATTTATAAATTTGAAAAATTAATTGATTGAGTTTAATTTAATGGGTTTGATTAATTTTTTTGATTAATCGAATAATAAATATATTTAAATTAAATTAAATTTTAAATAAATTAAATAAAATTATTTAATAAAATATTTAAATATTAAAGTATTATGTTAAATAACAACTTAAAAAATTAAGTAATCCATTTTATGTATTTTTTATTTTATAGTTAGATCATATTATAATTAAAATTTTGATTAATTTAATTTTTTAATTAAATTAATTGAAAATTAAAATTTTTTTAAAATTATTTTTATTAATCAATTAAAATTAATTTAATGATCAATTAATTCAATCAAATCAATTATGAACACCTCTAATTGCATTATTAGTCTTTAGGGGCAGCTTCAAAACGTAGGAAGATGATATCAGCAAGTTGGGCCGCCATACAATTCAAGCTTTGAAAAAAGTAGCAGGTGTCACAAAAAAACAAAAAGGTTTAGAAAAGGACCGAAAAGTGGCATTACTTTCCACCGGTAAGGAGAAAGTTTCTATCTAACAAAGTAAGAGAAGAAAGTGTGAGATGTCCCAGGGACAGTTTTGGCGTTCATGGTGGCAGTTGCTATTTTTGTCGAGTTGGGACTGTCAAAAAAACCGATTATTTTGCTTCCATTCACATTTTTTTTGTCACCATTTAGCAAGCCATTCATTGAATCTCCTCGTAATTTAATACTAGACAATAACAAGTTCCATTTTCCTACTTTAAAAAATAAAACAAACCAAAAAAAAAAAAAAAGAAAAAGAAAGAAAGAAAGCTTCATTGGAAAAGTAAATAGGACAAATTAGAATATTTATGATATATAAAAAATTAATAATTCATATTTTTATGTTATATTTTACACAAAAATTATACATCACAATTCGTATTAATATAAAAACGTAAAATTTATATATTTTTTATTTTATTTAATCTATTTATAATTTTTAATAAAATTTTAAATAATATATTTTTTATATATTTTATTCATATAATTTTCATGTTTTATCACTGTATTGTATTTAAGATTGCTATTAAGATTGCCACGAGAAGTCAATATTGGTGGACATCCCACTGCCATCAACCTTGATGAATGCTAGAGTATGCGGATCTTTTATTAAGCTTATACAATAAGAACCACGTGAATAACACCAAGTGAACCCATTATGAAATTGTGACAAAATTTGAACAGAAAATGAAATATATACATCTCATGACTATTAGTGATTAAATATAATCATCATTAAAATTAAAAATTTAATATTTTATCGTCAAATCACAACAATTTCAATTTCACTATACCGATATTCTCTGACTTAGATCTTTAATAATTATTCAGTAAAAATATGAACCATCCCAGTTATCACAATCTGATACAAGAAGTCAGCCCAAGAAGTGAATCAAGCAGGCAAAATGGACATAGAAGTTTTGAAATAAAAGAGAACCCTTTGCCTAATGTGTAGCAGAAGTTAAGATTGCCTAATTCTCTTCCCTAAGTTTGTTTCAATCTTACCAAAATGAAGTAAAACTATGGAGCAAGTGGGCATCCAGATCGCACCCTCTAGCTAGCTATGGCAGATGCTTCCGACCACACTTTCTCATTAACTTTCTCATTAACATGCTCAACTGGTTAAACCAAGGAAGGAAATGGTCCTGCAAGAAAACAGTATGGACAAAAGCATAAAATGCTTGGTGCATTCAGAAAGACCATTCCTAACATTTCCGAAACTTACAATCATTATGGTGCTTGAGTCTATAACTAAAATACACAATTTTTTTTTTTTAATATTTTGGTGGGGAGGGGGGCAAAACAAACAAGCATCAACTAAGTCATGAAATGGGCTTTGCAGTAATAAGAAACCAAATACTAGATGGTCTCCTGCTGCCCTGGACTATATTATGGGATCAATTATAATTTCTCCAGGTTGATTTCATAAGTTATGGAACTAGGCCACACCTGGCTCCTACTGTACAAGCATCTTAGCTCTGCTAAGCAGTCACCGAAAGCACTCATCAGGTGGCATCTCGTTATGCTTGTGCCACTTTCACCGCGAACCCATTTTGAGCTATTTGCAGCAGCAATAGTCACCACTTCATTGGGATAATGACTAGGCCATATCATGCCAAGTACCTGAATATATTGGGGTTATCCTTGTCCCTCTCAAGATAGTCTCGAGTAATCAGGTCCTCAATTCGCTTTTTGATCGCCTTAAAATCAGGCTGCAAATTTCAAATTTTAGTTAATACAACCACGTATAGCAAGAAAGTAACGGCAGACAACCATGCATATGCCATACAAGAGGAAAAGAGTCATATAAGAACCTTGAACATGCGGCCCAACTGCTCTACACACTCCATAACCAACTGCTGGTGACCCAGAACTTTCCTACTCTTCATGATGCGCACAATTGAGGCATCAATGGCATACCTTCTATCCTTGTCCACATCTTTGATTACTTTCTTCTTCTCATCCACAGGGGGGAGAGGAATCTGAATTTTAAACAAAGAAATGCATTAGAAGATATCATTTAACCAAAAGGAGAGTACGAACGAATATTGGTAGGTTTTTTTTTTTTGTTAAACAAGTACCTTGATCCTCCTCATTTTATCAGTAAATTTGGAGTTGAACTCAAAATGATCAGTGGAAGAGATGGTTTTCGTGCTTGGTTCCTTGTTAAGAATTTTATACTTCGCACATGACAGGGAATGTAGAAGTCTAACTACATCATCATCAGTTAAGTTCAATTGTGTCATAATCTCTGAATAGCTCAACCTATCTGAAGTATTGAACAGCAGTAAGGCAGAGGCCTACAAACCATGAAGATTAGGTATTAGCAAAAAAATTCAACTCCATCCGGCTAGTTAAGAAACAGATAAAAGACTAGAAATAATCTTTTTGACCCTATTACCTGATATGTTGTGACAATCAACTCCGTCGTTTTTGGTTCAAACTTCCCGATAAGGTTACAAGTACCCAAAGAATATATCCAAGTAAGTTTTCTATGTTTTGTTTTTGTCTGATAGAATTCCCTGAAAACTTCAACACACTTAATCTAAAGAGATTTTTGAGGACGAAGGAAGGAAAAAGAAAGAAAATTGGTATTAGTGACTTCCAGTAAACCTAAACTGGCAAGTTACAAAATACTCTTGTTTGCGACATCTATAAGCGTACCATCTCAGCAGGAAGGTTGAGATCAAAAGACTTGTAACTTGGCCAGAAGCCAGTAGTCAAAACAGTTACTGTCAAGTCAATCCCTGGATTTACATTTGGATTATTGCTCAAGTACTCCTCAAAACTTGCCTGGTTTTCCCTCGCCAACGTCAAATCTGTGACCTAAAGAACAGAGAAGCAGTTTAGAAAGAGATCTATTTGAGACATTAAGGGGGTGTTTGGTGCACAAGATAATGATAAGATATAATAAGATGATATTATGAATAAAATTATATTAAATAATATCATCCTAACTTGCATTTGACATTAGCAAGGACTATTATAGAATAATTTTATTTATTGGTCAAAATTATCCTTCCTTAAAATTTATACAATTTAATTATTGAGGTAATTCTTAAGGGTATAATAGTATAATAGAATATGTAAGTTCAATCCTATCAATTAAAAATAATCCTCTCTGCATTGGAAGGATTGAATCATCTTATGCCAAGAGGATGATTAATTCTCCTTACAATCCCATCCCTTTCTTTAGATACAAACCAAACATAATACACGATGATTATCAGCCTATCCTATCCTATCCATCATCCTATGCACCAAACATGGCCTAAGAACATTTGCAAATAAGAATAGAAGGCTTTCAGTTCAAAAAAAGATAATATACGGCAACTGACCATTCCCTCCATCTTTGAGGTGAACTGACCGCCACACTGTTGTTTTAGCTTTGTCAAAATACTTCTCTCATGGTCATCATTAGCACTCTTGTCAAAAAGAAGCCTTCGAGCAAGCTTTTTCCTACCAACAATAAATCGCAAAAACAAAATCAGCTGAAAATTCAAGAGCCAAATGAGTTCCATCTTCAAATAAAGCAAAACATCTACCTATAGAATTCAGCAAACAAGTCCTTGTCACTAATATAAGCAAGTAGTTTCACAACCTGAAAATTAACAACAATAAGATTATGAAGTGCAAATGTAACAAGTCTCAAAAAGTAGATAGAACACTGTGGAAGAGCCCAACCAAACCTTTTCAAGTGTTTCTTCGATTGCTTCATCACTCAATTTCTCACTTCCACCTTTCTTGAGAATATTATCACAAAAAGTGGCAAGTAGCTCAGCACTTGAGCTTCCTGCAACACCTTTGTTGCAAAAGACTTCAAAAGCCTCCTTGAGAGCCTAGAGAAAATAGGCAATATTGAGAATATCAAATATAACACGGGACTTATCTTGAAAACTTATATTCAAAACACTATCTATTACAGACCTTGTGAAACAGAGTATGAATTTGAAAACAATCATTGACATATGCTAGGTATTTGTCATGCAGCTCAATCACTTTCCTCACAAAAACCTGAAAACCACAAACAAAAATCAACTTCCGTACCTTGAAACAGTCTAGGCCATGTAGATAATAAGTGAATATTTTACCTGCTCTTGCATGCCAACCACATCCTTTTTATCTGCCTATTTAAGGGAGAAAACATTTTGGTATGATTAGAGATAAACTTAAATGATATCAATATTAAATTCTTATTCTTGAACAAAATGAAACTTTAAAAGATTTGTATACTATAAGCTAAAAAATAATGACAGTTAAAAGAAGCTAAAAAAAACCTTTAAATGATAGCAATACAAACCTTTTTGTTGCTTGCAGCATCCTCAGCCTGTTTGACCAAAGCTGTGCCTTCAGCAGTAACATGCTGAAGTAGAAATGAGACCATATTTTTTAAAATGGTGAAAGAAGGGAAATAATATGTAAAGGAAAAATAGATGAAATGGGATAAGAAACAAGCATTCAAGTGAAAGGAATAAAACAAGGTATGCTATACTTGAGGTGCTTGTTAACATAACATAATTTTAAAAAAAAACTAAGTAATAAATTAATCGGTGGACAGGACAAGAAATAGTTAACCTGTTTGAAAATGCTTGACACAGGATCTAACCCTCGAGGAATTTTAGAAAAGAGTCTAAACATTCTTGATAAATCCTCCACCTAAAAGTTAAAAGAGAAAGGTGATCATTGGTTAACTAGCTAACAAATTAAGAACAAAATAAATAACATATCATGCGGTAAGCACCTTGTCATCTCTGAGCAATGCATGGCATCCAGAGTGCTCTTTATCAAGCAGTTGGTTTGCACATACAGATAACACCTCATGTTGAACTTTCTATAAAAGATAAAAAACTTCATAAGAAACAACATTTTGGAAAAAATTTAGTATCGCTTTTGAAGTGTAAGATTATCTCCAAGACCAAAGGATGGATTCATATAACAAAAGCAAATACCAACCTCAAGTAGTTTTGTCTCACTACTAGAATGCAAGTAATGTGAGACCCTATCTTTCTCTCGTTTTAAACACTCCTCAGCCTGAAATGAGAAAGCAAAATGAATTATTATACACTATTTAAGTGGACAAAAAAAACTGTTTGACATATAATCATATATAATGCATACTTTCAACATATAGTCTGGACAAGAATCATCTAAAATCCAATTTGAAGCCTTCCTTGAATAATATGCAGCTGTATCTTCAAGCACAGTGGCCTCAAAGTCATTCTCATAGCAATCCATTTGCCCCATTCCGATTTCAACGAATATATCTAAAACATTCTTCAACAAAGCTCGATCAATCTGCTCACCCTCACGTTCTTGATCAATCTGATTTCAGATTAGGGTGTTTGTTACTATCATTTGGTCAAAAACAAAAAAGGTGCACAATAAATATGGAAAAGAAAACTGAACTCACAAGAGAAATTACAGCATCCCTCACTTTTGCATTTAGCTCTTGGTAGACCTGAAAGCACCAAAAGTGCACACATAAGATGCCAATAGTAATCTGCATGCAAGGAAATACAATGGCAGTATCACAGCAAATACCAGTTTATACCAGTTCTCGGAAACATGTGAGTCCAACTTCATTAAGGGGAGGCAGTGACCTCCGAGCAATAAAGTAGCGATCAAGATAATGGAAGAACCGAGAAAGCCACCTAACCATTACTTTATGATTAGCCCACCTTTTCACGAGCTCTCTTAACATAAACTCGTCATGCTTTTCTCGTAAAGATGGAAGTACCTATAGAAGAAATATTTAATGAATTGTGTTATTAAAGAATCAAAAATGAAAAGATATAGCACATTCAACAAAATGTTCAACAATGAACAAAAGTATATTAAAATGACAATCTATTATCCCTACAACATTACTTACTCAGCTACATTGACTTTGCTCCTAGCAATGGCTTTTCTTAAAATCTTACAACTAAAACTAATTCAAGTATGATTCATCTGCCTCCAAAGCAGGCATATTTTTTCATTAAAATAAAGGTAACTATATATTTTAGATGGGGCTCGGAGTGAGAAGAAGGAGGAGTTGGTAAGGCACTTTCTACACTACCAATAAATGCATAAGTGATCATCACTTCTAAACAAATAAGACAAAGAACAAAAGAAATTCAAGGCATTTGATTCATCTGCTGCACAAATCTTTCAACTAGCTTAAGCTTATTTTAACAGATTAATCTGTCACAGTAATTAATGATACCAAAAGATACAACAAATATCACCATAGACTACATATTTCTAAGTCCAAATATAATCAAGAAAAACAATTAAAACACACACTGAGGCAAACATTATAACTACTCACCGTTGAAGTAATGTATTCTTCAAAAGATTCTCGATACTTATCATACAACTGTTGAGAATAGTCATGAGGAGGCTTTTGGGTACACATATTGTAAATGGTTCTATAAAATAAAGGTTAAGGGCACAAAAAGAACACTCACAACATATGTAACTCGTAATGTCTGCATTTACTCCCATAAAAAAAACAAGATCAATCAAACAAAATGATTTTGAATTGGATACGTATAAAGCATCATATAATCCTCAGAGCTAAACTGTGGCGCCGGTAAGCCTTCGAGAATGTTCTTCAGCTTTGTAATTCCTTTTTGCATAAATTCCCATCCTTGTTCAAGGTCGATCGTCTTCCTTTCATTCATCGTCATTGAACCACGTCGTCTCCGTGATTATCAAAACCCTAAGCGCCAGAATCTGCAAAATTAAAGGTTCAAATCAGAAAAGTTACGTCGCATTTCAGCTTATAATCACCAACATTCTATAACCCTTAGCTCAATTAACAAAAAACCCACAAATCACAACAAATTCCCCCTAAAAAACTAAAAATCATAACTTTAAGCAACAATGCTGTGACTTGAAACAATTCCAGCGATTTTCTCAGCAACCAAACAGGAAATTTAACATTTTCTGAAAAAGAAAACCTTTAGAATCAAAGTCAATCGATTAAATCTAACCTAAGAAAACGAGAATTTCATCAAATTGAAACAAAAAAAAAATCCATGAGAAACTGAGAGAGATAATCAGAAGAGAGAGATCGATAGATTCCCTTAAAAGCACAAAAATTTCAAAAAAAAAAATACTAATTAATTAAAAAGACCTGAAATCGTAGATAAAGCAAGAAAATTCCTAATGAATATGAAGAGTGAAAGCTGAGTTCCGACAAAGCATTGAAGAAAGAAAGGGATTTTTTTTTTTTTTTTGCTGAAAGATCCTTTCGAGGTTCAGATCTTTTTTCTCAGGTTGCTTTTGTTTTTTTTTTTTACTGTACTTTTTTATTATTCGCCGTTTTTATTAATTTTCTTTAAAATTGATTTTTGTTTTTTATTCAGCATTTTATTTGGGGATATTATAACATAGATATATGTCTAAATCATGTTCTTAGTTCATTTGTTTTGTTAAGAGGTCCTTGAACTTATATTAATTTTGAAGGCTCTCAATTTTTCTTTCTTTTAAAAATATAGGGATTAAATTGAAAGGATTACGATATATGAGTCAAAATTCAGTGCATATATATATATATTTATAGAATCAAAATCTTTGTCTGGAAAAAAGGAAAAGATGTTTTTTAAAAATTAAAAAAATTATTAGAAGAAAATTGGCAATTTTATAATTAGAAAATAAAATTTTCCCAATCCACTCCAATTTGAGTAAAAAATTCCAGATTTGGTAATTAATCCATGATCCCACATATTCTTTGATATTGAAGGAGAGGATTAGATTGTTTTGATTCAAAACTGAATCTTACAATCTTATAAAAAAATTATTGATGATCAAACATATTTTGATAATAAAAATTATCAATCCTGTTAAAAATTAATATTGATATTAAATATGTTATAAGATATTTTGCATGCTAGTATTAATCTTAAGTCTATTTGCTTAACTCCAAATTTTTTTTTTTTATAATTTCTTGTCCAAAATTAACAATTTTTTATAGTCTAAACCCGTACAATAATTAAGGATAATAATAGATAGTAAATAAATAAATATTTATCATTATCAAATTTATTTATGTCAAATTCGGATAATTATAAATAGATAATTAATATATTTGTATAAAAAATCTATTGTCCATAATGCCAATATGGATAGTATATTTGAATATCTCATATTCAAATTTATTTAAATTTTAATGAATAATAAATGATATTTAATTCATATCTAAGTTCATTACTCGTTTATATATATATATAATATATAAAATTTTATATTTAAAAAAAATTTTGAATGTATAGCAAATATTTTTTATTTGTTATTAATTAAAAGTAAATTTTAATTTTAAATTAAAAATTTTATATTTTATATTTTAATAATTTTTTTAAAATAAATAGATATTTTAACCTAATTTAAATAATGATACTAAACTTAAATGAATTTTTAAATAAATTTTAATATTATAAATATTAAATAGATTAAAATAAAAAATTTTAAAAATAATTAACATCCGATCTATTATTGTCATTCATATCTAAATTCGATACTCGTTTATATATATATATAATATATATAATCTTATATTTACAGAAAGTTTCGAATGTATAGTAAATATTTTTTATTTGTTATTAATCAAAAGTGAATTTTAATTTTAAATTAAAAAATTTTTATTTTATATTTTAATAAATTTTTTTTACATAAATAGATATTTTAACCGAATTTAAATAATAATACTAAACTCAAATGAATTTTTAAATAAATTTTATTATTATAAATATTAAATAGTTTCAAATAAAAATATTTAAAAAATAATTAACATCGGTCTATTATTGTTATTTCAAAATATAATTTGTTAGGCTTATAGGGTTTGGACTTCAACGATCCATGAATACATATGTACTTTATGACAACATTTGTACGACATTGCAATATTTTCATAGTTTTTTTTTTTTTAAAGGTTTGAGGGGCTTTAAAGATTTTTGATATTGGGAAATGGCAAATTCCAAACTTTTTGAACAAGAAAAATATTCACCAATAATTAAGTCAAATGCTTGTGATTTTTTAAAGATTTATCTATTAAGATAGCTGTGAATTTTGCTTAATATATGGCTGATGCCTTTCTTAGGATGAAGAATGTCCTACTGCAAGAGATTAGGATCTAACCTTAGATTCTGGCCTGGCTAGTTGAGCTTTGGTTAGTTACAAATACAAAGTATTAATTTAGAATGAATATGATGGAATGCTACAATTTCTTGGAGTAAGATTTTCCAAAAAAATAATAATAATAATAATGAATCCGTCTACCTAATCATCAATCGTGTGGTTTGTTAGTAGGGTATTAGATTTTTAATTTAAAAAATTATTATGACATTCTCAATTATCAAAAAAAATAAAAATCTGCCAATCTATCATGCATATATCCATTCTTGCAAAATATTGAAGTAAGAGTATGAATCAGATTGATTTTTCTGTCAATGGAGTTGCATCAGGCTGTTTCTTTTCTTGCAATTCAGTTGCATATACAGATAGCAATTCATATTCAACAATCCAGAGCCAAATGAAAAGAAAAAAAAGGGGTTAGTAACAGTTAAAGCAACTGACGAATATGTCAAAAGAAACTGGAGAATATGGTGACAAATCACAAACTTCAAGCAACTTTTTTTCGCTTCTGTTCTGTAGATAGCAAGAAACTCTGTCTCTTTCATGTTTCAAGCAACATTCAACCTAAATTTTCATTATCAAAAGCAAGAGATTGATCAATCTCCTGAATTATATGACACTGTCTATTACAAATTGGAAGTTTTTTTTTATTAATATTTGTTAATGGCGTCTTAACTGAAAAGCGATAAGTTGACATTGAAGGAAAGACAGTCTAAACCTGCAACCAAAGAGCGCAGTAAGGGGACTTTGGAATTGTTTTTTGGGGATTAGTTCCGACACTCAAGTTAATGATATATTTGAGATAAGGTAACGAAGGACGGAAGGAAGCAAGAAGATGAAGCGTGTGTGAGAAGTTTCAGGGAAAAGAAAACTTAGGTATGAAGTATACGAATATCTTACATGCTTTAGCTTTTACATTACTTTATGCATGAGATAATGGGTGTTGATTTCATAAGGATAGCTGATACTTGTTGGGATATATAGGTGAGGTTGAAGAAAGATCTGTGTGATTGATTGCGAGTCACATTTAATGATTTTAAGTAAGTATGAGCTGTATTTAATGATTCTATATAAATCGAAAGTCAGGTGATCAATTTTGATGATTGCCTCGAGATATCAATAAGATGTTGAGCGAGTCATTCATTTGACGAAAGATAAACTGTTTCCTTAAGAACAGATGACATGGTAGTTTGGGCGTGCTTGATTTGGACGACCCAAGAGTATGTCTGTATTGACCAAATTTTGACCAAGTTAACCATTGCTCGGGTAACTGGGCATAACAAGAAACAAAATCTTAAAGTATGTAATCCTTGTAAGATTCATTTTTTATCCAGTTGGAGGCCTTGTTGGAATAAAATGAAGCAGTATCTTTAAACATGGCTTCTTCAAAGTAATTTTCATAGTATTTCATTAAGCCTTGTCCATCATCCACATAGATAGCCAGAACATTCTTTATCAGGGCCTGATCAATGTCTTCTCCTTCGCCCCCCCGATCAATCTGAAGATTGGAAGAAAAACATTAATGAAGGACCGATTAGTGTAGATTGTTAGGGACATTTTTGCACTGGTGGACTGAACAAACATGATCTAACCAGTTCTTGACTTAGTGATAAGTATTCATTCACTTGGTAGGAAAAATTTGGTAAAACTTATTGCTTTTATGCCACAGATGAAAAACTAGTATTAGGTTTCATAAGAAAGAGTAGAAGAAAACAAACAAAAATGCTCAAGGTTTACTTCTATACAGCATCAATCAGCTACACTTAGTTTTAGGCCGCAACATCCATCTCTTTTAAGCTCAGCCCAATCATAGTATTTTGGGCTAGGTCAGCCCCAACCAAGACCATGCCTCCACCCTCAAAGTCTTATTAGTAAGGGAATGCCCTGTCTTGGTGTTATGTCATGCATGGTGCTACGTCTAAATTTAGCTCCAAGTGAGGTCAAGTCAAGCAAAACCCAAAATATATATGCTCTTGTATCACGGACTTAAGGAGGAGTTTTGAATCCTACATCGAACATAATAGGAGGGTTACTGAGGTATAAAAGGGTTCACACTATCTTCGCCTTTTGAGGCGTCTTTTGTAGGATAAAACCGTGAGACCAGAAGGGATCAGAGCGGACAATACCTCACAAAGGTGTGAACCGTGGTAGGAAGGCTGATCTAGGATGCCGAAAGGGTGAATGCCGGGGTCCTGGAGCCGCGCGAATTCGGAGCTTAAGTCTCGACCCGTGACAAGTGATATCAGAATCAGCCCTAAACTGTTCGATCCACGTCAAGCACCTCGAAAGAGATAGATTCGAAACTTAAGTGTCGACCGTGACACTTGCACATAACCAAACCTGCTTGTGCATGAACTAATGCAAGGTTTCTAATCACTTTGTGTAAAGCCTCTCCATTTTACCGATATTCAATCCAACTTACCCTTGGTTTTATCAAATTAAACATGTCTTATAGCAATCAATGGCAGTTCCCAGAGCATTCAATGTCCATTTGGGTCAACAGTTCTACTCATTTAAGATAATATGTAAAAGGACATGTACCCGAGTTTCTCTCATTATTCTTTCATTGTTGTTTAACATACCAGCTGGTTTCTTGACATAAATTTATATCTTTATTGCCAGCATCTTCCTCAGTAATGCTGGTGCTGTTGCTCTTTATGTACCTAAATTTGGTACAGGTTATAAATGTGTGCTTTTAAACTGCAGCCCTTTTATTGCCACATGCAGGAGGGTCTGATGCCAACTTCTTCATAATAATAGGCCAACAAATTTATGGTGCTGACAGTCAATTTAATATCCCTGGCTAGTTGAGCAAGATTGCTTGCTTCAGCTTCAAAAACTGGATGAATAAATCAGCAACGGAATATGGCAAAGAATTGTCACAAATCACACAGATACCATTGACAGATAGCATTCTTTTGTTTAGGCTTTTCATATATGCTGTGATCTTTTATAATAATTCTTTTCTTTTATTTGTTGGATGAAATGCTTATACATGTAACCTGGTGGATCTTCTTTATTATTTTTTTTTTTTGTCAGAAAAAGTTTAAGAGAAAGGGAAGTTATCAATTTCTAAGGCCAGGATAAGCCACCAACTCACAAAGAGATTTATGATTTTTTTTAAGGACTTTTCAAACTTACACATTGCTTACCAGCAAGGGACCGTGAAAGTTTGAATCTGGATCCTAAACCTTAATGATTTGCGCTAACTCTTATTGGCTTTTCTTCCGACCTTCTCAGTTATACCAACATGATTTTGGGAAGGGTACTATAAAAATAGGAGGTGGAGGCTCTATTCAATAGGTTTGTTTTGCTGATAAAAGAAAAAAGGGCTTTGAAGCAATATATATCAGAAGCAGAATCCTAGTACTTGCTAGCAATATCTGGACACTTTATTTTGATATCTCAACTCAAAATTTCTTCGTACATCCATCTTTGCCATGATTTGTTTGTGGTTGTTTTTGGTACTCTTTGTTGACTGTCTTTGAAAACCTACATATTGCTCTTTTCCTTGCTGAATTCCATCAACATTTTAACGCTACTTAATTTCTCCTCCCAAGGTTGATCACTTTTACACTCTAACTTCAATAATATTGGTGAAATTTTTTTATGTGAATTCTAGAAAACTCGAGCTTTAGACCCTTAACGTTCATTTGGATGACGAGTTAGATTTCATTGTATCATTATATCGTTTTGAAATTGGATCAAAATGATATAATAATACGATAAAAATATCTTTCCACCAACCATTTAAATGAAGCATTGATCAACCCGTTCAAAAAAAAGGAGACAGTGGCCAGACCATTTATTAATCCAAAAAATCATTTGCATTACAGTAATCTTCAACAGATTCTTTTCGTTTTTGTTGATAATAATTTCTTGTAATCATGATTGAATTTGCATTTAAAATTAATTAGATCTTAATTTTTTTATTAGGGGTCATGATGAAGAACAAAACTGTTGCCTCTATCAATGGTCAATTGCCCCATTTTTTTTGGTATTCAATTGTCATCCATCTGCAGTCAAAGAAAGAGAAAAATATAAGTGCATGATGATAATTTTCAGCCACTGAACCACCAGATGGACAGCAATTAAACAGTTATATTTAGGACAAATCATTAAAGATAATAGCAAAAATAAAGTGATTAAGGCTTCATTGCATGATGGATGAGATTTTTAATTACTGTCTCATTATGTATTCTACTAAATCCCTAAAGATCTAAGGGTTCAATTCTAAAATAAAAAGAAAACAAAATAAAAATATGTTTTTCATCGATCATTCAAATGAAACGTAAATAAATAAATATTTATATATTCGGTCATGCAGAATTTAGATTAATCTGTTTTAGAATATTAGTCAACTTTATGAATGACTTAACAAGTAATTGGGTCCCAAAAAAAGTTGTGGCTCATCTACTTGACCCTCCTAATTACAGAGTGGTGCTGATGGAATTTTGTTGAAGGATATTCCAGTTTCCTTGCATCTTTTTACTTAAATTAATTACATGTTTGGAATATCTGGAATAGAAAATTAAGCTCCAGCTGGAAGACTTGACTGCAGGTTCTCCTGTTTAAGTTCAAACTGATCTTGACCAACAAATTTCTCCTGTAGTTACCCCTTAATGCATAATGCAAAATAAATACGAGGACAGAATCTGAGCTTTGAAATTAAATTAAGCATTAAATTTACAATCGAAATCAATTAATAATAGGTGGAGAAATCCAATTTAAATATAAAATTATAAAAATTCAAAATTTAACGGATATACGATAGCATTACTAAAAGACACATGAACTTCAACTATTATACTATCCACAAAGGCCATCTAAATATTCTATGTTCAGTAAAAACTGTCTGGCATGGCATCTTGGCCTTTTGAACAGGCGACTTGAAAGCACATGAAAGACTTCATTGCTTGATGCTAAGGTGACTGTCATCACATGGAGAGAATTCCTGCCTTCTTGGTGTTTTTATCTGGAATGACTGATCCAATCCATTGCAATATATATATATATATATATATATATATGTAAGGAAGGATTTGCACTTGCCAACTGTCTGTTTGATGATGGCAAGGAGGCATGGCATGGCCATAAAGATTATGCACTGTGTTTTGAGTTTTATACATTGAGGATTCTGCTGAACATTCAATCAAATATTCTCCTCCTTGATGGCCATAGTGCAGAAATGAAATGATTGGGGGATATTTTCTAGTTTATACAATAGTTCTTTTGTCTGTCGTACACTTGATATGTCTCATTTTTTATTCTGATGCATCTTTCTTTTTTCATGGGGAGGCTACAATTCAAGAGAAAACCTTGGAAAATGCGAATAGAAGACCATGTGCTAATGTGTAAAACAATAGAAACCCTAGCTAAACCTTAAACAGTATTGAGCAAATGCTACAGTGATATGGCTGCTAAATGGTGGCCCCTAACTCTCAACATTGAGTTAAAGGAACCCTAACCCTAGATAGATACTTTAACCAAGTCAATGTCTCCTACTTTTTTTTTTTTTTTTTGTATTTGAATTTGTCTTTAAACCTTGATTACCGGAACTAAAAGTCCAGTAATACTCTATCAACAGATCACACAGGTGTCAGCAACATCTCTTAACTTTGATACTAGTAAAGATAGTGTGAACTTACTAGAAAGAAAGGGAAAAAAAACAGACATGGCTAGAGAATATGATTTCATCATCTGGTATGATATATGGTACTATTGAAATGGGGTCCTTGACCAGGAGATCATGATCTCCAGATAAGGGGGAGAGTGACTAAATTAATGTGGAAGAACTAGCTCTGAATGTGATTATATGGTGAAGATGAAGCCAGATTCAACGAAGAAAGAGTACTGAAGACATTAGATGGACCAAAGAAAGCAAATTGCAGGAAGACTTTCTGAATTTCCTGAATGAGAATGGTACTGGTTTGTTTAACTAACCTGATAGCTTCCTTCTTGTTGCAAACGGAGCTGATCAATGAAATACCTTGTCATCACCGTTGTCTTGAATCAGATTAATCAACATTCAAGTACACATAAGATTTCCAATATATTGATTATGTTCAAGTACTCAAACAAAAAAAAAAAATTGCAGAAGGTTTGGGTAAAAACCATGATGAACAAATTCCATACATGAAATAAAAGCAACCTTGTCATTTATCCAACAGAACACCATAAAATCAAGTAAATAGGACCAAATCTTGTTGATTAGTGTTATCATGGTTAAAGCTAGAAGCAGCTTTATATATATATATAACCTCAATTAAATGCCCCCGGATTGGAGTTGTTACTGCAGCTTCCAGTCATGCTGAACTTTAATGGAGTTGAAGCTACAGCCTGGTTTTCTGTTTGGATTTTTCCATATGAATTAGATGGTTCCTCCTTGTCTTGATTTGCTGCTTTATCTCCTTCTAGCTCTCTATACTTTTGCAAGTATCTTCTTAGCAGCACTGCGTAGTCATCAAAACCAAGAGTAGCCAAAGCCCAGCAAATATCATCTCCATTCACAGTCTTGCGCCTTTCCTTTCTGCACTTCTGAGATGCTTCACCAGTCACAAAGCAAATGAACTCAGAAACACATTCTTGCATAGTTTCCTTAGCTTCCTTTGAGACTTTTGCATTTAGAGGTAGAATTAGCTTCATTATGCGACCAACGTTGGCTATTGGAAGTAAGCGGTCTTGCTCTTTGATGCCGCCATCATCATTTGAAGCACTATCTCCAACGTTTTCAGCCATTCTTAATAAGAACTTGATGATCCTGTTGAACCTAGACTTGTTGCTCAAGGTCAAAAAGTTAGTTCTATAATCTATGCCAACTTAAATAAATGCTTGAAAGTTTATAACTACGCATGCAAGCATATATACACATATATATACGCATACACATACTTGCATATTAAACTTATGTCTTTTTCGATATCCATGTGACATGTGACGAAGCTGACCCGGTGTGGCCATGTCTACCAGCCCAATCTACTGGATATATATATGATTCAATTGTGAATTTGTTGTGATATTGTGTAAGTTGACTCAGTCCACCAGTGTAACAGGCAGGCATCGTCATATACTTTCCAAGTAAGCTGTTACGCTTCATCGGCATGCAACAATATATTGGATGCTGAGAGGGCTAATGATCGAATTTAAATAAACAATAAAGCTCCAATCATATTTTTGTAAGGTTTAATGGCGTAATAGTAAAACTTGGTGGAGATTATACTAATTGCATAAGGTTTCAGAGTGGATTCAACCAAACACTAGTGGGAAAAAAAAATTACTAAATATTAATTGCATAGGTTTTGCTCAAGATTACATCATTCAATACGACAGCATAACTAGTGTTTTTTTTTTTTCTTCCTTAATTTCATAGAGTTGTCTGAAGTTGAAATTGGTCAATGGGGAGAGCGAGGGACCAAAAGGACAAAAGAGGAAACTAAATATGTAGTAAAGGAGCTTATGTTCATGATCTTGTTATGGTCCATATAATAAAGAACAATGATGAAATGTGATCCCATCTAAATATGATAATTTGTATATTCGTATCATAAAAAATATTAAAATTTATATATTCGTATTATATTTTGTATGAAAATTATATGTCATAATTTATAATGATATGAAAATATAAAATATATATTTTTAGTTTTGGTAAATTTATATATAATTATTATTAAAATTTTAAATCGTATTATTTTCATGTCTTATTTTTATATTGTGTTCATATCATGTCATAATTGCTTGGACCCATCCATAATTTTTGTTGAGAGTTGGGACATCGGTTGATAGTGCTTTTAAAAATTGACAAGTCTGCATAGATCTACATTGGCTGAACTATATGATCTCTTCATGAATTTTTTTTTTTTTTGGTTTTTTTTGGAAATCAAAGTTTTCTGTTGGATATACCAATGAAAAATATGGGCAAAAAGACAGATCTAATTAAATTCTTAGAATTTTCTTTTTAATAAGTAGGCAAAAGCCTCATCTTCCTTTGCTTATTGCATTCATTTGGCTTCTTACAGCTTGAAAACACCTTCCAATAAACTTGCCTTTACTTTTTCATAAATGATTGAGTTGAGAGTTAGAGAAATATGAAAAAAAGTTGGTCCTTTGTACAATATGACGTACAATTCTAGTTATTACATGGTGTTGGGAGAATTAATTATAAAGTGTATCATTTGTTTAAGGTACATATATATATTATTGAAAAGATCATCAGAGCGTGAATCATGATTGAGAAATGAGATATCAGTTTAGTGACATGAAAAAAGAAGGTTTCCAAATAACCTGAGCAAGAAACCAGGCCAATAATAAGGCTTTTCACATTGTTTTGACAAAGAGTAGATAGGGGCAATTACAAATGATGAAACTGATAGATGATGGGTCAATTCTTTCTAGATTTTGGTTGATGGGGGCAGATCTGATTCTTGCTAGTAGATAAAGATACATATGTGAGTAATGCTGCAACAATAACTATGATCCTCAGCTGTTCTGCCAACCCCACTTCCCATTTTCTAGTTTTGTATCATATTTTAGGTTGTTTTATTTGATAGTTATGGAATGAAAACAGAAGAAAAGACAATTCATTTGAATTGAGTATTGTTTTGCTTTGGGACCACATATGAAAACTGGTTTATCAAAGAAATGTATACTATTGGTGGGACTATATTTGTTTGCATCTTGAAGATTTTGTTTTACATAAGAGGTCGCAGCTTGGGAACAAAGGGGTTACAAGTGCTGAGATTTGAACTCCAAATTTACTAGATGCTACCTCTTAAAAGATGGTTATATGAACCAACTGAATTAAGCTTCGGATTCAACTTTAAGTCTTTTGAGTCTAGTGATTTTTGATAACCTAAGACTGAAGAAAACTTCAGTGGAAGCAGCAGCAACCAGCAAAAGCAAACCTGGAAATAGCTTTTAGAAATGCTGGTGGAAGCTTTATATGGTGCTTTGAAAATCTTGGGAATATGATATCCCATATATGATGTCCTGATCTGCTCCTTTTTCTTAATAAGCACAGCTAATTTTGCAAAGATTCCATTCTCTTCTTTCTTTAATACAATTTGATTTGGATTTAAGGATTGGCCCACTGGGATTTGGAACTAAGCCACACTGCCTTGTACAATCTCCATTGCTGTCATGCCACTTGCCATAATCTGAGTGGATTTTGCATATTTTAGATTCTAACCTAGCATATTTCTGCACCCTCTGCTAACCAAATACTAATGGTTTAAGGTCTGGTAATAAAGCACACAACAACTGTCAAATAAAGTGTTCAAACTTATTCTATTAGAAAAACATTTTAATTTAAATAATATATATTGCTTTTCAGTTGCATTTGTTGGTGTCCATATCCAGATTCTATGTATCTGCTCAAGTGGTGATGGGAATTTTTATACTGTGAACTAATGAGGATGATCAGAGACTTTAATATATTATAGGGTGAGAATCGAAACAACATACCAGACAACAAACTACCATTTATTTAGCTTTCATTCCTTTAGATATGCCAATTTAATATGTCCAACTTACTGCTTACCTGTTTTAGTTAACTTAACCAATTTAGAAGCCTAGTTAGTAGTTACTTTCTTATATCTGCATGTCTTATTCTTCTAGTTTGGTGTTGATGGATTTTCTGGTTGGGTGATTGGATACTTGCTGGTAGGAGGGAGGGACTGCTGACTTGGATGACTGTGATGACCTGTCACAAAGAGAACGGTCAGGGGATGTCAGAAATATTATTCCGGGATGACTCCGATGTCAAGTCAGCAATATGTAGGAGAAGAGACGTTGGATAAGTCACCAACTTGGCAGTCAAGATGCCGACAGAACGATCCGGGTATAATATTTGAAAAAACTATTGAAGCTCTTTTGTTCAAGATCCAAGTCTGATATGCTTAGGGTTGGCGATGGGTCGGGACAGGGTGGGTTTTTGTTAGTCTTAAATCCGATCTGATTTTATAATAATAAAATTTAAATTCAATTCAAATTTTTTTTTAAAATTTTTTATATCCGAACTCGATTCGATCCGATATGATATTATATAAATTATATCTGATTAGATCTGAATTAATAAAATATTATTTTTTAAAATATAAATATATAAATAAAAAATTTAAAAAATAATTTTTATATAATATCGACTTGTGTTAGGTTTGTTTAAAACTCAAACCCAACCCAACCTCGATTTTTTTTTAATAATATTTGACTTGATTCGATCCGAAATCTAATTTAAAAAAAATAAATTTTATAAGATCAGATTGGATCGAACCCGTCGAAAGCGGGTTAAATTATCAACCCTAGATATACTTTTTATTATTAATATTTCTGCCAACATCTTTTTCATAGTTACAGGCTTGTATCCACTGTCAATGTGCAAAAGTGTAAATTTAAGTTAGATTATTGCACTTTATTAGGAAGGTGACAAATTTGCCACATTGTTGGTGAGAACTTTAGTGTCAAAAGATTCATATCTCAAAGATATGAACCATTAGGCTCTTTCATTTTTTTCTGGTTCAAGCCCCAAACAATTGATCCCTCCTCCACTATATCCACATTTTCCATCAGAAAGCATCAAAACCAATTCATCATTCCCACTTACAGCTGCCTCTCCATGAATCGGCTTCCGAATCGGAAATCAAGGTCATCGAATCTCAGTTTACTCCTAGCAGATGCATAGAAATTCCCAATACAGGTTGCTGGAATCCCTCTATAGACCTCCAGCCAGTCTATCACTGACCACACATACTCATCTGTTATCCTTTCTCTAGCTTCCTTGATCTTCTCAAAACAGAAGGAAAATGGCTTCTCTACCAAATCAATCACTTTTGCATTAGCAAATGGTGTGACCACAGCATTGCCTGCAAAGCCATTTAGCAAAGATGGTGATGTTTTAGATCTTATGTCCACTGCAAAACGTTTGTAAATACTGCTTTTGGTCTTGCTCTCCGATTATAAGCTACTATAGCCTCAAGTGCTGATCATTTCAGAAGTGAAAGGGAAGCGTTTATGAGTGTAAACTATTGAGAAAGTCAATGGAGATGGAGATCATGATTGTTCTGGTGCAGTAAAACATAAAGCAAGTGATGATATTTGATCTTTTAGTTTTATATACTCCATGTGTGTGAACCTAACCTGTTATGGATTTCTTGCTTTTAAGCATGTTCTATCATTAATGTAGATAACTTTGATTTATAGCCCTTCAGTTTCACCTCTGTAAATAGAGGCAAGGTTCTCAAGCATCTCACTGGCTGATTTTCCATCAAGAATAGCATGGTTTGTCACAAAACCAATGGAGAAACCTCCCCATGCAAACCTTGTAACCTGCAAAATAAGAAAAAAAGCAAAAGTTTTGAAAGAAAATTGTACAATGAACTTTCATGGCTAGTAACTACAACAACAAACTAAGCATTATATCTCATAACTGTGAGATCAATTATATGCAAGGTTCAAAAAAAAAAATCATATTAGGTTATAATTTTGAATTTTTTGTGCCACTCATTTCTATCTATGGATAGTAACCAATATACTAAATTTATTTTACTCGAACTCGGGTAAGTGTCCAATAAAATATGGACATCCATATGTGTCCAATACAAATACATTCATTTTTTTTTTAGGTTTTTATATATTTGAAGGGTCGAACTTTCATATTCAATGGAATAAAAAGTCAGAGCAACATAGTGTTAAATAACTGGTTATTAAGCATTAATAATATGTTTACATGTATGAAGTGTTGTTTCATCTAGGCTTTTGAAAAGGACAGGCCGATGAACAAAATGATTAAATGCAGAATTCGGAAGAGAAAGATTCCAAAGATCTTTCAACCTAAGTCTTGATGTAGTCTATTGGTTTGCTGGTTAAAGCTGAGCCTGCCTGCCATGAAATAGTAAGGAACAAGGAGCACCTCAGCCAATGCTTGCTTCACTCTAAGAGAGATATTACTTCTTGCCTACTACTAGAGAAGGAATATTGGGTCAAGATTTAGGTTATGTGTATTTTTTTTGTATTTTTTTTTGTGATAAAAAAAAATTTTAAGTAAATAAATTATTCAACCTTTGATGTTAAGAAAAAATGTATTATATTCAATAACTTAAAATGAATATTTGAAGATCATGTATTTGAGATGAACTTAACACGCGATCACAAACTAAATTCTAACCCTAAACTTTCATAAAAGGGACTATTCTTATCAATTAAGTTAACCGGTAGGATTAAACTTATGCTCACCTTGTTTGAGTTAAACCGAAATTGTAAATTATATATGTACGTTCAACTTTGATGAAGTTGTATTGGGCCAATTAAACTCTAATTATCAATTATGTCCATGGCAATTGACATGGGCTTTCTTTCTTTCCCCGTTGAGCAGCAATTTATCAGAAAAAAAGGGACATCAACCGACGTTTTCTTCAAAGGTTAGAATGGTTGGAATTGAATTGAAATTGATTTAATTTTTTTTAAATAATAATAAAATGTGAAATTTTAAAAATCAATTAAAATTTTAATTAAATTTTTATATAATTTGATTTGATTTAAATTAAATTTTATCGATTCATTTGATTTATTAATTTTTAAATTTTAAATTTTTTGTATATTATTTTAATATAATTTTTAATATATTTAAATATAAAATAATTATTTTATTTGATAAAAGTCTTAAATATAAAAAAATTAATAAATGTATAAATTTGATTTGATTTAATTTTTTACTTTTCAATCCGAAAATCAAACTTAATATATATATTTAGTATCCAAATTTAATCTTAATTAAATAAAAAATCGATCCAAACCAAATTAAATAATATAATTTTAAATCAATTTTTGATTTTTTTAATTTTTTTCTCAGCTTCAGTTCTCTTTTAATCCTTTATTATTATGATTATTACTATAACAGTTCCATTTTTGTAAAATATTTTAAATTTTATAAGTTAGGTTAAAGTATTTTTTAGAAGAATATGTGATAATTATTAAAACCATAGATGAAAGCATTCCATGCTATTTTATTCCACACCTGTCTTTCCTGTGTCTCTCTCAATTCTCCAAAACAAAGCCAAACACGAGTGACCGCACAAATAACAATATGGGTTTTTTCATTTTTGCCTGAAAGTGAAAAGCTATGAAAAGAAAACGAAGAAATAAGGGAGAGTAGTGGGCAGGCATTTCGTCGAGCAACTGGAAGGATTTGATCGGTGGACCAGTCACAACCCGCGAAATCAAGAAGGCCTTTGGGTCCCACCGATGAACAGAAGATCTCCAGAGCTTCCCAGTATGAAAATCTTGATCATGGTAAGTTATTTCCCCACTCGAATTAATAAAAGTTCGATTTTTTTTTAGTTTATATATATATATACATTTTTGTGGGTGGTTGAATTGAAATTCTTTTGGGTTCAAGGAAAGAGCTTCAAGAAGCAATCCTGATAATGTGTTGGAAGAAAGAGATCCAAAGTATGATGCAATGTTAGTTAAATGGTGGGCAGGATTTCAGCTAAGCCTGGTGGCAAACTTGAGATGGGCGAGGTCAGTTCATCAAAGTTTGGTCTTTTTTTTTTTTTTTTTGCTTGGCTTTATTTTGACCCGTAACAGCTCAGTCAAAAAGGAAAATCTATAGCTACAATGGTGTCCAAATTTCAAAACAATGCCTTAGATAGGATTGGCTGCAAGTTCTTTTTTTTTTTTTTCTTTTTTATTTGGAAGGTTTCTCCTTGAAGGAAATGAAAAGTAGAGACATTCATATGGTTTCTTGATTCACTGTTTAAACTCTGTGGCTTTGTGTTTATTCAACTTCTAGTGTCATTTCTACGAGAAAAAAGTTTGGAGCATTTGATGAACTTCATACCTCCATTTAATATGGGATTTGTCCTGTTTCACTGAATCCAATATACTATGACATTCGTCCAAATAGAGGGATGAGTGGCTAACGTAAAGAACTTAGTAAAATGATTTCACTTGGTCTTAAGTAGATGAAAAGTTTGATAAAAATTGCGGAACACAACGCCAGTGTCTGGAAGGCATGTAGAAAGGCCTGCACTTCCAGGAACCTTGAATGTCAAACAGCTACAACACCTGATGCTTTTACATCAGGGCAAGGCTGATGATCACAATGGCCCTATGGATGTTCAGCAGATTGCAGAGAAGTTCAGACTGAATGTGGCACAGGTCCAAAGGATCTTGCAATTCATGTCCCTTCATCCAGAGGACAGCACTAAACATAAAAAGCACTAATAAAGACCACTGACTTTCATTTGCTCTGGTGAACTATACTATTTGGGTTCTGTTGAATAAACCTGGTTCATTTCAGGAGAAAATTTTTGAAGTCTCTATCACCTGACAAAATGGCTGATATTCCTCAGCATGTAGATAGATACAGTAGATAATGTGTTTTGCTGTTCACTTTGATAAGAATGTTGTTTCCTGTATGATGTAATTTTTGATGTTTTATTTTCTTTTTAAAAGAAATGATGAAAAGAATATAGAGACCAATGCAAGTTCAAGGGAATTTTGAAGCTCAATTGATTTATACATAAAAAATGATATTTTGCAGGTCGAAAATTTAAATTCCCACATTTATCTCTTTATTTTATCCTTAAATTACAATATTTTTATAAAAAAAAAAATACACATCAGCATTTCCTTGATTACACACTCTACATCTTGATTTCAACCTGGAATCTTTAAACTCTAAATATATGAACTTATTTCCTGTAAATACGGTGAAATTGAATGTAATAATAGGATAACCCCCTTCTTATCCTTCCTATGAGGGCTTTTCCAAAATTCAGGGAAAAAGAATGGATTATCTAAAAGATGAGAAGGAAAAGAAAAGTGAAAATAAAGGTTAGGTTCAAGTTAAAATGGACTCTAACCAATCTGATGTAAACTCATAAGCCACAAATGTTACAGCACCAGCAGGTGCAGCTTTGATTGTTGATGGAACAATTCCCTTATACAGACCATGCCAACCTTCTAACAGCAAGATTCGACGTAAGGCATCAAACATGTTCCTATAAGCATGATGTTCTACTCGAGCACCGTACCTTGGGTGCCTCTGTAGTCCTTCAATCTGCAACAGCCAATAACAGCAAAGTTGCGTAAAGAATTACACACTATTTAAAAAGAAATGAGCAAGATATGTAACACCTTGGTTAGTAGATCTAACAGAAATAGACATTTATCTAAAATTCACAGGTTGGGTGATGCTGCAACGTAAGGTTCAAGAAGCCCGGCAATCTACCTGGAACCTTTTCTTTACTACATCCAGCGGATGACAGACGAGTTTCGCAAAAGTACCAGCTGCTAGCCCACAAATGAAAAGTTGAAAACTTGAAAGGCTATCATCCTTGGTTGAGCTTGTATTAGAAGATCTTAACCGATTCCAAGCCTAACATGATAGTGCAAAATCCAAAACCATGCATCAAAAAGAGTTTGTTAACAAATATATATATATATATATATATATATATATTCAACCTTTTAGATCAAGACTAAGCATATACCAAGAGCAAATAAAATTTTCAAAATATTCAAGGAATTTCAGTTTATCTAGCATGCTCTAAAATTTAGCCAGTACTGCAATGGGTACTTAAACCTGCATTCCAAACTTCAGATGCAGGTAGTTTATAAGAAACAATAACATCAGAACCACCAAAAATATGTTATCTATTCTATGCATCATTCTTTTGGAATAATATATACCGCATGGACAATCAGACAAATGGTCTTAACATATAAGATCTAATCCCCACATTTCCTTAGAATAAAATAATCCAAAGAGCAAAGGAATGACAGGATACATGTATGACTTATACCAAGCATTTACAGAAAAGATTCTTTCAACATATAAATGAACAAAAATCTCACCACGGTCCAACGCTTAAATGTATCGTAGGTGCCAAATTGCAAGCCAGCATAAGGAATGATCTCAACCAATGTTGGTGACAACCCAGCATACAATCCGCTGAAGCCACGAGTTTTAATTATATCAAAGAATGCTGATCTCATGGTGGGATATACCTACACATAATCAGGATGTGCCAAATAAATAAATACCTTCAAGAAATCAAAGCTTTTTGCAGGTAACAAGCATGTGAGTAGACCTAATAATTTTAAACACGATACGAAAATGACATAGAAAAAACCGTGTATGGATTTAATGTAATCATATTTCATGTCTTAATCGTGTCAACTCGATTAAGACACGACATTATTCGTGTCGTATTCGTGTCAAATAATAATGACACACTTAAAACACAATTTTGTTCATAGCATAAAAAAATTTTAAAAACTATTTTAATTTATTTAATAATTGTATTCATATCATTTTAGTGTTTAAATATATTATAAATATTTAACATTTAAATAATTTTTTGTTTAAATACTAATTTAAATGATTTTTTTGTTTAAATAAATGAATTAATCATGTCTAATCGTGTTATTCGTACATAATTGTGTTAATCATGTCGTGTTATTTGGGTAATTAATCATCTAATCGTGTTAGTGGTATATAATAATGTTAACCGTGTGGTGTCGTGTTATTTGGGTATAAATTAATTTTAAATGTATTAATCATATTGTATCGCGTGTCACACGTATAATAAACATGTTGTATTCGTGTTTAAGTTATTTATGTCATTTAAGTATTCTTGTGGTATTTATGTCCAAATTATTCATGTCATGTTTGAAATCATATCTGACACGAAACACGATACAATGACACGAATTGCCAGGTTTACATGAGGGCAAATTGGGTGTTTGCATGCCAGAAATATTCACACATCACTTTATGAGTTCAGGTATACAATTAAAAAGATTTTCCAAAGAGGTTATGAACTTGTAAATTGTGTAGGGATTCAAATATATATTTTCACAGAATTGGATGTTTGTTGTCAAAGCAGAAAATGACAGTCATAACATTAGTCAAATTTAATACCTTAGGTTCACCTTGCGAAGCTAATATAGTCCGTAGAAGATCAAAAGGATAAGATCCAACAGTAGCTGCACAACCCGCTAATGCCCCACTGATGTAAGACAGATAGGGGCTTATATTAAGGTGATCCGCTGCACCATAATAAACAAGGCCATGACAAATCAAAATGCAAGGAACAACATAACGCTATCATCTTACACAATCAAGTCAAATACTCCATAAGTAACAGAGAACATCAGCCATAAATAATTTGTCATTAAGTGAATGTATGCCCCACATTACTATCACAATAAAACATAACTTATAACTTGTCACTTTTGATCATGCATGAGAAAGGCACTGCCCACTGTAAAGTACCTGTCTTGGAAGAACCAGAAGCAAATGTTTTCAATTTGTGTAACACCGCAAATTGTATGGCAGTATATGGCATAACCATAAGTAAAGCTGGGACATTACCACGCCAAAAACCCTGTCATAAGCAAGCATACTGAATGAAAAAGGAAAAAGAAAAAAAAAAAGCAAATCTACAGAATTTCAGGCAAATTAGCATACAGAAAAGAAAAGGGTAACCAACAATGCAACCAACCACACAAACTAATAAGCTCTTCATATAAATCATTGACACTCATAACCAGTAAAACAAATAGAAAACAAACATACAAGTCCACAACAAAAGGGCCTTCATACCGGTAAACCTTCTTCCCTGAATATATCCTTTGTTGCTTGAAACATTCCGGTGTATTTTGATGATCCTGAAAGATCTTTACGAAGCAAAGCCCACGAAGATGTGGGCTCCAACTGAACCTATCCCAGCATACAAAAATAACAAATTTCTTAATGTTGGGCAACAGAACACTAAAATGCTGAAACAAATGAGCGTGGCTGAGATGACAATTCTTCAATTGATGTGTGAACATACAACGATAAAGGAGTGCATATGGGACATGATGGATGCCACATGCATTGAGGATAAAAAAAACACATTTAAGATGATTTAAACATCAAACAAGGAGACATACAAATGCTCTAGTTAGCAAAAGTGAGAAAACGTGGATGAATGGAGGACAACGAAGAGGACGACCGAATAGTGCATGGTTGGAAATTATAAAAGAAAAAAGTGATTTTTAACAAGGATATGTTCCTAAGTACCACATAAGTACATAGCTATAAAATATGATTCATCTAGCCTCATCTCGCAATGGGAAAAAGGCTTATGTTGTTGTTTGATACCCAACGGCATGAATTTTTAAGCCAAACATGAAGCTATAATACAGTCTCAAGCCTGATTTCATTAATACTATGATTAATTCCCACAACTATTAGTTGATACTTATCAAGTCAAGTCAAGCATATATTTTGAAATGCAACATTACAAACCAAACTCAATTGGATTCACCTAACACTCTGTCAGGTCTAACAACTTTCCCTGTAAGCAGTTTTATTCAATTAAAAAATAAAACCCAAAAAGAAATTCATGAATACAACAATAATTACAGTAATTCCAGAATGCTCCTCATATTAAAATACTCCAAAAAAAAAAAACAAAAAACCCAAAAATTTTACCTGAAATCTTATCTTAATAACATCAAGAGGAGAAGTAACTGTCCGGGAAATGCCACCAGCAATAGCGCCGGCGGTGGCATCAAGAAACGCCCTTTTTAACTGCCCTGGCTCTTCCATGGCCAGAGCTTTTGCCTTTAAAAAAAAAAAAAAAAAACCCCTTTTTCTCTCTTGCTCTCTGGATTTAGGCTACCAAGCTGAAAAACCCAGTTTTCAAAAGGGCTAAAGGATTTAGAAAGATAGAGTCGGTGAGAGAATGCAGGTGGGAAAAAGAGGGATCAGGGAAGAACACAGAAGAGAGAAAGATAAGGGAAGCTGGGAATAAAGAAGGGGCAGATAAAGTGAAAGGTTGCCATTGAATACAAGTATTTTTTAAAAAGAAACTAATTAAAAAGAGAAAGCCTTGATTTTTCCTTTCTTGCCGCCTTATTTGATTGAGAGTGGGGCACCTCCTTCAAGTAAATACGGAGAGGAAAATGCACAGATATTCATAGGTGAAAGAAGAAGGGATGATACTTCAACACTTGAACTATTATAATATTTTTAACGTGGTATTTAAATTAAAATAATTTTTAATAAGATACCTTTTATTTTAATTTTATGTATTAAATTATTTTAACAGATGATACGGATTATTATGTGATAATAATATAATTGTTATGTATTATTTTAAAAAAAATAATTAAAATTTTTTTAAACAAAATAATAAAAAAAAATTTTAAAAAAAATTATATTAAAATTTTTTAAATTTTTTAAAAATAACACATAATAATTTTATTTAGATAATGTGAAAGTCACGTATCTTTGACATCAATATTTAAATGTTACATCACAATTATTTTAATGATATTAAAAGTTAAGGTAATTTAATATATGGAGATGTAATTTGAGTATCTGATTTGATTTTTTTTTTATTTAAACAGCATATTAGAAAAACAATAATAATTTAGATGCCAAATGAAATGTTATTCCTAAGAAGAATGAGAGATTTATTTTATTTTAATTTTGTTTTAATGAATTCTTTTTAGTAATAATAATATCTTAATATAATATTACTGTCTCAATTAGGGTTGAAATTTTATGATGAACCTTTTGGAAATGATATCTGTAAATTTTAGGGAAGATAATTGGAAAAAAGGTATTAAATTAAACAAAATCTGAGGTATTTTAGATTGTATTATCAAAATTTAATACTATCATTAAAAATCATTAACAATTTTAAAAATTGAAGCAAAAACCATAATATTAAGGTTGTTTACTTTAACAATTTAAGATTGATTTTGATGAACAATTGTTGCATCAAATATATATTATTTATAAGAATATTTTTCAGCATAAAATTTTCAATTGGAAAGTTAAATTTTATAAAATTATTATGAAACTTGTAAATCAATTAATATTATATCATATATAATAATATAGAGCAAGTTGATTTATTGAAAAAATTAATTCCAATTTTATCAATATTTAAAGATTAAAATGCATTATAGTGCCAAATACATATTTGTATAAAGTTTTTAGTAGTAAATTTTATGAAAATTACTTCATTACTTTGTAACCATACCAACATGTTTAGGACCATATGCTAATTATTCATTTCATGTGTTTAATTATTATTGGCATCACTAAAAAAATGTTTGGTCCAAAATTTTTATTTGTTCTTTTTGCATAAATGCCCCTGCTTCATGACAATATTGTTGGTTGAGAATCTTACAAGTAGACTTGGTCCAATTAAAGGTATAAATGATACATTAGTACTAACAAATTACTCGGATTCGATTCGAATAAAATTTAAATTCGATTCGATTATTATCAAGTTGAGCTTGAGCTAAAGTAGCCTGACTCATCTATCGAACCAAGTTCAAGTATTTTTATACTCGACTTAAGTAGCTTGTGAGCCTAATCAAATTTTTATATTTTAATATATTTTAATTATTTTATTAATAAAATATCTTGAACTCGAGCACAAATAATCGAATTTTTATTGAATATAAGAATTGAACTTATTTTTACATATTAATCGAGTTTAATCGAATGAGTTCGAGTAACTTGATTTTTATCTCAAGTCGAACTTAAGTTTAAAAAATAAAATTAGATCGAATTTGAGTTTGAGTAAAGTTTTGAGTCTTAAATTTTGAATCGAATTCAAACTCAAACTTAATATTGTATCAATTTGAACTTAATCGATTACACCTATAAATCAAACAATAGTTATCAAGACAATCTAGCATCAAAATTTTAAATTCTATTAGCTTATATTAATAAAGTCCCATTAATCCTCTTATTGTGGCATCCCACAAATTAATTTTTATAAATAAAAATTATAAATATTAAAATTTGAATATTAAATTTATTATATATCAATAATGATTGATTACATGAAAATTTTTATTTTTAAATATTTAATACTATGATACAAATGTTTACTTCTTAATACAAGATTTGATTAGATAAAACATAGAAATACCCTTTTATTTTTTACTAACTATTTGCAATTGAGAGGCTTTATTTGATTTGACCTCAGTTTGGTTTGGACCTTTGATTATGTCTTGGGGTCAATGCTTCCACATCTAAAGCTCACCATGGAAATTGTGTCTGGATTATCAAACATGGGTTGGCAACGTGAAACATTGAAATTGTGTCTTAAAATGATTGAAGTTTAGAGTCTAAACATAAAATATTTAAATTTGAATTTTATAATTTTTTATTGATAAATAATTTAAAATTTTAAAATTTTTTAAAAGATTAGTAAATTTTTTTATGGGTTATTGTTTTATCTTGACATTAAAAATAAAGTAACCTCGATTTTGAACTTTTTGTGACAAAAAAAAAAAAAAAAACCCGTTGAAATTGTATCTAGCTCAAACAATTTGATGGTTGACTGGGAACAACTACCCTGAGGACTGGCTACATTATGTATAGCATATAGATATGCGTCCAGAAACAAATCCCTTTTCGGAATGCAAAGGCAGATTGCTGCCTTTGTGCCTTGGAAAGTGCCAGCTTCAGAATTACCTAATTTATGCAAGCATCATCTGATGATCTAAGTAAGTTTACAAGGTCGGCAGCTTTGGCAGTCGATGTTTCACCCAAAATCATGCCTGAAGAAGTCACCGGGTGATGTGTTTGGTGCGTGCTCTTCATATGAAAACCGTGTAAATTTCAGGTTAAATGGGGATCAAAGCAGCTGGAAACTATAATGTGAATCAACCGATTGGTTCTTTATTGTCTTGTTATTCGACTTGTGAAATTCCTGGGAACTGGCAGGTGTTCATTGCTCAATCTCCACCCGCTCTCCATCCCCTCCTAAACCAGATCACAGATGTGCTCAAGAACTATGTACTTGACCATTGCATTGCAGCCTGTAACGCAGGATGTCAATACGAGGCAAGGAACAACTGCATCTACAGTACATCCAATACCTTCAATGTTGACATATCCAGTCAGATGCCAACCGTACGACCAGGTGCAGTGAAATTGTATCTGACTTGAAGTGCTGGTTCGGTTATGTGCCTATCCATCTCTGATGATTTTATGGAATTAGTCATACAACTTCTTTCTTTGGTTGATGTGAAGTATCATTTGAAGTCAGTGCAAACCGAACTTGGGTTCAGTTGACAAGTCAAAAAAAATATCGTGAAGACTTTGATACCTGGCTTGAATCACTTACCATTTGTTTCCACCTTGTAATGTTTGAAAAATCAATGCAGATTATTCTAAACAACGTATTGAAGACTGCAGTGCAGGCTTTTCTTGCATTCACATTTGGCAAATTTAATGTTCTTCTTCTCATCCGCTTGGTTCTTGTGATGTTGCTGTCCAATGAACTACCCAGGAAAAGTAATTTTCTCACGTCTTCTTACAGAAGAATGTTAATTCATCAGTCAACGTAAAAATTCTTATAAAGCAATAAATTAGAACTTCAGAAGTCAGTCATCTTGGATCCAGCCAATTAGGAACTAGGGAAAAAAAATAAATTAAAAAAAATAGAAGCAATTGCTGGATATTTTATTCTTTTAATTAAAAAATACATAAGAACAAGAAATTAGTCATTATCTTCCACCAACCATGGTCAGTTCTCTTTTTCCAATGCCTCATTTGGAACGTAAAGATTTTCCAGGCAATGAATACCAAAAAGGAAATAAAAAAAGATCTTCAACTGGTTTGCCTAGTCTCCTCCAGCAAAATTTTCTTTCTTTCTTTCTCCTTGTAGCTATGGCACACAGAACCTTAGAGATTAACGTCATATCTGCAAAAGGCCTAAAAAATGTCAATCTCATTGATAACATGGATGTGTACGCCGAAGTTTCTCTTAAGGGTGATTCATCGAAGTACAAGCAGATGACTAAAACTCCAGTAGACAAAGAATGTGGTAAAAACCCAACCTGGGATTTCCCTGTTAAGTTCACCATCGACGAGTCCTTGCCCAAGAACAACAACCTGATTCTCAAGTTCAAGATCAAGTGTGAGCGTAGCTTTGGAGGAAAAGAACTTGGTCAAGTCAACGTGCCTGTTATGAAACTCCTAGATTCACCAGGTGAAGACGGTTCCATTAAGTTCGTCAGTTACCAGGTAACGAAACCGTCAGGAAGACCTGAAGGTACCTTGAATTTTTCTTACAAGTTCGGAGACAAAGTTTCAGAGCCTGTCAAGTCAGAAAAAGGCAAGGGTGATCAGCCTGTTACTACATATCCTGTATCCATGGCAGTCGGGTCCATTTCTGCCCCATATGGTGGACCTGGACCTAATCCTCCACCACAGCCAACTGGCTATGAATACCCTCCGCCGCCTGTAGCGGCAGCGTATGGTGGATACCCACCACAGGTACCACCATGCCATGGCTGCCTAACTCCATCTCCAGTATATGGTTACGCTCCACCAGGGGGATATGGCTGCCCACCTCCACCTCCAGTATATGGTTACGCTCCACCAGGGGGATATGGCTGCCCACCTCCACCTCCAGTATATGGTTACGCTCCACCAGGGGGATATAGCTGCCCACCTCCACCTCCAGTATATGATTACGCTCCACCAGGGGGATATGGGTACCCACACCACCAGTGCAACAGCCACAAAAGAAGAATAACAAGTTTAAATTGGGATTGGGGGCAGGGTTGGATGAAGGGCGATAGATATGATCTCTGTCTCTGATGGTGGCGGTTTTGATCATTGATGTTTCTTGTTTTATGCTTTTCAATGGGAGCTTTTGTTTTGTATTAGGACCGTTATTGATCTTATTACATCAACTTGCTACTGTTTTCCTTTTGGATTTCATCACTTTTCTTTTTTAATGTTTTGTTGTTGTTGAAAGGAAATTAAAAAAAAAAAACAAAAGTTTCATTGCATATTAAAGAGCATCAGAATTACTATCTCACACTCAATTTTCGCTAACTTATGTGTGGAAGAAATAGCTCCTCGATTGGTATAAACAAAATGGCAGCTGTCACAAGTAGAAACCATGTCTAGGAGATCAAAAACCATCCAATAAGGATCCTGAAATCAAACACGCTCTCCTACAGTTGGTTTCGTCTCCGAGCCTTCCTCCAATTTTAAGAGATACCAAATGAAATAGCTTGGTATCAAAGGGTACAGCCAATTTTGCGAATGTGCTGATAGCTGGAGCAACTTTGCAGCTTTGCTGTTCGGAAGATGCATTGCAGGCAGCGCCGACTGACGGTAATTGTAAGGTCATGATCATCCATAATACCTTTTCTAAATTGTAAACCTGGAAATTCTACATGGATTAACTTGAATCAATGTTCCCTAAAAGACATTATGTATTCAAGTAAAGACCAAGTCTTTTGTGCACTTTCACTCTAATGGAGCTATTGAAACTTGGGACCTTGGCGTCGTTGGCTATGTTCCTCCCTCTCCCAAAAGGATTTCCAGTGGCATTCACTATAGAAGAAAACGGTGAGGCATATGATTCAGATGAATATGACCCTGACACAGTTTTGTCTGACTCCATCCCGAGGTGGTATTTTTGTAACACTTAAACGTTGTGGAAGGTGGGAATTTTGTAGATGAGGGTTATCCACACGATGTCAAGTTGTTGTTTCTTGAATTTGTTTCCAACGATGCCTTTTCTAATAGCAAAGCAACAAGAACACCGGCAGTAGTTGAATAGAAATGAACGCAGGGAAACATATAAAAAAAAAAAAAAACTGTGTAGCCGTCTTTTAACTATATAAACCAACCCTTCTTCTTCTTCTCCATCCCCATCTTCATCTCTTGCTTCTTGTAGAGCCAATTGGTTATAGCCATGGGAATCAAAGTTTATGGAATTGCAATGTCTACGTGTACTGCACGCGTCTTGCCTTGCCTATGTGAGAAAGGCCATGAATACGAGCTTGTTCCTCTTGATTTGGAAAATTCTGCCTGCAAACAACAACCTTATTTATCACTAAATGTAAGGCTACGAAGTAAACATTTGATTGCGAGTGAAATTGTTTGCTCTTTTCTTTGCATACAGCTAACATTATTTGGTTTTTTTTTTTTTTCTGTTCTTGTGTTCTATTTTCTTCTGACAGCCATTTGGCCAAATACCTGCATTCGAAGATGAGGATGTCAAGGTCTTTGGTAAGGTTCTTTAACGCTTACAATCACGAATAGTTTCGTTAATAGACTCCCATCACATGTAGACGAAAACAAAAATTATTTGTGTTGAGCTGATCTGTTAAAAGTAAAATCGTGAAATCAATAAAAAAAAAAAAAAGAGAGCGGTTTAGACAAAGACTAAAAATGATCTTAGCGTTTTGAGCATTGGTTCAGATGGAAGTGATTCCAGTATTTATATTTGCACACTCAAATCAGAGATTAGTAAGAGAGGTAAATAGGAAAAAAGATCGAGGAAATAAAAGAGTATGAGTATTAGATAGATAAAATGGTACTTGAATGTTTTTATTTATAGTTGAAAAATAAAGGGTTTCATACAGCTCAAGCTGTTCAGGGTTAGTCTTGTGGTTAGGGGTGACCTGAAAGGTCAAGCTAACCAGGATACTAACTGTTCACCTAGAGGAAGACGAGTCAGCATAAGTGAAGACTCGTTGGACAGCTTGATGAGGTGGTCGAACTGGGCACTATCACCTTAGGTTGGTCTAACATATCAAATCCGCTTAAAAATTTAAAATATTTTGATTATACGTTGAGAACTTCTAACAAAAAAAATAATCAAAATATCTTTTAAAACTAAAAAATAAGTTTAATAAAATATATAATTTTTATTTTTAATTTATTTATAATTCACCATATATATATATAAATAAATAACATATATATATATGTAAGTTCGATCAAGTTGAACCAAATTTAAATTTTAAATTTTTTGTCTAAAATTTGATTCAAAATTTAAATAAATCTAAAAATTGTATCCAAATTTATCTAATAAATTTTTAATTTTTTATCCAACTTTTTTTCAAAATTTTGAATGAATTTTTAAGTTTGAGCAGATAATTCGACCCTTAAATAAGTATACTTAATGTGTATGAGAATGACCATTTTTATTTTTATTTTTTTAATGGATTGAAGAGAGCTGATATCAAATTTTCAACACTTACGTAAAAAAAAACACATTAATATTAATTTTTAACGAGTTATAAACAACTAAATAATAAGTTTAATACACTGAATTCCACAAGTAAATTTGGTAGGAAAAGAAATTGATATTCCCTGAAAATTAAAAACTTTTCCATCATTTAATTTTTTTAAAGCAAATTTATCATTAAATTTTGATTTTGAAGCAAATTGACCATCATATTTTTAATTTTGGATAAAAAATCATGATTTGACATTATATTTAGTAAAAAAATACATGAGGAAAGAAGAAAAATAATAAAAAAGTGAAATGTGGATTTTATTTTGATGACTATTTTTTCCTCTTATATCATTTTAAAAAAATTTAATTATAAAACCAAAATATTTTCTAACCATTATGTCTTGCATAAATTAATTTCAAAAATAGAAATATGATAGTAAATTTGTTTCAAAACTAAAAGAATGATGTTACCATTAATTTAAATTATTTAGATAAATAGTGATAAATTTACACTTGATCCTTTTATAATAATATTTTTATATTAAATAAAGTGGTTAATAATTAATTTGATAAATTTTAATATATTTAATAAAAAAGATATTACTTAATTTTAAAAAAAAAATAATATAATGATAATTTTTAAAAAATACCTAGCATTCGTTTTTACAAATTTATTTTATATCCACCATTTAAAGCCCATTTAGCCCAATTAATTCAGTCTAGCCTTTTGGGCACTTTTCTTCTTCATCGTGAAACCTACCCAACTACCCAAGAACAAAAAAAGAAAGGATTAATACCGAAATAAACCCTCGAATTTTACTTTAAAATGCAATCAAGTCCTTGATTTTTTTATTGCATGAAATTAAAATTATAAAATTTTATTTTTATTGTAATTATATACTTTAAATCTTAAAATTGAATAAATAATATCCAAATGAAGTAATTTTCAAAATATTATTCTCTTAAATACTTATCATTTAACTTATTCAAATAAATTTAAGTAAGCATTTTTTATAAATTAAATCATTCAATTAAAAAATTTAAAAATTAAATATTTCATACCGTTGAGATTCTAATTACAATAAAATAAAAGTTCATAGTTTTAATTTCATGCAATAAAATATTAAGGGTTTATTTACATTTAGACTAAAGTTTAGGGCTTACTTGGTATTATGCCAAAAAGAAAACATCATCTAAACCCTAGTCAACAGCCAGAAACAAACGCGCAAAACCTCGAGCAAATCCTAAGCTGCAAAGATGAGACCCTTAGACGAGAAAGAAACAACTGCCGTATTCGAAAAGCTCTTCAAATTCACAGGCAACAACTTGAAGAACATAGTGGAAAACCCATCTCACGAAGGCCCGGACAAAACCCCAGGGCGCTACTGCTTCAGGCTCCACAAGAACAAAGTCTACTATGTCAGTGACTCCCTGGTAAAACGAGCCACCAACGTAGCCAGACCCAAGCTGGCTTCCATAGGGACCTGCATAGGCAGATTTACCCATGGAGGCAACTTCCATTTAACTATCGAATGCTTAAACCTGTTGGCTGCAAATGCAAAGCACAAGGTTTGGCTAAAACCCACCTCGGAAATGTCGTTTTTGTATGCAAATCATGTTTTGAAAGGTGGGTTAGGGAGGATAACGGAGAGTATTGCACCTGGTGATGGAGTTGTGATTTTTTCCATGTCGGATTTGCCTTTAGGGTTTGGGATTGCAGCCAAGAGTACCCAAGATTGTAGGAAATTGGATCCTAATGCAATTGTTGTGCTTCATCAAGCTGATATTGGCGAGTATTTGAGGATGGAGAATCAGAACGAGCAGCTAATTGAAGAGTAAATCGGTTACTTTTATATGTCTAGTTCTCAATTTTGGATTTTGAGGTTGAGTTTTGTTGCAACTTTGGTTGAATTTGTACTTTGGTTTTTCCTATTATAAGTATTTGCAGCATCTTATGTTACTACAATCTTTTAGTGCAAATATTTTATTGATGCTTACCATTGCAATAGCATATTCATTTGTATTAATCTGAATAAATGAGTCATAGAAGGTAATATTTTTATCATTTCTATTGCAATGTATATGTTAATATGTGTTCTCTGAAAATATGAAAGATTTAAGCATGGATTTCATTATGTTGGTTAATTGAAACCAAAAATTGTTGTTTGTAGTGCTTATGTGTATGTGAATTGGGTTTCAAAATCTTAATCAGCTAGGAAAGTTTAAGGTGCAGCTTGGTATAATAGTTTTCTTCTTTCCTCAAACATATGAAAACCATTAGTTAAGTTATTTTGGTGCTCTAAAATTTTCTGAGATACTCTTAAGTTTCAATTTGAATCTTTTGACTTGTGAGTCAAATTCATTGTTTTGGTATCAGAAATCTCACATAAGGCTTTCTTAGTGCATTTTTCTTGTGGTATATCTATATATATGTTTCAGTTTTTTCCCTGGTTAATATATGTTTTGATTTTTTTTTTTCGATTTAGTCTATATAAGCTCAAGTGGTATATAAACAACCACATGTAGGAGTTAATGTACTTTCAGTTCAAATCTTTGTAGAGCTTTTGGTTTGCTTGCTTTTTACGTTCTGCATGTTCTTATATACTATAATTTAACATGATCGGTATAAGATTTGGTTTCTCTCATTCATATTTAGTAAATCTCTGTCGAATGCTTAGCGGTGGTCACATGGATTGGATCCCTATGGACCTCTTTGATGTGTTCTTAAGGATAGCAGTGTTGCTAATGAGATGACAACCCCTTTAAGTATTGATAGTAACAAGTATGCAAGCGTTAACATTTTCACAAAGAATACGGCAGATCCTAAAGTGGAAGTGTCATCTGATTCATTTAGTTATGGGCTGTTTGATAGCCTCCAATGTGATCTAAATCAGCCTGAGAATGATTTGATGCACATGCTTCTTCAGGGAGAGCTTTGTGCACACTAATAAAGGTAATGCCGATGCCATTAATAAAATGGAAAATTATAAACTGTGAACAAGGCTGTTAGAATTAAGAAGTTTACCATGTGTATGTGTGTACTTATGCATGCATAAACAGCTGTGCAGGATTACATATTCTACTTCAATAGGAGCATTAAAACAATATTGCTGGTTAGTGTAAACAATGTGCAATCTTCCAACCTGTGATCTGTATGGTGGGCTATGTAACCTGGGGTAGGGATGTGGCTGCATTCAGCTACAAAATAGGTCGGATTCATATTTTAAGTATTGTGTTGTGTCTGGAATCTGGACTTAAACAGGACAGAGTCAGACCCAACAGACACTACTAGTGAGTTTTTAAACTCAAAAAACAAGACAATTGCGCATCCAGGGAATTGAATCCGGTCAGTACATTGGGAAGGTACTTTGATAACCACTCAACAGATGCACTTCTTGCAGGAAAGTTCCCAACAAAAATGCCCAAGAAAGAAATGAACCCAATTGACAGTTGCAAAAGAAAGAATAAAAGCAACTGCTAAAAACAGGGGAAAAGAATCATATTTGTGCTTGTCATTCTCCAATTCTATTGTACCAGGGCCTAACATGTGCCTATATGTGTTTAAGCTCGTATTTGAAGAATGTGAGACCTATTGAGCTTGCAGAGCTACTGCAGAAGAAATCTGTATTCTGCAGAGTAAACAAAAGGTCCTTTGTACAGTGAATAGGGATTACAGTCATATACGATGGTAAAACAGCAAATTAACAATTCACGAAAAACAAGTCTTACAATCAGGGGGAGAAGTGTAGAAATGTAACTGATATTCATGATATTGGTGATCTTAAGACAGATATTTTGAGTAAACATGTAAGATTGAGCTTGCTCCCAATTGTTCAGTTCAGTCCTCTGTGTGGTTAAGGCCAAAAGAATATATAACACCTAGAGAGAACACTGAATCAAGATTAACACAGTAACATATTGAAACCTTGTTACCACAAGAATCATATGGCCAGACAACAATATAGAACCTTCCTTCACTTTCCAGTTCAACTGCTGCTCCAAAATGATAATCTTTGAAACAGTGAAAGGACAGAATCCATGACACCTGCAGGAACTGCATTGCTGTTTGTTACCACATCCTTTGCATCCACCTCAATATCGAAATCCTTCCAGAACTTGATGATATGTAAACTCTCTTCCTCTGTTGATCTTTGGACAACAATTCTAGAAGCATAGCCCTTCTTCCGCATCTGAAGGCATATCTGTGAAGGATTATTTGCTGTAAGAGTCACCATGTACAACCAACCCCGTTTGGACAAAAGCTTATCAGCAATAGGCAAAATCTTATCGATTACCCTTCGACCATTCTCTCCTCCTGCCCAAGCTGAGGCAATTCCTTCTTGACCCACTTCATCTTCAGGTGTTGGCACATAAGGTGGATTAACAACCATGACATCAACAGAACCAGCCAGACGGTTCTCCAGCCCGGATGCAATGTCAGTATGTATCAACTCAGCATGAACTCCATGTGCTTCCATTGTCTCCTGAGTCACTCTAATAGCATGATGATTGATGTCAGTGGCAATAAACTGAGCCCCATTGCCTTCCTCCCCAAGCATAAGCATTAAAGAAGTGATAACATAACCACTTCCACAACCCACTTCCATGCACAATGTGGGTTTATGCTCCAACAAGTTTTTTCTATCAGCTAAAAGTGCATCAACTAATGCAAATGAATCATCACAGGGTTCATAAACCTCAGGATGTGAACTCACAAGACGAATTTGGGCAATTCTTGAAGACATTTCACAGGAATTCCCTGGCATAACAATTAAGCTTTGTTTGGATCACGGAAAAATAAAAGGGAAAGGAAAATATGAAAGAAAATAGAAATTCTCACAACTTCACCTCTACAACCATATCACAAACCCAAAGTAGCAGTTCATCATGTTTCAACGTAATGACCATCCATAAATCAATAACCATAAAGAAATGGACGACCACTGGGTCTTCAGAATTCCAATAATCGGCGTAAGCTAGTGTAGGGTTCTTGTTGTCAACCTCTGGATGGAAGAGTCTTCAATATCTCATTGCTCCAAGATTTTCCCTCATTTTTTTTTCACCTCCACCAAACATAAGAAAATAAATCCAAAAATTTCACTTTCTTTTTCCTTATATTCTCCATGAACCAAACAGGACCTTAAGGTATAACAAATTTTCTTAGTTTGATTATGGAAATTTCCTAACATTCCTAGTAATTTTAAGGAAACAATTACAATCTGACATGCAAAACAAGCAATCCCAATTCAAGAAAAACAGAAACTTAATAAGAAAAAAACAAGAAATTTTCTGATCAAACAAACAAAGGTCTGAAATAAATAACTTGAATATCAACTGAACTTACAGATCTGTTTTACATGTTACTAACAACAAGCAAAAAGGTTGAGAAGAAAAGCAAACCTGGGATTTCGTGTCCCAATCCGAGGAAGTAAGATAGCAGCGAATTTGATTAAAAAAAAAAAAAACCTTGAATTTCAGTTGAAGAAAGAGAGACGCAGAAGGGAGGGTTGAAAGATCGAAAGAAGTGGAAGACGACGAAAGGATGACAATGGGCTTATCAACGTTCACCAATCAGAACTAGGGTCGAGATAAAAAAATTGAAACAGAAAATCTTGTAGTGTTCTATTTGATATCGATTTTTTTTATTTGATTTGAATTAAGATTAAATACTAAATATTTAGATTAAATTTGAATTAAATTTTGGATTGAAAGATAAAAAAAATTAAATCGATTTATATATTTTTATTAATTTTTTATATATTTTAAATTTTTATAAAATGAAAATAATTATTTTATATATATAATAAATTAAATATATTAAAATTGTATATTAAAATAATATATAAAAATAAAAAAGGATGAGTCCATAAAATTTAATTTCTATTAAATTAAATCAAATAAAAAATTAATTTAAATTCAAATTAAATTTTAAAAATTTATAATAATACATTATCTAAAAAATAAATTAAAATCCAAACCGTTATACTCTTAATCAAAATGGAAAAAACCCAGACTTGTTTTTATTGGGCCTATAATAAATCAATTAATAATTCGAAATTAAATAGTAATAAAAAATAAAAACAATTTATAAAAAAAAATGTAAAATCTTAAATGAACAGAAAGAAAGTAGGTCCCACATTTGCAGATCATCGAAGCTCATAGATGGCGAGATCAATGACTGATTGACTGTCTTAAAACAAACCCTATCTTCAATTTGCCCGCCCAAACGCTCCCAAATCTCCCAAATTCAAAATTAAGCTCATCAAATCCATTTTTAAAAAAAACCTAAATTTTCATTATTACCTTTTTTTTTTCAATCCATAATCGCTCACTATCACTATCACTATAAAAGTTCAAGTATTTCTCTTTCTTTACAACCAAAAGAAAAAAAAAATCAAAGCTTTGAATCAAATCAATCAAATACTAACCTCAGTTTCTAATTGTTACAAATGGCAACCTCTGATCCCACTCCTCCTCTTCCTGTCCCTGCTCCCCTAGCTCCTGTACTTTCTCTGTTTCCAGTTTTTTCTTTGTTTATTATTGGTTTTTCTACTTATAGTTAAAGATCTTTTCTTTTCTTTTTTGTTGCTTTTTTTCCTGCAAGTTTGGATTTGATCAGAAATATTGATCGAATTTTGTTTACCTATTTTCCAGAAGAAGGAGAATATCACTCCAATCGGTTCAAAAATCGCAGTAAGTTTTGGATTTTTTTTACTGTATTTGATTTATTATTTACTTATTTTTTTGTTCTTTGAAGAAAAATTGCTTGATTTGATTCATTTTGTTTCTAATTTTTAACTTAGGAATTGAATGAATCAAGGACTGAGCTGCTTGGTAGAATTCAAGGCTTGAAACAGGTAATTATGGAAACTATAACCTTTTTTTTTTAACTTTTTCATTTTTTGGGTTATATATTTCAATTCTGACTAGAAAATGTTTGTATCTTCCCCATTAGGATCTACAAAATTGGAGGTCAAAGTTGGATACCCAAGTTAAAATTTACCGCGATGTAAGTTCTGTTTTGCATTTTTTTTTTATCTTAGTTTAACATATAGTATATGTTAAAGTGGTGATTTGGTGAAATCTTGGGATTCATGTGGTCTTAAAGTTGGATGCTTAACATATTGGATCACATGTTATGTTATGTGATTCTTGTCTTATACCTCTTCTGAATTTGTCACGTTATGTTATATCTATGCGTTCTGAGTTATGTTAAAGTGATGTTATTTCACGTCTGTCAATTAGTTTTAGACGGATGCTCAACGATATATAATTCTGGTTGTTGTAATGTGCTGTGTTTGTATAGCTACTGCTACTATGGGATGCTTGGTCTGTGGTATTTCCATGGGTTCTTTTCATTCCTTTTTGTTTGTTCATACTGGGATTGTCGGTATCATAGAGAGAAGAAAAGGCTTGGAAAGGAAATCTATGGTGTTTGAATGTCTGTTCCATGTCATGCTAAGTATGTATTTAACATTTGAAGCATCTGAATCTTTTACCCTGAAAATGAAGGTCCTCTTAAGAGAATCTACATGTGGGTGCCGGCTTGTGTTTTAGTTTCCTGTGAATGAAATATCAAGTGGGGGCAAATCTGGCTTCAAACCCTGGTTTAAATTTTCATCCTTTGTATAAATGCAGTTGAGTTTACTCATATATATCTCTGCTGCTCATCAAAGTGTTGGATATTTGCAAACATGTTAGCAATCTGCTTAACTGTGAAGAAATTTACAGGCGTTTAGGATATAACTAGATGTATAAGTGGATTTGATTTGATAAATCTTTCTGATGGGATGCCTTTCCTCATGCCTCTGAGTGGTTGAGACAAAGAATCTGAAGATTTGTGTTATTGTTTTAAAATATTGATGGTAGAACAGATTGTGGACTAAGAATACTTGCAATCAAACAATAAATTGTCTCATCGCTGTTTTACATAGATGCCTTAATTAATACTTTTTTTAGCCTTTTGGGTTACAATTGGAGTTCGAACTCGAGACCTTCAATCTTGGAGCCGACTCCAATACCATTGAGTAACAACTCGTTGGTTAATTAATTAATACCTTTTAATGTCATCATTTCTTAGGCTAATTTGCATGCCTCTTGCAGGAGCTGACAGAACTAAAGAAAACACTTAATGTTGAAGTGGAGCAACTACGCACAGTAAGTGCTTCTCTTGTGAAATTTTTTCATTCTGGATGAAGAGAATAAGTTACCTAAAATGTTTCATTCTTGAAATAAGGAATTTCAAGAATTGAGGAACACTCTCCATCAGCAACAGGAAGATGTTACTGCTAGCTTAAGGGATTTGGGGGTAAGTTCCTTGAGACTTTTGTTTTTCAGTCCTTATTCTACTCGTTCCTTAGCATCAGTCTATACTCTTTTCTTGTACAAAGGATGTCGTAGTCTGAGGATAGGGAAAGGGATCGCAAGTGTTGAGATTTGAATCCTAGACTTATTGAATGTCACCTCTTAAGGGTGGTTACACAAATTATTTGAACTAAACCCTGGATTCAGCACCAGTCCATGCTTTTAGAAACTAGTACGTGTTTCTATGTTGAATCGTTTGGAACTTTTTGCAGCTGCAGGATGTGTCAAAGGGTGCTGAAGATCCCAAGGTTGAAGGAGAGGATGAGGAAGTGGATAATTCACCCACAAAGGAAAATGGCAAGGAAGTGGAGAACTAGATGGGTTGATACTGGAATGTGCAGTCTCGTACTTCTTGCTCCTGGAGCTTGTTATAAACTATTATTATCATGTTTCTTTGTTTTCTAGCACAAGAAACAGCTTTCATCTGGATCAGTTGATATGGTATTGGCATTTATTTGGTCTTCTTTTTTAAACGATGCTTCCATATGGTCACAATGAAAACAAAACAATGCCTTTTGTCTTCCAGCCTGGGTGTTTAAAAGAATGCACATAGGCTCACCATCTGAGCTCAGGAAAGTAGAAATCATATTGCACTTGTGTGATTGTGTTTTGCCAGGATATGGCTTGTCTGTGAATGTTCCAATCCTATAAACTGGTCAAGGAGAGATTAGAGATTGGAGAAGGAGAATCACAAACTGATTCAATGTCACTTGGGGTATATATATATTGTACATATAAATAGGAAAATTATGATATACAATAGGCAACTATTTTTTTAACTTTTAAGAAGATGATATTTCCATACACCATTTCCGCAAAAATACTGGTAATATAACATCAACTATCTTGCCAACAATCATGTTGGTAGAGTATTGAAGTCTTAGTTTTAGTGATTAAGATTCAATTTCTGACAACCTTAAGCATAAAAAAAAAAAAAAAAAAACCTATATAATAAGGTTTTTTTTCCATCCCTTTTTTGTCCATGATATGGAAAAGGACCGGCATACATACCAGGCATCAATCATGTCATAGAAAGCCAGAATTAAAACATAGCACAAAATTGTGGTCAGAGAAGCTTGTAAGAATGAGGTGTGAACAGGTATAAAAGATGATGGGAGCATGAACAGGTAGTATCATGCTGAAGTGATTGCCCCATTGAGAAAATTGGATAAACTCTCAATATTCACACTAGGTACTAGAGGAAAATACTTAGAATTTGTGGTAAAATCGAAAAGAAAAGGAAAAGATCAGCTGATCAGCTACTTATTTACATTAAAGACTCTAATGCATGATTTAAGTAATACAAAAATTTGTCTGCAACAAATCAAGAGAATGTATCTGAATTTAAACTATATACAAATGAAAACTATGGTGATTTAGGACTGCGAAATCTACTACTGCAATTTGCAAGGCAGAAAAAAGGTTGATATGAATCAGAATCACACACAAGTTGATGGCTTAGAAGTGTGATGATTTGTTCCAAGAATGATCACAATAACAGTAACATCATCATGGTATTTCCTCCCACCAGCTGGAATATTCATTAATTCTTCCTTACTGAAACCTGTTATGGTGAAATTCATGTCTTAGAGATCTCAGTATAATTAATGAATATACTGCCATAGGCAACAGATATAATCTTATAAAATTTACCTGCAGAATGAGCTGCTTTTATTACAAGCTGTTCCACAAGATATTTTGCAGGATCTCCAGAAGGGTTACCTGAGATGTAAGCATGGACAAGCTTTACAGCCGCTTCATTGCTGAAGAAGTCAAATAAACCATCACTGCCAACTATAACAAAGTGATCAGATCTTGTTATTTTGTGCACATTTAGTCATGGTTCTTTGGAAATATATGGGGGGCTAATGAGGTTATGAACTCGAAGAATTCCCATCAGTGCATCAATCAGTTTTTTCTGCAAAGGATAACAAACAAGATATGCTAATTTAAGGTAAGGACTGGATCAGCAGCAATGAAACATGCAATATAACACTTGGCATAAAGCTTAATGAGAAAAAACAGTACCAACCTTTTTCAAGTAACCGACTCCAAAAGCACGAGTGATCTTCAATTTTCCTTTCACTTTTCCAGCTATTATGGGCGTAGAGTCATCAGGATGCTCATGCAAGAGTCTAGTTCTTTCAACGTCATTATCAACAGTGTGACTGTCAATGAGCTGAATAGCTTTCAACCTTTCACTCTGGCCAACATCATTGCCTTCATCATATGTTGCCAATACAGCTCGGCTGTCACCTAAATTGAGTGTATGCAAATCTTTTCCGTGAAGAAGCATAACCAAAACACAAGATCCTACTGAAACTAAATCAGGGCGGTCCTCTATTTCCTGCTCTACCATGTACAAGAAATCATTCTCGGCTTGACTTAGAGCACATTGGAGGCTATCAAGCACCCCGTGCCTAAATGAATCAGATGACACTTCTATTTTAGGATCTGCACTTTTCTTCATGAAGCTTGCCCCACTTGCATACTTCTTGTTATCCATCCTAGGAGTGGTTTTCGCCTCATTACCAACTGTATCATCGTCAAGAAAATATTCAAAAGGTCCATTTGCATCGAAACCATTGGATGCTTTGTGAACGTCCTGCTTCTGTTCCCAGTCTCGTAAATTAAAGTAAAACATTATAGTTTCATATAATGTCCCGGAAAGAAAATCAGCTGCATCCCTCCCATTGAAGCCATCATAGATTGCACAAAAGAGCCATTCATTTTCTTCAGATCAGACAGCTTGAATCCTGTCTTCACCAGCAGCTCCACCTGCCAATTGTACTTCCATAGCATTAAGGAAACTGTCACTTCTAGAAGGAGCACTCATGGTTTTCAGTAAATACGAATCAGGTTCCGGCAAAAAAACTGGACTTGGTGGACTGCAACTTAAGTTTGACATACTGCTTTGCAGGGAAGATGATAACATATCCAACCTTGAAAGAGATGGAGAAGAAGGAAACTTGCGAAACGAATTAGGGGAATCCAAACTAGGAAGAATCTCAGCTCCTATCAGACCATTGCAGATATTTGTGTTGGCCAATGTAGCATTGGCACTTAAGGCAGCACCAGACAAGCAAGAGAAACTGCCTGTCCTTGGCATTTCACTTCCCAACCGGATTTCGCACCCATTAGCAGCCCTGCAAGGAATACCTATGTAGCTGTTGCACTGATAGCCAAAACTTACCTTAATTTACCCTTCAGAATTAGTGAAATTTCCTCCTCGCATTATCTGCTGAAAATGAGCATAAATCTCCATTATGAAACATTTATACAGAAACGGATCATAACATTGTATTAACAAGATAAAATCCACAAATTAATACAAATTTCTGTAAGTTCATGATATAAATAATGTTTAACAATTCAGTCCAACATTTTACATAAAACAAATCTATGGTATTTCTCAAACGGTTACAAAAACTTGAAATGCAACAATCAGAAACTGAAGTCACTACAAACAACTTTCATTACAAGACTTAAGCCCTTGTTGCTAAAACGAACCTATAGAACGTATGGAATCTGGAGCATGATCATACCATTAAATCCAATTTCATCAAAGCATAAGTAACGATGATCAGTTGCTATGTAGGCTGTGAAACATAAAATTTACATCTACATACAATTTCTGTTGTGTATGATTTAGCAACAAAACAGCAGAAACAGTTATAAGAGTAACTAAAGACTACTAAAACTTGTATTGAAATGATTATATAAAACAACGATATGCTTACACACAGGAAACAAAATAAAAGAAGAAAAACCCACAACAGTTTTTTATCTAAAAAAGAAGAACAACGTAACAAAACCAGAAAACAAATATAAGTAATACTGACTGTAATGCAAGCGAAAGGTGTGAACTTTGGGCAAAGAAAAAGCACTAAAAAGCAATGAAAGAAAAGGCAAAAGAAAAGAGATTTGGGTGTATGAGACTGAGAAAGAAGCAAATAGAGAAAAGAGAGAGATTTAGTGGAGAATCTGAAAGAATGGAATGATGCAATGCTTTGAGAGGAAGAATTGCGTGGTTGGTAAAGAAAGGGTCTTTGCTAAATTTGGTGGAAATTTTTTAGTTTTTTCTTCAGCCTTCTTTTCCCACTCAGATTCACTGTCACCAGTAGCGTCGGTTTGGTAGATTAGATTCTTGTTAGATTCAAACAGAAAGTAGAATATTTCAATAACAGATTTTTTGAGATTGCTTTCTGATTTTGTTTGTTTAAGTTAATTGCATCTGATCATGGATATTCTCATATGCTGAAAATAAAAATAATTAGAGTTTAATTCAATTGATTAATATAATAATTAAATGATATTTAATAAATTTAAAAGTTTATATTTGGTGTAAAAATTAGAAGTGTAATAGAATTAAATAAAATTTATATGATAAAAAAATTTAAATTTGATTTGAAATTTATTATTTAAAATTTGAATCAAATTCGATTGAATTTTATTTTTTAAATTTAAATTTAATCTAAAATAAAAATTAAATTATTTAAATTTATTTGATTAAATTCATTTAATAAAAATTTAATTTAATTTTTATATTCAATTTGAAATTTAATTTTTTGTTCGAACCAAAATTTAAATTCTATATATATAAATAAAATAATAATTTTTTAATTAAAAAATAAAATATATTAAAATTTAAAATTTTAATTAAACTTATAAATTATTTAAATAAAATATTCAAATATTCAAATTTTACTCACTTAATAATTTAAACTCATTAGATAACGATGGATTGAATTTAAATTTTATTCAAATTAAATATAAATAATTTGTGTATATTGGTACATCATTTAATAGTAAAAACAAAGGGGTAGTGCAGTAAATTATCCAAAAATTGCAAATTTTCAAGGTTGGATATGTTGAGTAAGGGTGTAAATGATACATTAGTATTCGTAAATTACTTAAGTTCGATTCGAAGAAAACTCGAATTTGGTTCGATTATTATCGAGTAAAGCTCGAACTCGAATAGCTCGACTTATCGATCGAGTTGAATTTTAGTATTTTTATATCCGATTCGAATAGCTCGCGAGCTTAATCGAGATATTATATTTAAATATATTTTTATTATTTTAATTAATAAAATATTTCGAGTTCGAGTTCAAGTTCGAGCATAAATAATCGAACTCTTGTCGAATATATGAATCGAATTTATTTTTACATATTAATCAAACTTAATCGAGTGAGCTCGAGTAACACAAATTCAATCACGAATCGAACTAAAATTTGAAAAATAAAATTCAATCAAACTCAAATCGAATATCAAACTCCAAATCAAAAATTAAACTCAAACTCAAATTTTTTACTATTTAACTCGACTCGATTACACCTAACGATGGTGACAGAAGAGTTAGAAACCAAGATTGAATCTGCTGGCTGGCAGATACATTTAACCGATATAAGTGGCCAACAAACATTGCCAAAATTTCGGAGTACAATAGAGTGATAGGGCTATCAGAAGACAGAAACCATTTGACAGAACCCCGTTAGCCCACGTCGTCACCAAAATATTATTGTCACAGGCAGATAATCATAACGACAATGGGATCATGAAGCGTTTTATCTACCATTCAACGGATCAAACCAAGTGGCCAACCCATGCATTCCCAGTTTGGCAGCTTCATACAGGCTACATATTGGTTCACATTAATTTGTTAAATATCGTTTGCTTCCATTCATTTGAGTTTTACAATTTTATTCTATAAAAGATATTTTATAAGCTAAAAATAATATAAATACTTATATCTCAAAATCAGATCTAATATACAATTAATATAAAATTCATGATTCCATAACAATTTTTCCCATTCCAACATAAGACCACCCATTGTCAATCACACATCATTAGTATCCAACATTGACTTTGATATTATCCATTTAAATCTATTAGTTTTACGATTTTATCTTATAAATTAAAAATAATGTAAACATTTATATCTCAACCGTGAGACTCGAGAGACCATGACACTACATGTTTCCTTAAAAGATATTCATTCAGACGCCTTATATCTATAATTTCTAAGTATCAAACACCTATTATTAAGCTCCAACAGTGTAAAACACTTTTGTCGTTCCCTTCTTCGTGCGAATTTGAGTGACCTGAAACATGAGTAAAACATTAAGTTTAAAGCTAAATAGAACCCTCCAGAAAAATGCACCAAATTTTCTGAAAAATTTTAAACACTATGACGTAAACAGCTGGCCAAATTATAATGGAAAATATAACAAAGAGATAAGCATTTCTCAGCACCGTGTACATATTTAAGTAAGTAAAAATGATTCTAGAGAGTAATTTGACGTTCAATCATGGTATTAGATGCTTCATTTGTTTTAAGAAATCAATATCCCATCCTTCATCCTCCTAATATAGATGATAGCACAGCATAAAATGCCGATATTCATGACATTTTTTGACTGGAATATGGGTTCAATTCTAAATATGGCAACCCCCTGAGGTGATTAAACTGTCATAATGCATCAGATATAGACACGAATAAGATATAAATGTGAAGTAAATTTGAATAGCAGAAATGCACTGCAGCATCCGGGATGATATCTCCATCTTCGGACCAAGAGAATGCAGTTCATAGAAAAAAGTATTTTCATTTTGGGAGGCAATAAATGAAATATGTTACATGATTGAAGATGATGACCACCAATCAAATTACCATTTTCAAGATGAAGCAAATTGGTGATATACCTTCATACTTATGATCTCTGAAATATCAGAAACATGGGTGCCACCACATGGACAACCAGGATTGTCCCCCAACTTAATGATACGAGGAGTACTGCCCTGGAAGAGATGCAAAAGAAACAAGCATTAGCAACAGAAAAGAATTGGATTCTGAATTCTGTCAGGATTTCAGTCACTGTGTCAAAGCCTAATTCCAATATTCTCCTACACTAGATTCCTTAAGTGTTTTGACAAAGATGTAATCCAAAAGTAAGCTTTATAACAGCTATTTACAGGCCATTAAGGCAAAAAAGAATAACCTTTTTCTACCACATCCTTACCTGGGGAATGTAATCAGGAAGAGAACCACCGCACAGCTCAGCAGCTTCTTCATATGGTAATACTGCAGCATAAACCTGAAAGAAATGGGGATCAAGATTACAAACAAATACGTGCGACTGCAACATGACTAAAATCACCTGGCATATCTAAAATGATACGTACTTTACCTCCCTTAGATATCAAGGCATTAACTTCTATCTCTATTTCCCTCTGCTTGGTTTGCAATTCATTTGGAGAAACCATACCCTTATATTCCACAAATGGCCTGGACAAAAGTGAACTTCATGAATGCTAGTTCTAACTTCTAAGCAACCATATATAGTTATAAACATAAAGACTGATGTAATATGAATATCAAAATGGAAGTTTCAGCAGCAAGATCCCCATAACAGTTTCAACCATTTATCATACGAATAAATAATGGTGTAGACCAACAACATAGAAAGAAATCGGATATTAATCCTAAGCAGTCGTGGTAAGCACTCGTCCTTTTATTCTTTTCGGTAATAGCACAGCACAAAAAGCACATATCTTTATGTACATCACAAGCAATCAAGGTTGAAGCTTTTGCAACAGGCAATAAAATAACAACTGTCAGTTGGTTGAAGCATATACCCATCTGGAAAATGATAGCCTTTACCAGGCTCCAAATGCCCCAATCCGACATTTCTCACGCAGACATCAAGCAAATGCCCAGCTGAGTGCAACCTGCTCAAGAACAGTTAATGAAAGTAAAATAAATACTAGCAAATAAACCCAAGAACAGGAAAAGCCAATTACTTCCAGAGCTTAAACAGTGAGACAATTAGAAACAACAGAGCTTTCACTTATGACCATTGAACAGAAAAAAGGAACTTGAATCAGCAAATCTCAAGAAATGATTAGTATTTATAAACTTCTATAACTTCACAGAAAATTCAATCAAAATTTATGAAGAAATTTTCCTCCAAACCAACCTTCAGAAATTTATTCCAGACCAATATGTAACTAAATAATCAAGTTGTTTCCGATTAATAAGTAAAAAATAAATAGGAAAACTTAATACTGCTAAGTTACCCCTTTCCTCTCCTTCAATCCAAACTAGACGTGTTCATGGATTGAGCTGGATTCAATCGAGGTTCGGGTCTAATAATTTATATGCTTATCTAGACCCAGCTCGATCCAATATTTCAGACCTCAAAATTTTCTCAAACCCAGCTCAAATTGAAAAAATAAATCTCAAATTCATTAAATTTAATTTATATAATAAAAACTTTATAAAAAGTTTAAAAATAAAAATTCACATATATATATACTTATATAATTCTAATATTTTAATTATATATAATTTATTTGGACTGAATTGGGCAACCCTTTAATTCATTCGACCAAAGTTTAGCCCGAAATTTAAACAAACTTAAAATTTATGTTCAAACTCATTTTAATTTTTTGTTCAAAACCTCTTAAAACTTAGATAGATTTTCGGACTTGAACGGATAATCAGACCCTTAAACAGTTATGATACAAACTAAAGATAACTAATTCATTCTCATTTAATGTCAAATACCTAGAATTCAGCCTCCGCCGTGACTCATCCACTTGCAAAATCACCTCTTTCCCGTTTCCTTGCTCCAATTCACTTTCCCTACTAGAATCCTCAGCAACTCCATAATGAAACACCTACAAACCAAGAAAATATATTTTTTAAAAAAGAAAAAGAAAAAGGAAAGAAAGTTCTAAGTTTCAGACAAGTAAACTTACAACACCATCTTTTGATCTAACATCTTGGACACAAAATCTAAGGTTAGAATCGGTAATACAAATAAAACCAGTGTCAGAAGGTTGACCGCCGCCTTGTGGATGGAAGACTGTAGAATCCAAAATCAAAGCTTTCCTTCCATCATCACCCTGGAAACCAAATTAAAAAGCAAATGATCAGTTTCATCGATGAATAGGAAAAACCCAGATAAGGAATGGGGTAAAGAAGTGACCTTGAAGGAGGAAAGAAGTATGGCTTTGGATTGAAGTTTCAACAATTGATCATAGTATTCCAGCTTTGTTGGAGTCGTCAGTTCCATTGCTGCTCCGTCACTGTGTTCCCGCTGCGCCATCCTCGTTTCAAGCCCCGGCTTCCAAAAAAAAGGGTTAAGTTTTTATCTTTGGTCGGGTTCATGCGATGAGAAATTCGATTCGAAATTACAATGTTTGATATGAATTTTTTTATCAATATTTTATCAATAAATTACAATGATTAACAAAAAAAGTTTGACTTTTCTTCCCTTTTCTTTTTGTTTTGGTCAAGTTAAAACTTCAAAAGAAATAGAAGCGAAAGGATTTTTTTAACTTTTATTATATTTAATATTTAATAAAATTTATTCTTTAGTATTAATCGAAACAAGAGACAAGACTTGAGTTTGTAATTTCTTTATAAAGTGGAATTGAAGTTCTCAAAGATAGCTCGATGCGTAAAGCTCTTTCGTTATCTGCAGTTATGTGCAGAATTTGAGAAAAAGGTCTATGCAGAGAACATGGTAATGATTATATCAGGAAAGACTTGCAAATGGTGGTGGAAAAGATGATTCATATCTGAAGCTCGGTGTCCATGGCATTCAATATTGGGCTACTGTAATTCCATACATGGAAAGCTTAGTTTGACATATCATATATCCAAAGCTTGAATGCAGCAAATTTTCTCTCAAAGTACGAAATTGTGATTAATCATGAACTACCCATTATGTATCTTGCCATGCAATTTTGATGAATTTCCAGTTGATGGATGCTGCATAACTTCCTTTATAGCCTATGTCTTTTCCATGGTAATTAACCTTGTAAGTGCTAGGTTTAACCACGAGATTTCTTGAAGGTTGCCTGGAAAACACATTGATATCTATGGGAGGTTAAGGACTTGCTTTCCATGGCATCAAGCATCTTATGACTACCCATTATGTATTTTGCCATGCAAATTTGATGAATTTCCAGTTGATGGATGCTGCATAACTTCCTTTATAGCCTATGTCCTTTCCATGGTAATTAACCTTCTAAGTGCTAGGTTCAACCACAAGATTTCTTGAAGGTTGCCTGGAAAACATATTGATATCTATGGGAGGTTAAGGACTAGCTTTCCATGGCATCAAGCATCTTATGACTACCAAGTTCTCTGCAGACCAGAAGACATATTAAATGACAAATTAACAACAAAACTGTTGTTTGTTGGTGCATACTTGATCACATCTTTCTATGTTAATGTTTGGTCAGTTAATTTCTTTGACAATCAAAGGGAAACAGCCTCTTTGCAGAAAAAATACAAAAGGAAAGTTGCGTATTATGAACTTCGAATTCGTTTGTGAACTTATTCAAATTTTATTCGTTTATATATTTATTTATTAAATTTTAAATAAAATTTTTATATTTATTTATTAAATAAATAAACAAATATTTATTTCGTTCATATTCATGAAAAATTTATTTAATATTTATTTAAAATTCATTCGTTAATAATAATAATAATAATTTATTTTTTTATCTTAATCTTATTTTAAAATTTATTTATATTTATTTTATTATAATATATTTATTTTTATATATTATTATAGATAAATATCGAACTAAACACATGTTATAGTTTAAACAAATCAAATTCGAATAAATAAAATAATTTTTTATCATATATAAATTGAATTTAAATACCTTTAAAAATGAATTAAAAATCACAAAAATTCATTTATTAATTCATGTTTGCGCCTAGTTTTTTAGTAGCCATCATTTTTTTTTTCTATATATTCGATATTATAAGAAATTAAATTTTAATCTGCATTTCCATAATTGCCAAATTGAATATAGCAGCGACTTTTTCACTCACGTCAATCTCTTGGATCAAAAGTGATCTGATCCCTTTAAAAAAATACAAAACTTTAGTTTGGAGCGCTGCAAGAAAAGGACCTCAGCCGCTCCTTTATTTCTATCAATCACTATCAATAGCACAAAACGCGCATAAAATTTCGCCATGACACGAGACTTTGATACGCTCGAGTAGGCATTCGATTCTCAAGCACTCGTTCTCTCCTTCTGCTTTCTCGTGACTTTGAGAGAGAGCTTATATATATATAAATATAAAAATAGTATAGATTAAATTTTGATAATTAAAATAAAATATTTAATATTTTATTAATAAATTTTTTTGTTTCAATTACTGAATGATAATAGTTAAATTTATATTAAATTCGATTTAATTTTTTTAAATAATATATAATATTATAAAATTTTAAAATTTAATTTAAATTTTTTTAAATTAATTTGATCTAAATCAAATTTTATCGATTTAGTTTGATTTATTAATTTTTTTATTTTTTATATATTATTTAAATTTATTTTACAACAAATTTAAAAAATATATAATTAGATTCGATTCAATTTTTTTTTAATTTTTCATATCCTTACCCTAAATGCAATCCAAAAGTAATATATATGTTTAATTTTTAAATTTGATCCAAGCCAAGTAAAAAAAAAAGCTAATCTAAACAAAACTAAGTATTATAATTTTGAATAGATTTTTTATTTTCTCTTTTTATTTTCTTGCTCTTACTGAGATCTTATCAATATTTGTCACACTCTCACCTTAGTTGTCCATTACCTGGCCTTTGATGTCTGAACATTTCATTATAATGCTTATGATTTTTATGTTAAAAGAGATACAAATTTAATTGATAAAATCTAAGAGTATTTTTCATATAACATAAAGTCATAGTCAAAATTATTTTTTTCTAAATGCATTTGACATATGATATAAATAATTTGCATAATTATGGTACATGCTATTTTCACTTGTAGTTTAAGATGCACATATCATTTTTGTTCATTTGTAACAAATAATTGGGATTTAGGTGAAATTTCTTACTATGCTATTATTAAATATTGAATTTTGTCATTATATTTAAATTTTATTGAATTTTATCGCTATATTTTTTAATTTTATTTAATTTTATTAATTGTTGAAATAAAGGTAAAAATGAAATATTTTGTTAATGTGAATTAAATCTGATAATTTGAAATACAATTCTGTAATACGATACGAATAAAAAATATAAAAAAAAATAATTTAAAATTTTAAAAAATCATAAATAAGTTTAATAAAATTAAAAATTATATTTTATATTTTTATATCGACACGAATTATGACACATGATTTTCGTATAAAATACGATACGAAATAATATTTTACATGACACGATAATATGAATTTCTAAGTGTAATGTAAATGATAATTTTATCATTGTATTTTTATTTTTATTTTTAAATAAAATTAGAATATTTCATGAAATATTTATTAATGGAAATAATTATTTTTATTATTTTATATTGAAAATTAATAAAATTTTAATAAAATTGAAACACAATTACAAAATTCAATATTGATTCATTATACCTATAAGTATGACCTTAATCTCCCAATAATTCAAAGAGAATAATCATGAAATTAGAGATTATTACCACATTGAAATTTTTTTTCAGTTTTTATTATTATTACTAGTTTTAAAAAAATGCCGTGAAATTATAAACAAACTTAAATTACAAGTAAAGGCCAAGTGGCATAATTGAAAATAAATCCAAAACCCAGTGGCTTTCTCTTAATCACAACCATTTATAATCTAAAAGGCTACCCTTATTTTCACTCCATTCATCAAGTGAAAACAAAAAGACCCGAAAATGGGAAACTCTGGGTTCTCCTTCAGTTTCCTCGTGATTTGCGCTATCCTGTCCGTCCACGTGGCAGTTTCAACTTCGTCTCATACGCTCGATTTTGTCGGCAACCATTTTCTCCCGACTAAATCGGAATGCCGCGGATCCATCGCCCAGTGCCTGATGCTAGGTGGGGAGGAATCCTCGGACTTCGACGCCGAGTTCTCCATGGGCTCCGAAATCAGCCGGCGCATTTTAGCAACGACACGTTACATTAGCTACGGTGCGCTGAGGAGAAACACGGTGCCATGCTCGCGACGTGGCACGTCGTATTATAACTGCCAACCGGGAGCTCAGGCAAATCCCTACTCTCGCGGGTGCAGTAGAATTACCCGCTGTCGGCGTTAGATTTATTCTACTATTTTCCTTTTCTTAAAATATTTATTGCCTCCCCGGAAAATGTATTATTTTCCCTTTATTTTCCTATATTTGATTATTAATTGTGTGTATTGCCGATGGGATTGTTGCTTTAATATCTTCCCAAATTTTTATTAATCAAGTTTGTAAAATAAGTGAATGGAATAAAGATGAAAATTGTTGTATAAATTATGGTATTATATTTATAATTTTTGTTAATATTATTTATTTTATTTTATTTTCTGTATGAATTATTTTTTTATTAATTTTTTTAATTTTTGGGTCCATGAAATTTGAGGATGATGTTGGTGAGAAAAAGGTATATATATATATGTATATATATATATATATATATATATATATATGAATTTATTTATTTATTTTAAGAGATTTTTTAAGAGAGTTTTTGAAGTGGATATTAAATTTGTGTTAAATTTAATAATTTATATAGTATAAAATATTAAAATTTATATATTATATTATATATTATATAAAAATTATATATTATAATTTGTATTGATATAAAAATATAAAAAATATATTTTTTTAATATTATTAAATTTATATATTATTAATATTTTAAATTATATTATTTTTATATTTTTATTTATATTGTATTTATATTTAATTATTTTGTTGTATTTTAAATTATTATATTTAATTATTATGTTAATTTTTGTGGTATTGAATTTGTCTTTTTATGGAGATTTCAGACAACAAATGGCCCAAAAAAAAGGAAGTGAAATTTGTTGTTGAAAAATAATTGGATAATCCCACCTTCATTTAATGCCTCGTTTTTTTAGATTTAATCAAGATTTCAACGGACATTATTAAAAAAAAAAAAGTAAGTAACATTATTAATTAATATCGGTACATGCAAAATTTGAAATAGAAATAAAAATTAAAAAAAAAAAAAAAAAAGTTTTGGGTATATAAACCTGGCAATCACGCAAGGGCTGAGGGCGACGGGTTCATGTTTGAAGCAAGCTTAGCTTTTATGGGAATCTAGTTCTTCTTCCAAAAAAGGGCAAGTCATTGTAATCCAACTGTCATCTCTCTTTTTATTTTTCTTTTTTTTTTTAACTAAAAAAATATCTTTAATTAAAAATTTAATAATCATTTAAACTTTTATTATTAATTTTTAATCAATTAAATTCTTAAATTTTTATTTTTATTAATTGAATCATTAAAAAAAAGTTAGTAGTGCTTTGTAATTGATGGTTTAATTAAATAAAAATAGATATATAAATATTAAATTAGATGAAAATAAATGTTTTAGTGTTCAATTGATTGAAATAAAAAATTTAAGGTTTGATTAATTATAACAAAATGTTAAAATTTTAAATAATTATTAATTTTTTATTTGAGAATTTTTTTAACCCCTTTTTTTTTTTAACAAAAGAAAATATATAGAGTTTTGAGAGAAAATTGCTTGAAGGAACAACACTAATAAAATCTTAAAAAGATTGATAAATGTCATACTCTAAGCACATGCATAAAAAATATAATATTATGGGTGTTTATTTAGTTAATTCAATTAATTTTGAATTAAATTATTTAAAATATAATTAATTAAATTAAATTATTTTATTTTCGTTGATTGAATAAAATTATTAATTTTAAAAATTAATTGACAAAATTTAATTCGATAAATTCTATTAATTTTTTATTAATCAAATAATAAATATATTTAAGTTAAATTATATTTTAAATTCTTAAAATTTCATATTTTAAATAAATTAAATAAAATTATCCAACAAAATATTTAAATATGAAAATATTATGTTAAAAACTCTAACAACTTATAAAATAAAATGATTTATTTTATCTTTTTTATTTTATATTTATATTATATTATATTTCAGTTAAAATATTGATTAATTCGATTTTTTAATTAAATTAATCAAAAATTAAATTTTTTTAAAAATTATTTACGTTAATCAATCAAAATTAATTCAATAATTAATAAATTAACTAAATTAATTGATAAATTAAATCGATTTAATTTATTAATTTAATCAAAATCAAATTATGAATATTCATATACAATATCACACCTTTGATGTCTTCTTCATATTTTGCTGCATGAATGAGAATTAAAAAAAAAAAAAAAAAGGGAAAATCTGGAGCACCTGTGCTTAGTTATTACGAGCCAAATCAAACACAAATAAATTAATTAATCTAATTAAAATTCTTAGTGAGTGGCATGATCTAAAAAAATAATGAGTGATTCCTCAACCATGAACCTTTGTGCCAAAACTACTACTATTTTTTTTATACAAATCAATTCCTCTTGCAGATGCTGATGGTTCCTTGATTGATAATAACACAGTTCATCACAATCGTAGAATACTCTTCATGAGTAGGACATGGTTTGGAACCTTGATTGCTTCAAGATTGAATAATAGAGGAGCTAAATTCGAAAGTATATTAAATTATTCATAGTTTAAAATTTAATAACACAGAATAAAAAATACTAAAGATTAAACAAAAAATGTAATGCTTTTATTTTATTTAAAAAATAATTACGTGACTTTGGACAAATTTAATTTTTATTATTTAATAATTTGAACGAGTTCAAACAAAATTTCAAATAAATAAGGTTTGATAAACATAATGTTATTCATATTTAAATTTAAATCGACTTTGAACATTTTTAATTATGATTATGGATTCAATTTTGTAAAACCTTTTTATAATTTTTACATGGTTTAATTGTAATTATAAACTTTAACTTACAATAATAAATAAATAGGTTATGTTTTAAATATTTTAATCGGATGACTTTGATTTCAATTAAAAATTTGTGATCTTAATCGAAGCCGGTTCGGGATTGAAAGTGGGAGACAACCAAAATGCCAAATGCCAACTCACTAAAAAGGTCAGGCTCTTAATTTAATATTGGCCGTCCTTAGGTAAAATAGTCTAAAATAAATAAATCCCATTAATAAAAAAATACTAATCAAAGTTGTTTAACATTAAACATCCCTTCAAACCCATGTGATTTGGCGTAAATGCAAATCTCCACGCCACACCGACATGTGCGCTCCTTCTAACGCGACAAATCGACTCACCGCGGTAATGAAAGTTCCACCACCGTACGGTCTATTTTTAATAAATCCTAATAAAACAATAACATCGAATTTGATTTAATTTTGTTTATATAATACGTAATATTATAAAATTTTAAAATTTAATTTAAATTCAAATGATTTTTTTAAATTAATTCGATCCTAATCGAATTTTATGAGTTCAATTTAATTTGATTCATTTATTTTTAAAATTTAAATTATTAAAATTTTATGTTATTTTAATAAGATTTTTAATATATTTAAAAAAATTATATATAAAATAATTATTTTTATTTATAAAAATATATAAAAATTAATAAAAATATATAATACAATTTAATTTTTTTTTTACATCTCAATCTAAATTTTAATATATACATTTAAGCTTTATTTAACGCATAAAATTATAATAAGATAAGATAATATAATATTATTGATATAATTGAATTAAATTATATAATTTTATGTTTTATTTAATATGCATAAAGATTAAGAACAAAATAAAATATTAATTTATCATATTTGTTGCATACAAAATTAAAATTAAAAAAAATGATTTTTTTTTGGGTCAAAATTACTTTTTATATACTAATTTGATTTTAAAATTATAACTTTTTTATTGACGGTGGTTCTTTCTTCTACGAGAATCACTTGAACATATGAAACATTATAGGAAGCAATGTCTAATTTTTTTTGGATCAAATATAAAATTTACATTTTTATTTGATTATCAAGAAAATAAAAATCAGAAAGTTATAAGTTTGCATCTTCAATTATGTTCACTTACAAGCGGAGAAAACACTTCAAGCAAACGAATTTCAAGTTTTGAAATTAAAACTGGTTTATATTTCATCAACGGAATCAAAAAATAAAAATTTTTTTATTATCGAAAAATCTAAAAAAAAAATGAAAAAATTATACTTGATAGTGAGAAATCTAAAAGAAAAAAGTTTGATGGAGAGAAACGAAAAAAATTACTCTGAAATTAGAAAGTTTGAGAAACACATTTTTTTTGTGGAGAATAAATTGGTTTTTTCCATCAATAAATAGCGAAGAAAATTTAGAAAATGGGAAATATTTTTAAATATTTGATAATTTAAAATTTAAATATTTAAATTTAAATGTAAAATAAAAAATTAATTATTTAAAAATTATAATAAATTATCTAATCGTATAAATTAAAAATAATATTTTATTTTTTCAAATGATAAAATTATCCTATTAACATATGATATATAATCATTTTAATAATCTAATCTTTTTATTAAGTGCATAAAAATATGTGATAAAATAATTAATATCTTATATTTCAATTAATTTTATGTGTCAAATGTAATTTTAATATCTACTTATAATTCGAATAAAATAATAAATAAATAAATTCAAATCAAATCAAATTTTTAATTTTTAATTTTTTTCTCACCTCTACCCTCCGCCCATGAATCCACGGCTGTCGTTACACCATCTTAAATATAAACGTTCCCGGAACGTGTTCGACAATCTCTACCATTTTTCAACTTTCTACGTTTTTAATTTGCCCTCTTTTTCTTCCTTACTTATTCACTTCCCAACTCAAGGGCATATTTCGCCTTCGGTTTCCCATTTATTTACAGTCCGAACCAATCGCTTGAAAGGCTAAGGCGGCAATATGTTGGACCCGTGGTCACGGCCTCGCCGTTCGCGAGCCAAAATAACCGTTCTCTGCCTTCTACTAACAGTCATCGTCCTACATGCCACCTTCACCCCCGCAAAACACGGCTCCTCCCAGGAAAACGAAAATCACCACTCTTACGCTTCTCGCAAGCGCGTGGAGCCCCGTCGCGTACTCGAAGAAGCTCAGAACGACGCCGCTCAGAGCGACAATAACGATAAGAACTACGCCGAATTTGATATCTCCAAGATTCTCGTCGATGAAGAAGATGGAGGAAAGGAAAAACCCGACCCGAACAAACCATACTCACTCGGACCTAAAATATCCGATTGGGATCAACAAAGATCCGAATGGCTGAAAAACAACCCGGATTTCCCAAACTTCATCGGTCCAAACAAGCCCCGAGTCCTCCTCGTCACTGGTTCATCACCCAAACCGTGCGAAAACCCAGTCGGCGATCATTACTTATTGAAATCGATTAAAAACAAAATCGATTACTGTAGATTGCACGGGATCGAGATTTTTTACAACATGGCGCTATTGGACGCGGAAATGGCGGGATTTTGGGCGAAATTACCGTTGATTAGGAAGCTTTTGCTTTCGCATCCGGAGATCGAGTTTCTTTGGTGGATGGACAGTGATGCGATGTTTACGGATATGGCGTACGAGGTTCCATGGGAAAGGTATAAAGATTTTAACTTGGTTATGCATGGTTGGAATGAAATGGTTTATGATGAAAAAAATTGGATTGGTTTAAATACGGGTAGTTTCTTGTTAAGGAATTGTCAATGGTCGCTTGATCTTTTAGATGCTTGGGCTCCGATGGGTCCGAAAGGGAAGATCAGGGAAGAAGCTGGCAAAGTTTTAACTAGGGAATTAAAGGGTAGGCCTGTTTTCGAAGCAGATGATCAGTCTGCCATGGTTTACTTGTTGGTCAAGGAAAGAGCCAAGTGGGGAGAAAAAGTATATCTAGAGAATGCTTATTATTTGCATGGTTATTGGGGGATTTTGGTGGATCGTTACGAGGAAATGATAGAGAATTATCATCCGGGGTTAGGGGATCATAGGTGGCCCTTGGTTACTCATTTTGTCGGCTGCAAGCCTTGTGGGAAGTTTGGTGATTATCCGGTGGAGAGGTGTTTGAGGCAAATGGATAGAGCTTTTAATTTTGGGGATAATCAGATCTTGCAGATGTATGGGTTTATGCATAAATCGCTGGCGAGTAGGAGAGTTAAGAGAGTTAGAAATGAGACTGGTAATCCACTTGAAGTTAAAGATGAGTTAGGGTTGCTTCATCCGGCTTTTAAAGCTGTTAAGGTATTGAAATCTTGATAATGTCTCATTGGAATAGCTTCAATTGATTGATATGTAACAGTCATACACTGCTGTTCTTGATTAATTCTTTTGCTTGTCGACTTCCATTCCATTGCTAATCCTTCCTTTTGGTAGCTTGGATATTGTACTCAATTTTTTCGATATGTTGGATATCAATGTCAACTGAAATCATAATTGAACTCTGTATTCAATGAACTGTTTGTTGCCTGAGGCCTTGAGTTGAGTTTCGATTTCCATTCCATTGCTAATCCTTCCTTTTGGTAGCTTGGATGTTGTATTCGGTTTTTTTTGATATTTTGGATATCAATGTCAACTGAATCATGATTGAACTCTGTCTTCATTGAACTGTTTGTTGTCTGAGGCCTTGATTGGCTGGGCAGAAAGAAGAAAAGGAAAATAAACAGAGGAGATGTTACTAAGATTGATAATCACCATACTAGATTTTTAAGTAACTACAGGATGTTGCTTGATTTCATGTTTCAATGATGAATTTTATTCTTGTCTTTGTTCAGTGGGTATGAATCTGTTTGTAGATAACCAATGCCAAGTGAACTATACATTGTTATTTTTTTTTAAGTACAAAGGAGGTCGCAGCCTGGGAATGGGAGCAAGGGTTGCTAGTTTTGGGATTTGAAATCCAGATCTGTTGTATGCCACATTTTAAGGGGTGACTGCGTGAAAAAACTATTGTGCAATTGTTTGCAGCTTACTGCTGCTTAGAAAGTTGTTGATTAAAGAATATGAATGAAGTAGATGTCCCGGGAGCTATTCTCTTTGTTTCTAACATACTCTGGCCCTGAATTCTTGAGGGTATTGCCATTGTTGCCACTGGTCTGCACTATGCTCTTTTGTTAACTTACAATTAGATTACTGTCTTTTGCATTTGAGATTTCAGTTCTTCCTTCCTCAGAGTTCTCTATAGAAACATGGATACAAAGAATGGGGTTTATGCATTTGGAAGACAAGAGCTAATGAAATCATCTTTTGGAAATGAGATTTTTGTTCTGTCACTGGTCCCTGAAATTCTTTTGTTTATGCTGACTTTTAAAGTTAGGCCAGATAATCTTGCCAAGAATTATGCAATGTCTAGTAGACCTGATAATTTAAAAACAATACAATGATACGATATAAATATAATACGAATGAAAGATACAAAGATAATATGATTTGAAATTTTAGTAAAACCCATAAATAGGTTTAACAAAATAAAAAAATGTATTCTATGCTTTCACGTTGACATGAATTATAATACGAATACGAATATACAAATTGTTCAAGACTATTCTTCAGTATAGATTGCAAAGTTGTAGCTTCAACTTGAATAGCAAACTGGTTACTCTGCTTCCACATAACGCTGCAACAACTGATCCACTAATTTCACAAATTCCACCTGATGAAATCCAACATTATTCCATTTATGGAAGATGAACATGTCAAAATTGATGTACGACATGGATAAATATAGATTTCTCAATCTTCTTCACAATGCCACTTTCACTGTTAGAAAAGACATGATCAAACATAAAATTTCATCTGGTAGTTCTTCCAACCTGCACTCCTTCAAACCAGTTTTCTGTTCAATCATATCAAAATTTCAATGTCAATTATAGCAAGAAACAAACAAGGGTAGTTTGGTAATAAAAAACTAGTAAAAAAATGTTACTCCATTGATTATGCATGGTAAACTAGAGATGAAATCGTCTCATTTATGTTCTCTTGCAAAATTTTTTTTCTGTATTATTAAAAAAAAATATTACGTCTATAAGTCAATATGACATTTTTTTATACAAAAATTAAAAAAAATTATAAAATACATTGACAATAATATTTTTTAGTTTTACAAATAGAATGAAAATAATAATACATGTCTTTTATTTATTTTAAAAAAATTAATTAAAAAAATAAAATATATATTATTATATTAATCTCACTTGTAAAATTAAAAAAATTATTTTTATTGTTTCAAATAATTTTTCGTGAAAATTATACATCAACGTGGTCAAACCAACTGTGAATTTTTTAATTTTGTTACATTTTGGATTGATATTTTTCATTTTAAAAAATATAAAATTAAATTTATCCAAATTATTATATAATTGACTACATTATGATTTTTGGCCGAATAAAATAAAATATTCAAAACCTTGACTTTAAGCAAAACCTCAGAATCGCCACACAACTTTGGACCCACAATAAAAATATCAACGGTTGTCAATCTCACACCTAAACTTCCAATCTCACCAAATCGGCACCTACCTTTAAATTAAAAAAAAAAAAAAAAAGCCCTTGCTCCGTCTCCGTTATAAATCTGCTAAAGGTACTGACTTTGTTCTTTCCTTCATTCAATGGCGGTTCTGTAAAGCTTCGCCCTCTCTTCTCAGTCCCTTTTAAATACATTTTTACTTCTTTGATAAAAACCCTAATTTGGAAATAGGTTAGATTTAATAAATTTCCATTATCTTTTCTTTTTTTTTTTTTTTTTGTTTTTGTTTTTGTATAATAAGAATGGAGGGTTCAGCTGGGCTAAAACACAAACACTTGGAGTTCACTTTGGCCACAGTTTCTGAACTTTCTTCTTCATTGACTTCTTCTTCTTCTACGCCGGTGATTGCTCGTTTCAGTGCTGATGGTGGAGTTGCACAGCTTCGGTTTCACCAAGATTCAAAATTTATTGATGGATTCAATGTCTATCTTGGAACCTCTCAGGTAAGAAAAGAGAGTGTTGTTTGGTTCTTGAGAAAATGGGCATGCGAAGCAAAGGTAAAGAAAGGGGTAATTGGTCATGTTTTTGTTTTTCCTCTTAACAAAAAAAGAAAATATTTTTTGCGTTAGTGAAAGATTACGTTTTCTCCTTTGGCATTGAAGAGGTGCTTAAGATTTGCATTTCGTTTTTTTTTTTTTTATTTTTTGCGTTGGGTTTGTTTCCAATTGCTACTTTTCCCTATGGTTTGGTTGTTGGTGAGGCATTGTGAAGTGAAATCGGATTGGATTATTGAAATTTACAACTTTTAAAACGAAATCTTTTAGTTTCTGTCAGCTATGAAGATTGTACATTGGTTGAATTTCTTTTTTTATTGTTTTCAGATTTTCAAGTTGGGACCTGTTCAATCGCTTTGTGTTTCCAAAAGTTGTGATACCAATAAGGAGGTATTAAAATCATTTCAACTTTTGTCTAATATATATGGAAATGTTAGCAATAGAAGGAACGCTTATGTATTTCATTCTTTTGTTTTGTTGAACTTTTTCTGCTGTTTTTCTGGTTTGGGTACATTCAATGACCTTTTTTTGTTCATGGAAAAATGCCGGCTAGCGGTTACACATTGATATTTTTTGCCTGTTTATTACTTGGATTGTTGCAATTTGTGAGTATATATCCTTGCCAAAATGTTTTTTTTTTTTTGGGTTGAAAATTTTGTATAATCATTGCTGATGATAAGTATAACGTTTAGTTATAATTTGAAACACTGTCAGATATTACATTTTTGACAGTAGTATTTTTGAATCAGAAATCATATTCACGGGGAGTCACCATTCAATTTAGGAATGAGGAGGAGAGCAGGGACTTCCATTCTGCATTTGAGCAATTGCAGAAGGAAGATGATATTCAAGGTGCTACTTTTGAAACCTGCTTATGATCATGCGCAAATTTGTCTGCTGTATTGGCTTTTGTTTGATCTGTATTTTTTTCCCTTTTCATCCAGGAACACATTTGCCAAATGGAGCCATTTCTGCTTCTAAGAGCAAGTTTGATAATAAAATCGAGCCATCTTCTGCTAAAATGTATTTCCATTATTACGGACAATTGCTACATCAGCAAAATATGTTACAGGATTATGTGAGGACAGGTTATATCACAGAGTGGTGCTTCATTATTTCCTTTGATTTTCTGTTGCACGTTCACTTTGAATTTTTGTGACAATGCTAACAAAGCCCACTTCTATGAGATAGTAAACCATTATGTTTGATCAACATACAAAAGAAGTTATCAGACAAGTAACTTTTAACTACAGGTCATGTATCTTAGGTGCTGATTATTTTCTCCAGGAACCTATTATGCTGCTGTAATTGAGAACCGTGCAGATTTTATGGGTCGTGTGGTGGTTGATGTTGGTGCTGGAAGTGGTATTTTGTCATTATTTGCTGCACAGGTATCTTAACCTTTAGGTCTATTTTGTCCATGCAAATGTGCTATTACTTTTCCTGTGGTTTGTAGATTGATGCTCAATTTCTTTTCTTCTCCCTATTAGGCTGGTGCAAAGCATGTGTATGCTGTTGAAGCCTCTGAAATGGCAGAATATGCTCGCAAACTTATTGCTGGGAACCCCACATTAGGTCAACGGATTACTGTATGTGCTTGTCTTGTCATGTTGTTGCTGTTTTCTCCTATATTTAGATTGATCTTGTTTCTCATTTGTTTGGTTACAATGGTGTGTAAAATATAGGTAATCAAAGGTAAAGTTGAGGAAGTTGAGTTGCCCGAAAAAGTGGATATTCTGATCTCTGAACCAATGGGTATGTTGGTGTGGGTGAGGCTTTGCTTTTGTCATTATGTGAGATGATGAAAATCTCGTTATACTGATGCTTCTAAGCTCTTGCTTCCATGCTTTATTCTTGTGAATATGACGCTTTCTCAGTCAGAATATGATAAATATAAATGCTATGAAGATGTGATGGAATTATTTTTTGGATGTTTAAAGAGTTTTCATTCAAGCAAGATTCTTTAATTGATTTTTGTGTCATTTGCAGGCACCTTATTAGTTAATGAGAGAATGTTGGAGTCCTATATAATTGCAAGAGATCGGTTTCTTGTGCCTAACGGGAAAATGTTTCCATCAATTGGAAGGTAAAAGTTACCACATTCAATCTGTTTATTTCTCGAGCAGTTGATAAATGTTTTCTGATTTGCAGATAAATATCATCTCAATGCTTTTAAGACTTTCACTTTGAATAGTAGCATGTATTTTACTTCCTTGATCTGTTCAACTGTTGGTCTTACACTACCAGGTTTTCTTTTTCCCAAATTATCATGCTCAGCCAGTTAAATTATATGCAGATTTATGATTGCCGTCATGCCTTCATCCTACTCTACCTCTTGCTTATTAATTTTAATTGTTTTGTTTCATATGGTTTTTCCCCTTTTATCTTAGGGATATTTTTTGTTCCTCTTGTATTTCGTTGATTTATTTTTGATCATCAAGCTGTAAAATGCTTAAGGTCTTTTTCCTTGAGTTACTCTCATCCTATCTTAATCTTGTAGGATACATTTGGCACCTTTCAGTGATGAATATTTATTTGTTGAAATTGCAAATAAGGTATGTATATGACATTGTTTTGCTGGGGTAATGTAATGCAATTTTATACGTGCCTGTGTAAATTTATACATCTTTGAAGAAAGTTAATCTGAAACATCTCATGACTTGTTGGCATGAATCTTTTTCCTCCTCCAGTCTGATTAAGAGAATTACATAAAAAGTTGTTGGCTGTATAAATTATTTTATACTGTTTCTATTCTTCCATTATATAATCCATGTCAGACATTTCCTGAGCATTCTTTTCCCTTGTTCTTCTGGTGCCCATCAATGTATTTATCTTTAAAAATAAAAGAAACTTATAGGCTTTACAAGTTTTCAAGGTGGTGTTTTATAAAATTTACAGAAGAAAGTGAAAGATGCTTAGTTTTAAAGCTTACCTTTATCAGAAGACCTTCCTTGTTGGCTGCTTTATTAAACTGTATGGTTTGCTACCAGAAACTCCCTTGAAACATGTTATTTATGTATTCGTAGTAATGCTGTCAACGCCAATGTTTAATGCTATCAACCACAATGTTTTCTTTTCATTGTGCATTTCATAAATTTTAAGGCTCAGACAATGCCCCATTCTGCATTCCTCGAATTGCTATCAATTTTCCTGTACTTTTCTATTTAATTTTGCATTGTATCTACCTTTTCTGTTGCTCCCCCTAACCCGGAAGAACTGGCAGGCTCTTTTTTGGCAGCAACAAAACTATTATGGTGTAGATCTTAGACCGTTATATGGGTCTGCATTCCAGGGATACTTCTCTCAGGTTTGTTTTGTACACCATTACCTGCGTCTGTAGAGTGAAATGTGGCACTTATATCCTAGTGTTACTAAAATGCACGGTTTACATTGGGTTTTTCTCGATACTTGCCTATAAAATTTCTTTGGCAGTTTCCATACTGGTCTTCCTTCATGTGTTTGTGGTTACTCCATTGATGTCGCATTCTGATGCCTTTTGCTTTCATACAGCCTGTGGTGGATGCTTTTGATCCAAGATTATTGGTGTCTCCTCCTATCTGCCATGTAATTGACTTCAACGAAATAAAGGTATCAATGAGCCATTGACTTGTTTCTCTTGTTAACGAGTTAGTCTCTTATAGTAAACTTCATTTCATTTTCCTCGAATCGAAGTGCTATATCTTGTATTTGCATCTTTGCTTTTCCACCTTCATATGATTTTCCAAGACAATGAACTTTTTATTTTACCTCTTGCATTGCATTCTATCACATCCATTTATGTTTATGTTTTGATTCTCGGTTGCTTTGTAGAACTCTGTACATGGGAAAGCTTTTTTTAGTTGTTGGCTTGTTGCAAACTTGTAACTTCCATGGGACATTAAGACCTTTTTTTCTGAGCGTTGCAATATTTTCACTTAATCATAGCTGTTTGATTTAAACTACCTTTCTCTGACCGTAATCAACTACTTTTGATGGTTACTATTTTTGCAGGAAGATGACTTGTATGAAATAGATATTCCATTGAAATTCATAGCATCTGTGGGGACTAGAGTGCATGGGTTGGCCTGTTGGTTTGATGTTCTGTTTAATGGGAGGTAATACTTTCCAGTTTTGCATTTCATCAGATTTACAGTTTCATCCATCTAACCGCAGTTGAACTGCTTTATCAATAGTTCTGTGCAAAGATGGCTTACCACTGCCCCTGGTGCGCCTACGACCCATTGGTACCAGATACGATGTGTTCTTTCTCAGCCAATTTATGTTATGGCTGGGCAAGAAATAACTGGCCGACTTCATATGATTGCCCATAATGCTCAAAGTTATACCATACATCTAACGTTGTCAGGTTGGTTTCGATCTTATTTTTGCGTTTCTAATTTGCTGTTTTGTTTTTCTAATGAGGTACGCATAAACTCTTAAATAGCTAAAATGTGGGGCCCTGGGGCGGAACAAGGAGGAATTCTTCAGACCTCATCGTGCAAACTTGATCTCAAGGAGCCTTATTACAGAATGTCACAGCCACAACCCTACACATTGGCACAAGACCAGCAACCACATCAATTGCTGCAGGCTCAGGTATCAGCTTATTATCCTGTCAGCTCGTATGTGATTTGTTAGATTCATCTAAGATTGATGGCTTTTAGCTAATTTCTTTAGTGCAATTGTATTCCATCTCTAACATTGCTATTCATAAACAATTACTATTGGTTTGCTTTTAACAGGATACACCCTTACACACTGATGATTTGGAGGAACCTGAGTTGCTGAACGAACCATCAGAAAATTCAGGCGCTCAGCTCCAATAACTGATGAAAAATATTTGAATTTCAGGACTCTTAACAGAATGCGCCTGTAACATAATTTTGCTTTTACGCTGGTAAATGCTAGGGTCAAGCCTCTGGTGATTTGTGCCATTTGTTTCTGATCCCTGTAAATTAAAATCGACTTGATTCACTATTATTGTTTCTTTTGAAGTAGCTTCACACGATAACCGTACTCCTTGTAATAAGCTTTTCTCTGCTCCTTGCTAAGTTTATCAACCTGAGATCCCCTTAGACGCTTGAATGGTGGAAGCTGGTCATATTCATCATAATCTTCTTCATCAGAATTTATTGAGTCTCCTAATGCAATATCCAAGTCAACAATCTCACCATCCTGATTGTTAGATAGTTTTAGAGGACGAGATTGCAATAGGGAAGACAGCAAGTAAGTTAGTGGTGGAGAACGAAGCTGGACACCCAAATGCTTCTGGTAATCAAATGGATCTTGAGATTTTGATAAAGAACTTGCTTATGATAAGATCTTCATTGAATAGCACAAGAGTAGCAACTGTGACCTCCAACTTTGTCCACTGGGGAGCAAACTTTCTCCATTTCCGTCTCTCTGACATGATGGATGGTTCTCAAAAAGAGCCACTGGATGCATCATACTTGGATTCATTAGACGCAGATCGCCAACTGCTTGGCTGATAGATGGATGAACCACATGGGACCTTTGAGCAACAAAGACCTCAAAACTTAGGGGTTCCCTCAATGGTCCCTCTGAGGAAGCAGACGGAGCATGAGTAAAGAGTTACAATGGCATTTTGCCATAATGATGACCCGAGAGAATCAGTGAGATATTATAGTAATAGCAAATCACTAAGGTCTCTGTCATGTGTGTCTAAACGATCAACATAGAGAACATCTGGGGGGGACTTCCTTACAAATATCTTTATAGATGCTAATAGTTTGCGATTAGTATCTTCTTCTGTCATAGGAGATCTAAGACCAGGTGATCAAAGATTCTGATCTTAACTACATCTACTGTTCCAACAATCTCCTTCACAGCGGTTGTGGCTGGTTCAAAAGCATAAATTCTGGATTTTTTGTTCCTAAAAAATGGAAGTAATGCAAGCACTCTTTCCCACTCCAGTTTTTCCAAGAACACCAGGATATTCAAAGAAAAGTTTTAAGTCATCTTTACCTTCTGCTTCAAGCTCTCTTGGCTGATTCAATGGTGAATTCTTGACTCAAAAGACTACCCAAAGCTAGGGCCAGCCTGCACAGTTGCATCGGATCAGTGGGAGAATGACCTGGTCTCTTTACAAGTCTCAAGAATTTCACTCTTATTAGTTGTAACTTCTCGTACCTCTTCTTATCTTCGTCACTGACATTGTCCTCGGAGACAACGTCGACCATATTTGATGGTGGAGGCTGAAGCAGCTTTTGAAGTATGGAATGAGGAAACTGAATGAGTAGGGCGCTCGAGAGAACAACCAGGAGAAGTGATTGTGAGGCCACCACCATCAGATTCAGCACCTGTTGCTGCTTTCAGAAGAGAAACCAATGCAGCAGAATTGAATAGTTAGTTCCTTTGCTTCATGTTCCCTCTCGGCTTCCACTTCTTCATCTCCATGACAATCTGCTCACTTGCCGTCTCTAACTGATCCTCCGAATTTACCTTCAAAAGAGAAGTGGAGGTTAATCCATGCTCTACCTCATTCAGTACTTGTTTGCTTGTTTCAAAGCTTCCAAAAATCAGTTGCTAAACATCTTCAATGAACCTTAACCACAACAGAAACCCTTCCATCTTCCACATCAGTCAACATTTCAGCAAACTGTTCATCATCCATTGACAATTGGGCAATAGGAATAACCCGATTTGAATTAGAACTACCCACCAAACCAATGCCAAAACCACTCTCTTCCCCATCTACCATTGACTTCTTTAAGCTATCAAAATCATCATTTTTGTTAGCCACATAAATTTTGTAACTTTCACTAATACCATTATTCTCTTCTTCCAAAGTTTCTTCTTCTGGGTCTACCACTGCAAAACTCCTCATCTTCAAACTCCAACTCACTGTTGTTCTCAAAACTATTTAAACTACTCCCACCAACAGTGCTTGCAGTTTCATGACCGTTAGATTCATATTCAGAATCAGAATCAACAGTTATGGGAGCTCCGATAAGTAAAGAACCTGTTGATAAAAATGGGGTCTCTTTTGCTGTGGAAATAGTGACATGCGGCATTGACTCCATGGACTTGAGCAAACACTGGATGCCAAAGAGTTATGAGTAAAAACAGATGGGGAGCCTTCTATTTGTATTTTCCTTCTTGGGTTGTGTTACCATGAGTAGACAGTAGATTTTAGGACAGGCTTTGTTATGTTTGTTGTTCTGTTTTTTAAGCATCTGTTTTGAGCCAACTAACCCCAAAACCATAAAAGCTTTGGGCCTACCCTTGAACTCTTCGTGCCTTTCTTTTTGCGTAAGCTTTACAGGTGAGGAAAAAAAAAACGAAAAAAACTTAAAATCGATTAGAAATTGTAGTATTTAATTTGATACGAATTAATTTTTTTATTAATTTGGATTAAGTTTATATACTAATAATATATATTAAATTCAAATAAAAAAATTGAAAAAAAATCAAATCGTATTGATTTATATATTTTATTAATATATATTTTAAATTTTTATAAAATAAAAAAATTATTTTATATCTAAAATTATTTAAATATATTAAAATAATATACAAAAATTTAAATTTAAATTTAAAAATTAATAAATTAAATTAAATCCATAAAATTTAATTTAATTTAGATCACGTAAAAATTCAATTTGTATTTAAATCAAAATTTAAAAATTTATAATTTTATGTATTAACAAAAAAATTTTAAATAGAATCCGATCCTATCCATTCTTATTCCTAATAAACTTTAGCCTATTATTTGATACCTCGCTCTCAAGGCTTGTTGTTGGCTTTTAATAAATAGTCCAAATTTATTTGGGCTCCAATGGAGGCCTGCCCTAAAACCAGAAAAACCAACATTTCTCAACCGTCTTGTGTGTCCTTCACTTGCCGCTTTCGAGCTCCAACGTCAAATCTATGGCGGTGGCTGTATCCCTCGTCTCCCCCATTTTCTCCTTCGTTCCCAAATTTTCACTAAAGCCACTTCTGTTTTCCCCTCTTTCCACTCCATCTCCCTCAAAGACCACCAAGCGTAAAAACTATTTGCGCCTTAAAATCCTCAAAACCCTCACTAAACCTTTCCCTTCTTCCTCTCCTATCAATCCCATAGCCCCCCTACAATCCCCACCTGAAACTAAACCCCTCGACGTCGTCGTTTTCGAGCCTCCCTCTGATGAAATGCCAAACCAAGTTTTAGAAGAAACCAGTAAAGTTGAAGAATTTCGGGCTTCTGAGACATGGGATGTTGCTGGAGAGATCAGTGGCAGTTTTGGTAAATTTTCCGCTTATTCCGCCTTAAAATTCGGGTTTTATTTTGTTGGGATTTTTGTCTTTCAGACATTAATTGCTGTTTGGGTGATGGGAAATGGTAACTCTCAGGATAAAGATGGGAACTTGGATGATTTTCAGAGGAATAATGAAAGTAAAAATGGAAAATTTTTAACTTACGAAAAAGTTGGATCAGTTTCAAGAAATGTGCTTTATTGTGATGAATCTGAATTGGAAGAAAAAGTTGAAGAAATTAGAGCGATGGCTAGGGAAGCACGAAATAAAGAGAAAAAAGAAATGAAGAACAGTGATGAGGAAGGTGATGTAATTGATGAAAGTTTGACTTCCAAGGCAAGAATTGGGATTGAAAAGGAGATTGGTGCTAGATTGAATAGGTTGGAGAAGAAATTGAATTCGAAAAGAGAGAACTTTCCAGGGTCGTATATGAGTTTTTTGGACAAGTTAAAGGATTCTGAGGATGCACAAGAGATGAATAAAGCATTGTCTACACGAGAGTTGAATAAAGCATTGTTCATAAAGAAGAAATTCAAATTCAGAGCACCTGAAAAGAATTCAAGAAGTGATGTGAAGGGTTTTGGCAGTTTAAAGAATGGTAAAGCATCAAGCAATAAGAATGCTATAGCTACTAATGGTTCAGAGGCTAAGGAAGTGGTTGATGGAAAGAGAGTGCCTAGTCGAAACTCGGATTCCTTGCCAAGTAACAGAGAGAAAACTGAGAAGATAGAGGAGTTTGGAGCTTTGCGCAATAATACAAGGTTTGGTATTGTTTCTGGAAATCTTTGCAATAGTAATTGACTGTTGAAAGTTCAAAAATTAGTCCTGCTTTTTGAAATTTGCTGACTATTCTTGAATATCCTTTTGTAGTTATGTGGATTTCAGAATTAGTCATTAAATGTGAAATCAAGTTTCTTCAGCTGTTAAAATCTTCATGCATTAGATTCATGATAGCAAATGATTTGTTATAAATTTCAAACTCAAAAAATAGAAGAATTAAGGATGATGTTGCTGTTCAATTTTGATTTTAAGCTGTTTATTTATCATTTTATATGATGTGTAACTTTTGTAATCAGTTAGATTTGAGTATAAAGTTTTATTGAGTTCCTGTGCAATCCTTGGTTATTTGTTAAATTTCTAGTGCTGGTTCAGAGAGCAGTCAAGAAATGTTGTCTACTGAAGTTATGAAATCAAGAAAGTCGAGAGATTTGGATACCCAGAATTCGCAGGTCTTTACAAAAGAGAACCAAGAAGCTAGAACCAAATCTGATAAGCATGCTTTCTTGCATACTTCAAAAAGCAGAGATGTTTGCAACAAGCCACCAGCCAACAAAGTTAAGGATAATCAGCCAGGCATCAAAACTGATCCATGGTGGCTGAATCTTCCTTATGTTCTGGTACGTAAATGCAACTTCTGCACTTCTATTAACAATTATTCCATCTCAACAGCATGAAAGTAGGCATAGTTTCATCTCTTAAACAAATGATACTTATGAAACCTCATAGCAGGCACATTTTTCCTGGACTACCAGTCTTGAATAACTCAAGTATGCTATCAGTATTGGATGCATGACTGTTGGAATTTCTCCATTTCCTACCCTGCAATCTCATTCCTCCTTGTAAATGATTGCCACAAGAATAATTATGACCATACTAGCTATCTTATTTGCACTTCTCAAGCATTGTAAAAATTCAGGCTTTTCTGCATATTTTATCAGATTTAACTTTTCTGCAGTACTCTAGTTATGTTTTCTAAGATAAGACAATCTTGACAAATAGCTTCATAATTCATTCCTTAGGATCCAATTGATTAAAGGACTATTATAATTTGAAAATTAATTCTCTTCTTTAATTAGTTATGTATTTCATACTGCTTGATTTTCCATGTCATGCATCATTATATTACTGATGTTTGGGAATGGATGTACCTTTCTTTAGATTTTCTTTTCCCTGTCTAAAATAAGCAATTTCTGGGTTTGCTAAGCATCAGCTGTACTTGCAATTGTTTCCAGGCTATTCTCATGCAAAGAGGTATTGATCCTGATGGACCAGGAGGGCTTTTTACCTTGCGAATCTCCTCTGCGGGCCAGGAACAGAGGGAAACTTCTTGCACTGTTGCATTTCAGGACCACATTGATGCCAACAACTTCTGTTATCTTCTTGAAAGTTATTTTGAAGATCTAGGTGATTTCAGTGCTGAAGTTGTTCCTATGTCAGTAAAAGTAAGAATTATAACTTGATTTCATTAGCTCTGTAACTTCATAAATCAGTGTTTTTATTTGACTGAATCAAGCATAAAAGAGGCAGAGGATACTACTTGTTATCAGTCCACAAAAAGAATATTGCTTACCAATTTATTGACACATCTCAATAGCTCCAATCGCTTGCTACAGCTAACAAACTATTTTTTCTTTGGCTGGCACATAATTTTCCTTGATCTGTAAGAGGATTTAGAACCTGTGACTTCTGCAGGAACTTTGTGAAGCTATAAAATTGCATGCGGTGAAGGTAATTGTTGTCAAGAAGGGGCAGCTTAAGCTTTATGCAGGTCAACCATTTGCTGAGGTTGAGATGGCTCTGCACTCTTTGATTGAAGATAACCAAAGTGCCTCTATTACAAACTCAGAATAGGCCATGGCATTGGTTACAGAGACGGTAAAAATTGAAGAGGATACATGCCTACGGGAGGTGAGACTGGAGTTGATCAACTGTGATCTCTCTTCTTGTTCTCTTCAAGCTATATACATATTTCTTCATGGGAAGCTACGGATGAGAACAATTGAGTTACCCCCACGAACATCAATCTCTCCTACCCAGCATATGGCAGTGGCTGTGAGATACTGCCACTGAAGTTTTGTGACCATTGTATTTAATTTTCTGGAGTTGCATAACAACAGTGATTCCGTAAGAGTATTCGGAAAAAGAAAAAATCTTGGAAAACAATTTATTCAATTACTTGATTAATTTATCTTCAAGAATTTCAGATTTTATGCTCTGATATACTTGTGGGGATGTCTGAAGTTTCTTTCTGTAATTCATGGTTGCTGGCATATATTGGGTCAAACTGGATTTATTTGCTTTCAGATACACTGCCTGGATGTGTAGTTGGGTTCTTAAATCACTTGAGATGGTGAAATGGGAAGAGAGAAGTAGTTGATTATCAATTGCAGGCGGATTCTTGTCGTAAAAAACAATGAAATGTGTTATTCCATCATTAAAAAATACCAAGAAAATGGAGAAAACAAGAATACCCTAGCTTTCTACCAACTGTGCTGCTGCTGAAACTTTTTCCTTTAAGCTCTACTGGAAAGAAATGACTTTGATCATGGAGTGAGCGTGAATGGGTGCTAAATTTGTCTGGCAAAAGCTTTGCCAAGTCTCCTCCTGATTCTGCTCTTCATTTTCTGTAAATGCCTTGTATATAGAAAACACAATCCTTCTTGCCGCTTCTCTTGCCTCCGGCAGCCTATCATTCAACAAATCTGCTGCCATTTGAAGCAGTGCAACTAACCCAAACTCTTTGATTTCTTCCCGGCCCTGCACAAATGATAAACAAGTGAGACAATGTTCAAACATTTATTAATGTTTGTTTCCTTAGAGTTTTTCTCTGTAATTTACCATCTTGAAAACAGAATTGGAAATGGAAACAGCAGCTTTGGCTCTGACTCTGAGGTTGCCATGGTTGACATATCCGCTAAGCTTCTGAAGCAGAGGCAATGGAGCAATAGACTTAACCATTGCATTCAGCGACTTATCTGCTTCTTCACACACAAACTTCTTGTCCTGACAAGCTTTCAGTAACAGCTGCAATAACTGTAAACCCACCACAAATTTAACACCATTTTAACACATCAAAACAGAAATTTGAAAACCTCAAAGAGAAATGATAATTGGTAGGATGAGAAAAAAAATCAAAAAATCGAAAGTCCATTTGAAATTGTAGTGTTTGGTTCAGTTCATATCAGAATTCAATTCGTATCGAATCAGTTTCAAGAGAACGTCATTCACATTCGGATTAAATTTTATAAATTTATAATACTATACATTATTTAAAAAACCAAACTGAATCTGATCCGAATCGTTAGGCCAAATGGGCACCCACCAACTGATCAAATGCACCAGAATCAAGCAACTTTTCACCAAAGGCATCGAAGATATTCGAAGCAGCCATAATCGAGGTCTTGCAGAGAGCACTTCTGGGGTTCTTCATTGCCTTTACCATTACCAAAATCACCTTCTCTCTGCATAATCACATGCATGTTTCCATCACAACAACCCACCACCAAGAAGGCACAAACAAAACAAAATTTAGAAGCTTACAAGATTGGAAGCAGAAGGGAGGAGTGGTATAAACAGAACCGCCTTACGTCATTCAATGACTCGCAAACCTTAACCCAATCCTTAGAATCTAACCCTTAAACTAAGCTCTGAAAATTTCAAATAAATTTCACAAAGAAAAACCAACCAGAATCATAAAACTGCAACAGGGTTAACTTTTAGAATAGTAAAAATGGGAAATACTTGGATGCTTGATTCAGGGTCTTCACAGGGTTTGAGATTCTCTAAAGGGATGTAATCAACGGAGGCATCTGCAGATGGTGGCAATGGAGCCTTGTTCTCGTCATTTACGACAAATTCTGATGATTTTTTCTGGATCAGAATCGACACTTTGGCTTGTTTCTTGTGTCTCTCTGGTGCAATCAGGAGGGCATTATCTATGGGTTTCAAAGCCATTTTTCTACGAGATAAGAGGAATCTTTGATCTGAAAACAGATTGACTTGAAGTGGGGCAGAGGAATTTAGGGCAAAATTTGATTTAAAAGGGTCGAAATTGAATATGCTTTGATAGGAAAAGAGATTTGATGCCAGAAGAACGTTTCAAAATTTAAATTTTGAAGAAAGTGGAAAAGAGACGTTGAACTTTCCTTCAAAATTCTAACGATCGAATCTAAAGTGGTAATGATTTTCTACACTTGGTTGCATTCTACTGTTAAACTATGCACAACAAGCTAGGACACGTGGCATGACACTAATGGTAAAATTAAATAAAAAATAAAAAATTAATATATTTAGTTGAGGGATTTAGATTCTAAAGTACATAAAAAATATTTAATTTAATAATTGATACATAATCTCTTATAATCGATAAAGAGTATCGTTAATTTTTTTTTTCAAATTAAAGAAAATCATAAAGGAATTAATCAAAAGAAATTAGAAGAATTTAGGGTTTATAAAGGGTTTAGATTAGAGAAGAAGGGCAGGACACAGGAAGCGTCTTCGAATAATCAAAACGACTCGTTTTTATTTATTTCTCAAAACGCAGCGTATAAACCAAATTTTTTCACACTGAGAAGGAATAAAAAAGAAAAAAAACTATCATTTTCTTAAGTTTTGATCACATTGACCAAGTAATTTAGCGTAACCCAAAAGTTTTGACACTGAACTTGCATGCTTAATGCAACTTGAATAATTAAATCGTTCCTCCTGCACAAAAGTCTAAATTACACCATATCATTCCTATATCTAGAAGTTCTCTTAATAAGATATTCATTCCTTCTTGACGAAGCTGCAAGTTAAGAACAAACGTTATTCCAATGGCAGCGACCTCAATGCCTCCTCCACTTTCCCTTTCTTCCCCAGGCAAGTAAGAATGCAGTTATATGCAATCCCAAAGCAAGACATTTGTAATATCCAATCAAAATTTTGACAAAAAAAAGGAAAAACATGGAAAAAATAATATTAATTTTGAATAAAAAAAAACCAAAGAGGAATTAATCAAAAGAAATTAGAAGAATTTAGGGTTTATAAAGGGTTTACATTAGAGAAGAAGGGCAGGAGACAGAAAGCTCCTTCAAATAATCAAAACGCAGCGTATAGACTAAATCTTCAATGTTCAAATCCACACTGAAAAGGAACCAAAAAAAAAAACTGTCATCTTCTTAAGTTTTGATCACATTGACCAAGTAATTTAGCGTAACCCAACCGTAAACAAACTTGCCTACTATATTTTTTTAACGGGACTTGAATAGTTATTCAACTTGCATACTATATTTTTTAATGCAATTTGAATAACTAAATCGTTCCTCCTGCACAAAAGTCTCAGTTATACCATATCATCACTATATCTAGAAGTTCTCTTAATAAAATATTCATTCCTCCTTGACAAAGCTGCAAACAATTGAATCGTTCCTTCTGCAGCAAAAGTCTCAATTTTACACTATCAATCTCTATATCTAGAAGTTCTCTTAATAAAATATTCATTCCTCCTTGACAAAGCTGCAAGTTAAGATAAATGTTGCTCATAATATATTTTTTAATCCCAATGGCATCGACCTAAAAAATTGACTTAAAAACCTGTTTTGAATTGGTGAAGGTTTCAACTGTGAGCTATAAAACTGTCAGGTAAGTTTAAGAATTACTTCCTTCAAAACATCTAAGCGTTTTTCCTTATTAATGGCTTCTTCTACATCTTCCACTTTGTCAATCTCAGAATCCATAAAATTCAAAGGGGTTGGAGGGATCGTTGTCATATTTCTATCCATACTAATTTCTTCGATTGTCATAATATACAGATGTGTGATAAAGCGTCGAGCAAATAATAATATAAACGTCGATAGTGAGGGTACTGATGAGCATAACGTCGATGTTGAGGGTACTGAGCATAACATCGATGTTGAGGCCTGAGGGTACTGAGCTTGTTCTTTTCATGGTCGGAACTGAGCTTTCGTTGCACAGCAATCATGATCTGTCTGTTTTTGCACCCTACTGCCAAAGGAGAGACTCCTGTAATATTAATGTGATTACACCATAGTTGTGTTGGGTTTTTTTTTTTTTTTTTTTTTTTGTTGGGTTGAAATTCAATGTGTTGCTGTATTTTTTTGTAATTTTACGTATTTAGTGTGCTTTTTTGTAAATAATAAACGTATTTTGCTGTGCTTTTTTGTAATTGACACGTACGTTACGTATTCTTTTTTTTGTAACAAAGAAGCAAAAATCTGATAGAAGTGAGATTGTCACTGTGTCTTCAAAAGATCAAAACGACTCGTTTTGATTTATTTCTCAAAACGCAGCGTATAATCCAAAACTTCAATGTCACCGAAAAGGACAAAACAAGGCTTCCTTTGATTCTTCCGTACGATCTTTAACGACAGCGTTTTTATCTGAAAATGGAACCGCAATTCTCGAAGCCCCGGTCGTACGAACCGCGCCGTCCATTGCAACCTCAATTCCCTTTGCGAACACATCCAAATGGAAGGTTTCAACGGTGGCTCCTTTTCCGACATCGTCGTTAACACCATGGGGCCGACCTACCACCTCCACCGCCTAATCCTGTCCCGTAGCTCCTGCTTCAGGTCTTCCAAATAAAAAATTAAAAAAAAAAGAAAAAATCCAAAGTAAACAAATTTAACACTGATTTAATGGTGGGCTTGGAAAGAAGCCAATGCTCCGATTGTATCGTTAAACGTCGACGATAGCAACGTTAACGGTGAAGCGATCGCATTGGTGTAGTTGTACGGACACCACCTCAAGCTTAATGATGACAAGTATTTGGTGTTTCATTTCTCGATCTTCAGGTCCTTAAAAAGATCGAATTTAAAAAAAATCTTTAATTTTTATCATTTTGCTGTTAATGAATTGAAATTTAGTTTTTTTTTTTGGCATTTCAAACTGATTGCAGGATCTATCTGCCATATGTACGGATTTTATCATATCTGAGCTGTTGACTTCGAATTTCTTAGCTCATCAGGTTTCACAACGATAATTTCACAGTTTACTTTTTTTAATTTTTAATTTTTGCTTTTTTTAATTGAAATTTGGATGTGAATTTAGGTGTTTGCTGAGAGTCAAGATTATGAATGCATGGAGAAAGGGTGAGGGATGTTTGCTGGGGCTATCTTTGTCAAAGTGGTGCCATGGAATTAAAAGAGTTAAAGCAGAAAAGGCCGAGTTTTGGGTGTTTATCAACTCACATTCATGTTTTCTGCTATGATATTATGACTAAATTGTAGATTTTTCCTCAAGCGTAGGTTAATGGTGAATGTTATTTGTTATGAGTTTTTTGGTAGCAGGTTCACT